TCTGTTTTGTTAAAGAATTTCTATTCATACTACAGTTACTAAATGCAGATTACGTATATTTCACCAGATTTCGTTTTCGTGTATTATTTTCGAAATACACACGTACACACACCGAGAACCCGAACGGGGCGAGACATACACGTACACGCGACACGTCCTTCTCCCTTGCTTCCCAGGAGCTGATCTATGATACCGGTGAAAATTAATGATCAGTGTGCAATTAAACGTGCGATCGATACAAAATTAGTTTGCTCCGTGCGATCCTTGAGAGCGTTATATATCCGGCGAAAGTTGCGCGTTTTACCGTATCTGTAATTTTTTACACATATCTACTATCTAAATACAAAGTACGTAGTTAGTCGCGCGTAACTAAACGCGAGTCAAGTCCACGAGTTCGATTTCTAATCGCTACGCTAATTTTAACGAAACCGTTCAACGATAGCAAAATGTCTACAGAATCGCAACTAGGATATATACACGCTTGCGTAACCACCGGGGGTGAGACCAAACCGGGTGGAGTCGGTTCACTTCGGTGAAATTTTTACCATTTTTCCACGGTAGGCAGAGACGGAAAACAGACGAGAAGGATGAAACGAGAACACAGAGAGAAGTAACAGGTTCATCGCCGTGATTCGTTACAGTATTAGAGTTTAAGGTACGATGGGTATCTATCGGTCGTGAACGAGCGACGATCTAACGTCTGAACATTAGAGAAAAGGAAGCGGCGTCTGAGAGAAAGCTGCAAACGAGTAGGATATTGCACACATTACGCTTAAACGTAACTTTAAGTAAGTGAACTATTATTAAGTGAGAGAGGAAAGTGGAACTAGTTTAAACCGATTGATCTTTTCATGATTGCGCTTATTATTCGTTCGTTTTTTGCCTGTCACCCGTAGCTTTGCGAACGGTAGCTACACTTTATTATCGACATAGGGAGATTTTACAAGAGGAAACCAAATGTATTTAATATCTTCTTTATCTTTCTACGTAATACTTTTTCCATTGGAAATTTTCAATAAAGACCAACAGTTTATGCAAAAAATTATCACGGTCAACGATTCTTTGTTGTCGATCAGACGATATCACTCGAATTGGCATTCATAGAAATTGCGACCTCGCTGCTGCTGGTTCCCTGAAAATTCAACGGGACGATCGAACTTTCAGTTTCTCTCCCGTGCAGCAGACGCGCATCCTCGAACGTTTGCTCCGAATCAGAGACGGCAATCGACTGCATGAATCAACATAGAAATCGACGTAGCAATTTCATCGATGGTCGAGAGGAGGAACGGCATATATAAATATATATATATATAAAAAATAAAAAAACGATTACCGCTGAAACGTAGGAAAGACTCTCGCGCTCGCGTTCCGTATCTTTAACGTACCCTACCGTACCCTATTTCTAGTTCAAGTAGCATTTTTTAACCGACAAATTTTCTCTCTAATCTTTGAATATAAATCTTGATATCGTGTAAGGACAACTTCTACTGTAAAGACACACGGCCGCAGGTGCGGTCGATAGCGTTTAAAGTACGAAGCAATACTGTAATCGTATGCGATATATACATATTTCTTACGTCGTCGCGTCGAGAAATTTAGATTCAGGTTTTCTCCGGTTCGTCGACGAACGCCGTGCTCCAGAGCTATTCGAACGAAATCCATTGGAGACGAATCTTATCGTTTCAACAACGAAACGACGTCGACCAAGAATTTCGTCGGACGGTTTTACGGTTCTCTCTCAATATCTCTCGGTGTCGTTGCGATCGGAACCGATTCGATCCTCCGGTTCTCGTTCGAACGGTGCGGAAAACGCGGCGCGGCGAACGTCGTGGTCCTTCTAGTCCATGTCGGGAATCAGTAATTGATCGTAGCTTCGATTCTACAACGTACGTACATACATACACGATAGAGTTTCTATTTTTTTGCTCGCTAGGTGTGTACACGTTTAAATGCGCGTCGCGTGCGAATTTTGTGGGCGAGCGAGCGAAGTGACAGAGCAGAACGAGTGGTCGCTCTCGATGCGATTTCGTGCGAGCGTGGACGCTAAGATGAAATGTGTAAAGCTCCCGTGTACGTGTATTATTGCGTGTGTGCGTGTATATGTGTTAGGTGTATGCGTTTAAACCGCGACCGGCCGATCCGGTTGATTCGGCGCTCGGACATTTTATCGAAACGGTTCGCGCAATCACCTCGAGGGCTACGATTCGCTCGTAGCACGGGCATGGCGAACCCGAGGCACCCTAGCCAATCTCGAATCAACCGTGTCGCTCGACAATTAAAACGATAAAAACAAAAAAATAAGAAAACGGCAACTGGCATTGACATTCGTCTCGTGTGATCCTCTCTATTATCGTTACCCACCTAACTTTCTATATCTCACGGATATTAAATAATCTTCTCGATCGCGAGATGTTCTTTCGAAAAGTTGTAAACTAGAAGTTTTAGAGATTATCGAGAACAATTCCGTCGTCGCGCGGTTCGACGACGGATCGTCTCGTGTTAGTAATAAGAAATCGAGAGAGAAAAAGAGAGAGAGAGAGAGAGATTTCGAACTGTTCGCGATCTCTCGACAACGTTCAATTAGCTGAAGGGGATTGGGACTCGTTTGTACTGCGTCCAGCACGGTGACTACGTATTGTGGCATTAGTAAAATTAAGATCGTGTTTAGATCGATATACGTACACGTACACGTACACGATGTCTGCTGTGCCTGCTCGCGTTTTAACGAAGGCAGCTGGGCATACGTTCGTTACTTTCATTTCGAAACGTCGAGTACATTATTTCGGTGCTGTCGACCAAAGGTGGACGTTGTCATATACGTAGGGACAGAGGTCGTATGGTTTCGATTTAAGTGTTTAGCATGGATTTCGATACACGCCGATGCATGTACGTGTACGTACGTGTACGTACGCGACGTGATCTCTCGCGAAGAAGCCGGGAAACGGAGGATCAAGCGTATGCATATGTAATATACGCGTGGCACGTAGCTATTTAATTAGTTACGCGTGTGTGTATGCGAGTCGCGACGGGGCACGCGCCTAAATCGTTCTACTATACGGGTGCTCCGCGGCTCGATCTCGTCGGGGGGGGTGGCGGAGGTCGACGGGCGAGAAGAGGAACCACCGAGTCGAGGACATGCGAATGGGATGAAACACGCGTACACATACACACGGGAGACAAAACGTAATATTAGTAGGGAACCGTAATTTTTCATGCTCGTTTCTCGATCGACACGTACACAGTAAAACACACACACACACACACACACACACATACACTATTCTAATTACCCAAATGTAATTTGTACTGTGTAACTATTACTATTTTTATGAATTTTTGTACATTTTTCTAATTATTTTGTATGATAATCCTTAGCGGAATGTGCGGCGAATCTGACACCCGGCTACCCCTAATAAACATATATATATAAATATATATATACGTACAGGAAACAAAAGAAAAGTGTTCAAACGACGAACAGCTCGCTACCTATAGATATACATATTGTATGTACCTATCGGTGTTCGAAGAGAGGAAGAGAAATGTGCAACGACACGCGAGAAACGCGTTTCGCTTCAGGGGGTCGTTCGAGGGTGTCGGAAACTGGAAACGGATTTCAAATTCGATTTATAATAGGGAAACAACCAGCGAAACCAACGGAGGGAATTAAAACGCGCGTAGATCACGAGATTTCAAACGAGAGAGAAAGAGAGAGAGAGAAAAAGAGAGAAAGAGAGAATCCATAGTTATTGGATAGAGTAGTTCATCATTTGTCCGTGTAGTCTAATATCTGCTCGCCTATCTGTCTGCCTGCCTGCCTGTTTTACCAGTCAGTCACTCAGCCAGCGGAAACGAGTCGATCCACCTGTCTCTCCTTTCACCCGTTCGCACGTTCGCTTCTGTACCTGTCCTCTCGGATCTTCTTCGTCCCGGCGCACCGTATCGTCCTTCGATCTTTAACGGCGACCATAGCGAACTACGTTTGAACACGAGGAACACGCGTAAAGAATGGGAGATGCACAGAGGAGCGAAAGATGGGAAGAGAGACGGGTGGACGAAGCGTGGAAGAAGAGAGAAACGGTGGTGATGAGAAATTCGCGTATTAATAAACGCGAGAATCGAGTGTATGAACTTCCTTCGTAATTTGACAACATGTTTGTTATTAATTATAAGAATATCACCTTTTTCTTTTCGTCTTAAATTTGAAATGCTATCAAATAGATCAATTCTTTCATGGAACTGCTTGATGTTAATGATTCTTCCTTCGTTCCACCCTCCTGTCGATGATCCTGTAGAATTCTTCGTTTCGTATTCGTCTCGAACCGTTTGCAATAATTCAAAAGTTCGATCTAAACACTTTGTATTCTCAATGGAATATTTTTAGTAGAACCTCTGTCGCGTCTTTATTAATTAATTAATTAATGAAATCAGATATTAGAATGAAATGAATCAGATTCAGTCTTACGGTTCTGAATTTCAAAGAGAGCGGTCTTGAGTCTATCAGACATCCTGTCAGAAGGCCGTTTCATGGCACGCGCGGGTCTAGTGATGGGCACTATCGACTAATTTAAAGTATCGACTACCTAGAGAATAATCGTACCGTACTATCGACTAATTAGTCGATAGTTTTTAGTCGGATGAAATATCGCTCTCGCGGTTATGCCTTTATAATAAATTAATAGAAATGCATCTTAAAATCTTTTATTTCGCGATCCTCGAATAAATATAATCCAAAGCAGCGATCATGCATTACTTAATTCGGAAAAACTAGCGAAGTGGAAAACGAAAACATAACATTGTCTAAATGAACATCTATTGAAATCAATTTCCCCTGTGTCTAATTTATTCTCTGTCTCTAATTTATTGTAAAAATGAATAATTCTGACTGAACTTGAACCGTCCAGCCATAGATTGTAGTTTATCGATAATACAAGCAGCCGCCTGAAGTTGTTTCGACGTAGTCGATAGTTTTTACCATCACTACGCGGGCTAACGCGGGTCTCATTCGTGCACCAGTGTGAATGCAGCGCGTGGTGCCGTCATACCGTAATCGTTCCGAGATTCCTAACCTACAGTGGTGGTTCGCGAATTCATCGGTGGTTCTACAGAAATTTCAATACTTATTCTTCACCGGTAAGTGGACGAAATTAAGCAAATTGTAATCAAACGCTTTTCAATGTTTTATTCATAGCTATAAGTATATTTGATTTGAATTAACGCATGCACTGTACACGTTTCTACATACATAAATATTGTACTCGTTCTATCCAAAGCGGCCCGATCAAATTTCGTTTTATACACACATACATTCGACGATGCGATTAGCATCCGAAAACCAATTATTATTATTACAGATATTAAGTATTTGTACGATACGCATATTACATAGAAATGTCAGAGAGCGAGAAGAACGAAAGCGTGTTAGAATGTTTCGAAAATTCGAGCGGTTGAATTCGAATTTGAATTCGTTCGACCGGAGACCAGTTTAATTGAATATCGATCGCGTACAAGATTGATAGACTAATCAGTTATGTCGATTACTATCCTTCGCTATTATGAATGCGAGTCCATGTTAAGCGTTTTCAGCATGCACTCGATGTAATCGTTCCAAGAGCGAACACTCCTCTTGCCGCCCCACGGGTTGAATTTAGTCTTCTTGTACTGTTCGTGTTCTTTCTTCGCAGGCGTCGTTAACCTGCTTCGAGATCGACAGCGTCATATTGAATTAAAACATTGATCAATAAAAATTAGATCACTAACCAATCGTCTATCTCGTTAACCCGTTCGTCGTTGCTCGCCTCATTATCGAAATCGTGTTTTCCATACATAGTCAATATGATGTCCTTGATTCGGGCGGCTCTTTCCTTGGGAAGTCCACCTTAAAATCAATTTAACGTTTACGTGCTGATGAACGATATTTATTACGACGACTCACCTTTGATAACGTTTAAAACGCGAGCGTCGGGATTTTTTAAAAATAGCAGAACACGTTCCCGGTTGGACATGTCGGCCCTTTTTCCACCCCACTTGTCCCAGATCATCTTACTCAAATCCTGCCCTTCGATTCCATTGAGCTCGTTCAGAATTTTGTTCTGGTCGTCGCGATTATAATTAATTTTCGTCCGTTTCGAGCCAACATCCGACGTGTACACCGCCCCTCTTTTACCACCCCCGCTGTCGAAACCGTGATGATACATCACGTGCAGCTTGCACTCGCAGGAAAGTATCGGTTTGCCGGTATTTCGTTTCTCGTCCTGCCACCACCGCTGAGGGTTCGTCCTCTCCTGTAAAATTTGTTCAAATCCCTTCGAAAGAGATTCATCGATCAAATAAAATTTATCCAATTTCCACTGATTTTACTTAAACGTATTCACCTCTCTTCTAGTCGGCGGGAACCACGGTCCCATGGTCATTTCCTTGAAAACAATCTTGTCTGAATTCAGTAGATCGTTCCTCGATTTCACTTCATCTAAAATGTTCTCATGATTTTCATAATTCACAATCAGTCGATCAATTGTTTCTTACCTATAACGTTTGGATCTACTCCTCTTTTATTTCTCTCCCTCTTCGACATTTTCCATACGTCGATCGACGGTTCCGCAGTATGATTATCGTTTGGCGAAATGTCACTCGCATTTCCCGAGCCTATGTCACTCGACACAGTGGTGTCATCGATTTCGGAGTTTCCGACGATCGCACGTACCAATAGAGAAACCATTGGGAGGTATACCCACATGTCTGAGACAGAATATGTATTTTTTTTTTTTACACGAAATACAAATACCCTGTTCTTATAACGCGGTAACACGGTATCGCGTAATATGTGTGATATTAAATATTCTACGCGTTTAATATTCTTTTTTCAACATCGCTTATTAACCGAGAGTAAAAAGAAAATGCAGGGAAAATGAGAACACGTATGAAAAACGATGTCTACGTTTTCTTTTTTGAGTTCAAATGATCACGAAGGGAAACGATAGGTCAAACGTTCCATGGAATATGTAAAAATTGTGTTTCTCGACACCGGGAACAAAGACGAACGCGTACGCACGAAACCTTTTAAGAATCCTCGGATCAAATTGTTTCTCGTTAGAAGAATAATAAGGAACGGGCGAAATATTTCATTCCGTGAAAGCAGATATACGTAAGATTTAATGATTCTGCACACCACCCTTGTACGAGTCCTTATAAAAGAGCACACAATTTACATAAGTACGTCGTAATCTTCTTTTGAAAAAATAATCGGCTAATTGTTTTGCTACTATATTAAAGTCCCTCGCCTCTGCTATTTCTGCTATTAACTTCAGGGAGTTTATTAATGCACCGCGTGCCATTCACATACATTTGTCACCGTTCACGATTTCGGCAACGAGATCATCGATAAATACACGTTCGTCGTTCTTTCGAAAACGGTCGATCAATACTTTAAAAAATTGCACACGTGTAGGTATGTGATGCGTGTATGTACTATGTACACGAACGATGCGTTGTAGAAAAACGAAGGAGAAGTGCATTTTCGTCAGCGTGCGTGTTAAAATAGTTATCGGACGCTTTCAGACCTGTCATTGGACATACTTATTCTCTTCACAAACATTTTACGTCCAATATCTTATCGAGCATCCAGTGAAAGAAAATTTTCACGTGGGTATTAAAATGTTCAATTCCGATTTTGATACGCGATTTGAAATGAACAATTATTGACATCAAGAACAAGGCGAATTACGTATAAGACCATATGTCAATTCGGATCACTGTTTCTATTTTGTGTAATTTAAAAAATGCACAAGTGTAAAATATTTTACAATAATTATTATTTGTTATACGAGTCAGTGTTCTTAATAGATTAATAAGAATAGGAAGATCGAGATGAATTTTTACATAAAAAATGCTTTACTAATTGTATTTCAATGTCTTGCCAGGATACGAAAGGAAAATCTTTTTTCTAAATCTAAGGGTTGAAATCGAACGAAAACGGTCCGGAAGCGTCTACATATGTCATTACACGAATTTGCTCACCCATCAATTGTAACAGGAAGCTCTGTTTCCAATTGCTGTAACGTATCGAATATCGTCGATACAAACACCGATATTGTTTCACTTCGCGGAATCCTTTAATCGGATGCCAACATTTGTTAACGCCACTAGCTGTACTCTATTCTGTTCTATGCGAAAGATGCACTAGCGCGACACTTGTGCACTCCGTTAAAATAAGTTATACAGTGTCCAGTAACGATACGCGCGGCTCTTCTTATACCCTCCACGTGGTTCCGCGGCGCACTCTCCGATTGTTTCAAAAAACCGACCCCCCGACTTTACGTTTTAACCATCCCTTTCACCCCACGCTGTCGCATCTATCGCGCATGTAAATGCATTTCATACAGGAGGATTTCGTTGGAAATAATTCCTTAATAAATTTCTGTTCTTTTAATCGATCGTCGAAACTTCATTTAAAATGATTCATTTTTAAACGAGGTGAATTTATGAGTTTCAAGCATTGAAAATTATTGTTTCGACTTATTTTATTAGAAATGCGAAACGCGTTGACTGATTTCGTCGACGGAAATGAGAAATGCAAATGCACGGGCGTGACTGCAGGTAGCATGCGTGTGTTTCCCCTCAAGAATTTATGATACATTCTCGTCACATATCAACTAATACAACGAGAACTAAGTAGTCCTTGTATCACTTCTTTAATGTCATTATTAAGACACGTAGGTAGCTGTAGTTGTCAATTATATGAGAGGTCCTAGGGGTATTTGAGAATAAAACGAGATGTTTCACCGTTTCGACGGAGGGACGGTCGGATTTTGTCAGTACCCATAAAATTCCGATTCAACTCGTTAAATATCGAAGTTAGATGAAAAACAACTTTTATTTGAAGCATTTTTCGATATTTTCAGAAAAAAAAAAATTTTCGATTTTTCCGAGATTTTCCCAAGGGGTACCCCTTCAGATTTTGCAAAATTTTCGTTTTTTGCCTGTAACTTCCAAACCTTTAGATCTACAGGAAAATTGCATAGAACCTTTCTTGTAGAGGACGACGAGATCTACAATTTCCATGTAAAAAGTTTCCACTAGCGTCGATAGTTTACGAGTTATTTACAAAAAACTGTTTTTTCGTTTTTCGTAAATAACTCGTAAACTATCGATGCTAGCGAAAACTTTTTACATGGAAATTGTAGATCTCGTCGTCCTCTACAAGAAAGGTCATATGCAATTTTCTCATACGTCTAACATTTTAGGAGTAATTGAGGAAAAACGAAATTTTTTGTCAAAAGTTCACTGATTCGACGGTGGAATGGTCGGATTTCGTCAATGCCAATAAAATGCCAAATAATCATACTTAACTCATTAAATACGTTATTTAGAAGAAAAATTCATAGAATCTTGCTTGTTTGGAGCTTCGGAAATAACCAGAATCAACCTGCCTTCGTCTTTTGTCATGCATAAAGGAAAGATCTGGTGTATAAAATCATTTACTTAAAATTATCGTGAGACGATATTAATTCCGGACAATAGATTTATTCAGTCGATACGTTTCTTCGGCACGTTTAGCATTCTTCTGCTTAGAAACATCTCATCCCCGTGTAGGCGTCACATTTTCTGCAACTGTTTTATCCTCTATTTCCTTACCTGCTATCCTTGAATCGAATTTACAAAAATTTCTTAATGTTTAAACATTCATTAAATATTTTAAACGTTTAGACATCACTGCGTGATTTTTCCCGTTCATCCTTAACGCTGTTACTAAGCAAACGCAGTGGGACGAGCGGACGCGACGGAACGCGATTCCTGGGAGAAAACTCCTCTCCCATGCAGTCGAGAACTATTCCTTTTTAGATCAACAAATAAAATTTTATACACGCAGTTCTGAGGCGTAACTTTGATAGTTAAAAACAGAGATAAAAAGAAATATAGACACGTCCTCTGTTAGCTTTATCTTTAAGAATTACTCCCTTATCCAGGAATCAATTTCTACCCAAAAGTATTTTTAATCATTTTCATATGTTCGAAAATTTGGCTTTTAATTTCAATTAACGACGCAGTTGACGATCGTACGTCGTTGTACGAGTCGAACGCGAGAAACGAAGTCGGTTGGACCGTGTCTTCGGTATTTATATGGTGTTCCGAGGCGAGTCGTACGTGGTTGATTCGTCGCGGTCCAGAGACCAGGAGAATTGTATGGGGAATTTACCTTGCCACCCAGTATAACCCACGTCAGTCCACCTGAAAAACCGCCAACGCAAACATCATCCCGTTGTTACATCTAGCCTCCTTTCAAAGTTCACGGAAAACACGTTTTCACGCTTGCTAGTCTCGTTCACACGTGGAAATATAATTTTATTATTTCACGATGGTGTTTTACTTGGAAATAAATGTTCTGATATTTCGTCTTAGATCTAATTGCTCGGAGCGACGTACAGGGTGGTCGACAATGGGTAACCGAGCGTGTACAATTCTGTTCACTTCACGATTCAGTAGTATAAGTAAACGCGTGCTCAGACGTCAAGGAGAAAATTGTTTTACGCACAGTTAATAGTCAGTCGTCATCAGTTCGCGTCGCTCTTAGACGCAGTTTAAATTGTATTTTTCATTCTGTGTGCTGCACGTATTTGTCATCGCTTTATGTGATCTGTCGTCTCAACGTAATTTTCTTTTCTTTTGTTTTAGATAATTCGCTGCGAATTTAGGAAGGAATTTCTAAGATGGTAACGTAGCTCTCTTAATTAAGGACACAGGGTTTACGTAGTAGTGTACGAGCTCTTTTCTTGTTTCGTAGAAATTCCGATTCTTAGGCGATGGGGATTGTCCCGATTGGCTGTTAGCTGAAATTAACACGTTGTCACGCATGGTATGAATTGAAATGAATTAAGATCGCGAGTGTAGAGTCTAGATTTTTCTGATTCAGTCTGATCTTCTTTCTGTAGACGTCTATAAAAATCAAAATACTAGGTCAGGCAGTCGCCAAGTATCTCACGGAGGGAGAACTCGATGTAAGTGAATAGTTTTAAAATCATTAATGATTCTTGTTTAAAGTGCACAAATATCGTTTCCGTTCTAAGGAGGAAAAAGTGAAGAAGATCACTCAGGATGCCAAAGTTGGTACGTGGTAACGAATATACAATGTAATTTTTTCTTTCGCTCTTTTATAGTCAATCCCGTTTTCCGTAGAGTTGAACGACGCGAAAGCCATGGTCGCCGCCCTCGAGCTGATATTCACGTCGTCCGCTCGATACGGCGTTTCCGCCGCGGATCTGAGCAGCGAGCTGCAACAGCTCGGACTTCCTCGTGAGCACAGTGCCGCGATCGCTCGGCTGCACACGGATTATTGCACCCAAATCACGGCCGCGCTTTCCTCGCAATCTTTGAGAGGTGATCGTTTAGCAGCCAATCGCGAGATCAAGCTAACGCTGATTCCCTTGCAGTGAGCAGATTGTCATCGATCGAAGTCCTGTCCTGCGACAATTCCTCCCCGTTCTCCACCGTGTCTCTCAAGTTGAAGAAGTTGGATGGAAATTTGGATGACACCGTTATCAACATTTCGAAGAAAGATGTGCAAGTTTTGTTAACAGGTACATGTGAAACTGAAGAAGGTGTAAGGATACGAAAGTAAGGATAGTAATATATTTTGTATTTGTTAAAGAATTGCGAAGGGCCAAGTCTCTGATGGAAAATCTGTAATACATTCCTTTCGATTACGAGATGGGCACATTTATATAAAGCGATGGATTGGAAAATAAAAAAGTATTCTATAACTATTAAACTATGTACTCCCTATTCTTCCTATAATTTTATTAGAAATAGCTACCATAGACGAGACGAAGAGGGGAAGGAGAAATAAAATACCAGGAGAGTATTGTTAAGGTATAATGTATATTTATTATATTATATTATTCTTGTCATATAGCATAACATTGTTATTTCATGTAATCATAGCACCATGAACACTCCACAGTAAGTTTTTTGTTTTTAATTCGTTATTCGAAAAAAACACGACGCGCTGATGCGTTTCGTAGGGGTGAGAACCGCGACTCGTAAAATCGATCGCAAAATACGTCGATGAAAAGAAAATAGATAACCGTAGCCGTGTTTGTCGCGTCACGTAATCTCTCGGTAAGTCGGCAGAAGTCTTGAGACTCGTGAATGACTAGATGATTCGAGTAATTAGGAAACGAGATTCTTCTGACTAGAAAGATCGGCGTATCCCTTTAGAACCCCGTCGCTCCTCAGGTTCGGATTGTAGTTCAGCATTCGGATCCGGCGAGGAGACGCGCGGGGTTTCCGAGTTTCGGATACGCGCGAGACGTGCGAAGCTTTCGTGGTTGCGACGCTTTTAAGTCGACAATGCTTACAAATAAAAAAAAATAGTGCATCACCGTTCTCACGCCCGTTTTGAAGCACCGCGATCTCTCAGGGGTTCGTACCGGTGTCGAGGTTCACACACTTTAGAAATCCTGCATCCGCTTCCTCGCATTAAATTTCTTCCTATTTTGTCTCTTTACCTCTGCATTCTCATATACTATATGTTTATTCTTTATATGTACGTATGTATGTATGTATCTATGTATGCGTGTTCTCGTGTACGTGTCTCTGTGTGTACGGGAGCTCGCGTTTCCACGCACTGGATCGCGTACGTTTCGGTGCGTGGAAACGCGAGCGCCTTTTACTTTATATTATATTTAGTCTAAACTGTTTTTTTTTTAATGAAAGCTCGTTCTTAACTGTTATATTTATCTTCCTTTCTCGATTTAAATTCGCTCTTCCCTCTTCTCTCCCCGCCGCTCCCATCGGCGGAGTTCGCATCGCACGCATTTCGTTCTTCACCTCGGTCTCGATACCTCTTTACGATAAATTCAATTTCATAATTTTAATATCCTACCTAAAACAGCTGGTCATTATTAATTGTCAATAAATAATACATAAATACATAGTTACATGGTTCGTCGTCGTACCACGTTTGTTTCTCTTCTCTACTGCTTACACGGTTACCGGTTTTGTCGGAGCGTTAATTATCATTGCACTTGTCACGAGATCGTACTCTTCGCGATACGAAGGAAGAAGAAAAGAGTATTCTCGGATATAATCGAATGCCACCCGTACGATCGATCGGTCTCGTCATCGGTACGACACGGCAAATGTCGCTTTTTTTTTTTTTTGTTTTAGTCTCGATTTTGGAATGGTGCGCGTTTCAACTTTCATCCCTTACGCTCTCACCCTTAAAAGTGGTACTCGCCCGTCGAAAATTAAATTATTCTGTCCTCTAAAAAGTACCTACAAACGGATTTATCATTTACGCAGGAGCGAACGATTCTGCTTCTGAAATTATCTCGCTAGGACGATTAATGATGGGAGAAGCAGAGGCGTTCGTTCCGACGCGGTTATCGAACGTGGACAAGGGTCCGTTGGATGGACGTTGAACAGGTTTACTTTTATCGCTGTCTCGACCCGTTATTTCTCTCCTCTCTCTTTGGTTTAAATACTTTCTTTGCCCGGGGGTGATCCTTTAGGAAATTTTTACTTTATTCTTCCTCTCGTCTCCGTAAGTTTGATAATGGTCTTGAATAACGTTCGGAATGGAACAGTGTGGACGATCGTTCGCTCGTAATTAATCGTAGTACCTAGTTAGTTAGAGTTAGAGTAAAATAAGTTGCTCATGTTGTTACCGTCTTCTGCAGACTCTACGTATAGAAACACGACACAAATAGTTCCTATCTAGTGCTTCTCGTTAATTATCATTCGTCTCTGTAAACGTTTACGGCAAGAGAAGGTCGTAACGTTTGATCGATAACGAGGAAAAATCTGCATTGTTTCGAGCCTCTGAAAAATGTATAAAAAAATTCCTTTTCCCATCGACGCGAATTTTTTTTTCTCGCGTGGGCCGCCGGCCTCTGACCTTTCTGGACTGCATCCTTTCATCAAATTCGGTTAACGCAGGAACGACAAAATGCTTTCAAAGCGGTATCGAACGTTAGTTATTACATATAAAAAGACGGTGCGAAGGAGAGGCCTCGAGTGAGTAAAAGCCCGTTTCGTAATTCGAAAATATGCTCGGATCTAAGGCGAAGGTGAGAGCAAATCTTATTCTCCGTCGTCGGTTGCTGCCGGAAGATACGTCTAAATCCAGATCGGATCGAACCGTGCGGTTAAAACAAGAAACGATTGCGTGGTCCGGGGATCGTGTATCCTCTCCTCGGGAGGTTCTCGAATGGCATCGGGATCCATTGAACAGGCACGGGTAAGGCTACTAAGAATTCTCGATACGGCAAGTCCAGAAACGAAACGATGCGATGACGGATGTCTAATAGGTCTCTCTGAATACCGTTCAGAACTCAACTATTACGGCTGAGCAGGCTGCCAATCCCTAGAACTCGAGTCGGTAGGCACTGCAGCTAGTCTCATGATCCTGAAGGTTGATCGTGCATCTGGACGCCGAAGGCGAGAGGTCGATGTGATTAGCGGTCAGAGCCTCCTCGTTGTCGGCCACCCAGTAGCCCAGGGTGTCCGTGTCATAAGTCGGTATCATGGTCACCTCTAAAAAATAGAAAACGGAACGTAATTCTATGATCGTCGATTTTACCTTCGAGCGACGCGGCTTGATTCGATGACCTACCAAGGTCTTTGTCCTCCCAGGATTTCTTCGCTTCCAGCAGAGCGTCGTAGACCTCGCGACTCGGTTCGGTACCGCTGAACACGTAATATCTCGCGCGAACCCGCTTGAAGAATTCCAGCGAAGTGTAATACGAGTTCCCGTGATGGGGCACGTAAGTCAGATCGACGTAGACCGGTTGCACCTTGTTCTTCGAGTCCTTCAACTTCTTCTCGTTCTTTCCGGGACTCTCCGAACGTTTCTTGTTCTTGAGGTTCTCGGAGAGCACCTTCTTCGCCTGTTTCTTCTCCTTCTTAGGCGTTCCGGGTGCGCCCTTGTTAGAATTCTCGTTGGTAACGGGAGCAGGCGTGGGCAGACGCAGCGGTTCGCCCCAGTCGTGAATCGCGTCGAAGTTCAATCGAGTCTCGGTGTCGGAAGGAGTCGTACCGTTCTCGGTCGACTGTGCAGAATTTTTCAAGTTGAATTTCGCCGGTGGCACGGGAGACGGGAGTCCCAGAGGACTTCCCCAACCCTCCAGAGGATCCTTCTTCGTGTCCTTCGACGAACTTTCTTCTGGTTTCTCCTTCTTTTCTTGACTCGTCGATCCCTTTCGTTCCATCGTCAGAGCCTTCTCGAAATCGAGGTCGGCTTCGTCGACGTACTTCTTCGCACCAGGTTTCTCTTTGAAATCGCCAGCGTATTCTTTCTCCACCATGAACTTCTTGAACGAGTAATCGTCGGTTCCGTGGCTAACGATTCCGCTTTGAACCGACGGACGAGCACCTGTTTCGGACGAGGTTGGCAGCTCTCCGTAAAAGCTGCTGCTCATCGCGGAGAGATCGGCCGATTTCTGCTCTTTTTCTTCTCCTGATTGTTTCGTTTCTAAACTCGGTTCATCTTTGCTCGGGACGTATTCGTCCACTTTCACGTCGAGCTTCTCCGCGAGAACCACAGTCTCTCCCTTCTCGTTCATCGTCTCCGTCACTTCTCTGGTCGTAGTGACGATGTCGCCTTCGTCGGAGTACGTCTTCGTCGTGGTGATTATCGTTCTGATCACGTCGCCAGAACGGAAGCCTTCCGGTGTCCCAGTCAATGATCTCCCTTCGGATCTCTTATCGGGCGTAGACCTTCCGGAAACTTGAACGAGAGGAGACCCCGAACGTTTGTCCTTCTCCGAGTGTTTTATCTCTTCTTCTCTTTCAAACATTTTCTTATCCTTCGTTTCTTCCTTGACTTGTTCCTTCTCCTCCTTCGCGTCACCTTTGTCTTCTATCTCTATCTTTTTCGTTATCCGAGTCGTTACTATTTTCGTCACGTCGTCCTCTGATTCACCCGACTTTTCAACGACGATTTTCTCCGTCCCTCCAGCAATCGCTTTGGTGATCTCAGCCAGCTTATCTTCCATCTCGTCCTCCGGTACTTCGATCTCGCGCCTGATTACTTTGGTGATCACCATCGGCTCTTCTTGCTCGATGATCTCTCGCTTTATAATTTTCCTGATCGTTTCAGGCTCGTCAGAAATTTCCTCTTTCACGATCTTCTTAATAACCACTTTTCCACTCAGTTCGCTTTCCGATTCTTTGTCTTTCTGCTTCTCTGTCGTCGGTGATTCTACCTCGTCGATCTTACTTTCCTTTAATAACGTGATCGTTTGCGGTTTTCCGTCCATCGACTCTGTCACCGTCGTGCTTGATTTTTGCACCGTAACAGTCGTGGTGATTGAATCTTTGTCAGGAGAGACGTGAGCATCGGACGATTTACTCAACGATTTGTCCTCGACTTTCTCCACGGTGGTGGAGGCCGTGGTCTCTGAAGCCGAATCCGGCGTTCCGTCTCGAGTTATATCCGGCGTTGATTTGCCAGACAACGTCGTAATGTGAGTCGTACGGATTTCCGTCATGCCGCCTACGAAAGCTTTGTGAAATTGGCTCTCGTAGCCGACTGGATAACTCGGAACCGAGGTTTCCCGCTCTACCTGTGCCTCTTCCTCGGAATATTCGGACTCCTTATAGTCGCCCGACATTCCGTAAGCGTGACTGTCTTTGTACGATTCGAAACGAAGCTCAGGCGATCTCTCGTACCGGTAACCATCTTCGTCTTCTTGGTAGATCCTTGCGTCGATCACCGAATCGCGAGACAATTTCTTTTTTAATATTATCTCCTCTATTATCTCCATGATGATGTACCGCGGCAAAGAAGATCTGACGATGATCTCCTCTAGAATCTCTTCTGTGATCAGTCTCTTCTTCTTCACATAGTCTTCCTCCAGAAGTTTCTCCATTTCTGATCTCTTCTCCTCTGAAATCACGATCTCCTCGTCGATGTGAGGCTCCGAACGAACAGGGCTGTCTTGCGTGGATTTGTCCGAAGCGATCTGATCGGAGCTCAGGCTGGGACTCATCGAACCCTCGCTATGCTTATCCTCGTCTTCTTCTATGTCCAAAATCGAGTCTCTGCGGAGCTTCTCGGTAGCGATGATCGTTTCTACGATGCTCATCGTAACGAGCTCGGAGACCGAGAAGATCTTGACTATCTCTTCTATCACGAACGACGTGATCTTCCTTCTCTTACTTATGTATTCCTCCATGATGTACTTCGTGATGCTTGCTTCCTTCTCGGGAGTTACGCTCGCCATCACGTCTTCCTTGATCAGTTTCGCTTGCGCGTCTTGAACGCTGGCGGCTCTCGATCTGCTCAGAGGACTCTTTTCCTCGGTTTCATACACGCTTTGAGGTCGGGATGTGTCCTTTCTCTCGAGCGAGTCCACTGTACTCGTCACGCTCGGTGATCTGGATTTATCGGCAGTTTTCATTTCCAAATCGCTGGGCGACTTTGATACATCTTTAACTCCTGGAACGCTCGCCAAGCTGGGCGATCGAGATTTCTCGATCTCCTTCAAATCAGGCGTCTCACCGGCAACACTGGGAGATTTCGATTTATCGTCCTTTACACCTGGAATACTCGTCACACTGGGCGACCGAGATTTCTCGATATCCTTCATATCTGGAGCTTCTCCAGCAACGCTGGGCGACTTAGATTTGTCTTTCGCCTCTGCTGGAATACTGGTAATACTGGGAGATCGAGATTTCTCGATATCCTTCAGATCAGGAGCTTCTTCAGCAACGCTGGGCGACTTAGATTTGTCTTTTGTTTCTGCTGGAATACTCGTCACACTGGGCGATCGAGACTTCTCGATATCCTTCATATCTGGAGCTTCTCCAGCAACACTAGGCGATTTAGACTTGTCTTTCGTTTCCGCTGGAATACTGGTAATACTGGGTGACCGAGATTTCTCGATATCCTTCATATGAGGAGCTTCTTCAGCAACGCTGGGCGATTTAGACTTGTCTTTCGCTTCTGCTGGAATACTGGTAATACTGGGTGACCGAGATTTCTCGATATCCTTCATATCAGGAGCTTCTTCAGCAACGCTGGGCGACTTAGATTTGTCTTTCGCTTCTGCTGGTATACTCGTCACACTGGGTGACCGAGATTTCTCGATATCTTTCATGTCTGGAACTTCTCCAGCAACGCTAGGCGACTTAGACTTGTCTTTCGCTTCTGCTGCAATGCTCGTCTCGCTAGGCGATCGAGATTTCTCAATATCTTTCAAATCGATAGTTTCTCCGGCAACGCTGGGTGACTTCGATTTTTCTGATACATCTTTTGCTTCCGGGCCACTTACTATGCTAGCCGATCTAGACTTCGCGTCGAGCTCTTCCGGGAAATCGACGATGGTCCCGAAGATACTCATTCGTTTCGTTTCCAATGGTGGAATACTCGACACGCTAGATGATCTAGATTTATCGACGTCCTTCAAATCAGGTGCTTCGCCATCGAGGCTTGGCGTTTTTGATTGATCCCATGCATCCTTTACGTCTACACTTGGCGATTTCGATTTTTCAATATCTTTCAAGTCAGCTGCTTCGCCAGCGATGCTCGGCGATTTCGACTTATCCTCTTTCGTTTCAGCCGAAACGCTGACTATACTGGATGTTCTAGACTTCGCTTCGACCTCCTTCAAGTCGGGCATCTCACCAGCGATGCTAGGCGACTTGTCTTTGGATTCAGCGGGAATGCTGACTACGCTGGCTGATCTAGATTTCTCGATCTCCTTCGCGTCGATATCTTTCAAATCGGGTGTTTCACCAGCAACGCTTGGTGTCTTTGACTTATCCGCTGCTTCCTTTGTTTCTCCTGAAACACTGACTATGCTCGCTGATCTGGATTTTACACCGTCTTTGATATCAACATCTTTCAAATCGGGTGTTTCACTAGCAACGCTTGGTGTCTTCGATTTATCCACTGCTTCCTTCGTTTCTGCCGGAACACTGACTATGCTCGCTGATCTTGATTTTACACCGTCTTTGATTTCAACATCTCTCAAATCGGGTGTTTCACTAGCAACGCTTGGTGTCTTCGATTTATCCACTGCTTCCTTTGCTTCTGCCGGGACACTGACTATGCTCGCTGATCTGGATTTTCCACCGTCTTTGATATCAACATCTTTCAAATCGGGTGTTTCACTAGCAACGCTTGGTGTTTTCGACTTATCCACTGCTTCCTTTACTTCTGCCGGGACACTGATTATACTCGCTGATCTGGATTTCCCACCGTCTTTCACGGCAACATCTTTTAAGTCAGGAGCTTCGCCAGCAGAACTTGGCGATTTCGACTTGTCCTTTGGTTCTGGGACACTGACTATGCTCGCTGATCTGGATTTCTCAATATCCTTCAGGTCAGGAGCTTCGCCAGGAGGACTTGGAGATTTCGGCTTGTCTTTCGCTTCTGCTGGAATACTGACTATGCTCGCTGATCGCGACTTCTCACCGTCTTTCACGTGAACATCCTTTAGGTCAGGAGCTTCGCCAATAGAACTTGGCGACTTCGACTTGTCCTTCGACTCTGCTGGAATACTAATTATGCTCGCTGATCTGGATTTCTCACCGTCTTTTGCTTCAACGTCTTTTAAGTCAGTAACTTCGCCAACAGGACTTGGCGATTTCGACTTGTCCTTTGGTTCTGGAATACTGATTATGCTCGCTGATCTGGATTTTTCAATGTCTTTTGTATCAACATCCTTCTGGTCAGTAACTTCGCCAACGGGACTTGGTGATTTCGACTTTTCTTTCGACTCTGCTGGAATACTGATTATGCTTGCTGATCTGGATTTGTCGATGTCCTTCAGGTCAGGAGCTTCGCCAGGAGGACTTGGCGATTTCGACTTCTCCTTTGGTTCAGGAACGCTAATTATGCTCGCTGATCGTGACTTCTCACCGTCTTTCACGTCACTATCCTTCAGGTCAGGAGTTTCTCCAACAGGACTTGGCGATTTCGACTTGTCCTTTGGTTCTGGGACACTGATTATACTCGCTGATCGCGACTTCTCACCATCTTTCATTTCAACGTCTTTCAAGTCAGGTGCTTCGCCAACAGGACTTGGCGATTTCGACTTCTCCTTCGATTCTGCTGGAACACTAACAATGCTCGCTGATCTGGATTTCTCACCTCCTTTTACATCAACGTCCTTCAAGTCAATAGCTTCACCAGCAGGACTTGGCGATTTCGATTTGTCCTTCGGTTCTGCTGGAATACTGACGATGCTCGCTGATCTGGACTTCTCACCATCTTTTACTTCAACGTCCTTTAAATCAGCAGCTTCGCCAGCAAGGCTTGGAGATTTTGATTTGTCCTTTACCTCTGGAACACTGACTATACTCTGTGATCTGGATTTCCCACCGTCTTTTACATCAACGTCTTTTAAATCCGGAGCCTCGCCTGTACTTGGCGATTTCGATGTTTCCCTAGTTCCGGTCGGAGCAGTAGAATCCTTGACATCGTGCACTTCAACGTCTTTCAACTCCGCACCTTCGCTAGCAATGCTCGGCGACTTTGATTTCTCCGATGCATCTTTAACTTCGCCAGGCACGCTAGCTAAACTCGGTGTCCTGGACTTTTCGATTTCCTTTGTGTCGACGTCTTTCAAATCTGATACTTCGCCAGCAATGCTAGGTGATTTCGATTTGTCCGACACATCTTTCGTTTCCGCAGGAACACTGCTCACGCTAGGTGATCGAGATTTGTCAATCACGTCCTTCAAGTCTGGTGCGTCTCCAGCCACGCTGGGCGATTTGGATTTCTCCACGCTAGTCAAATCCACTGCTTCTCCAGCGACGCTGGGAGACTTCGACTTGTCCGCCGGTGCACTTGCCACACTGGCCGATCTAGATTTTTCGTCCTTCATTTCTGCATCCTTTAAGTCGGGGGCCTCACCGATGCTAGGCGACTTCGACGTCTCCTTTTCAACTTTAACGTCCTTCAAATCTGGTATATCCCCTGCGATGCTCGGAGTTTTTGATTTATCCGATACATCTTTTGTCTCCGGTGGAACGCTTGCTATGCTCGGTGATCTAGATTTTTCAATATCCTTAGCTTCCACGTCTTTCAAATCTGGAGTCTCGCCAGCGATGCTCGGAGATTTTGACTTGTCCTTTGTTTCCACGTCTTTCAAATCTGGTGTCTCACCAACAATACTGGGAGACTTTGATTTTTCTTTGGTTTCCACATCTTTCACGTCTGGAGTCTCATCAGCTATACTGGGAGACTTCGATTTTTCTTTCGCTTCAACGTCCTTTAAATCTGGAGTCTCACCGATGCTCGGCGACTTCGATTTTTCCTTTGTCTCCACATCTTTTAAATCTGGCACCTCGCCAGCGACGCTCGACGACTTCGACTTCTCATCCTTCGTCTCGGGTGGAACACTAATTATACTGGCTGATCTAGACTTTTCAATTGATGTTTCGTGAACCTCTTTTATATCGGGAGTCTCACTGACGAGACTAGGCGATTTAGATTTCTCAGAGGCATCTTTCGTTTCCTTCAAATCTTCCGCGATGCTGGGTGATTTAGATTTTTCGGATAATTCCTTCACATCTGCGTGTACACTAGTCACGCTGGGTGATCTGGATTTCTCGATATCTTTTAAATCAGGAGCTTCTCCGGCAGGGCTCGGCGACTTTGACTTGTCTTTTGCCTCCGCTTGAACACTGGCTATGCTCGGTGATCTAGATTTTTCAATTTCTTTCAAATCAGGTTCTTCGCCTGCAACGCTGGGAGTTGCAGACTTCTCTTTCGCTTCTGTTATACTTGGCGATCTCGATTTCTCGACATCCTTCAAATCGAGTTCCTCGCCAGCAATGCTCGGAGTCTTCGACTTGTCCTTCGCTTCGACATCTTTCAAATCAAGTGCTTCACCAGCAATGCTCGGAGATTTCGATTTATCCTTTGATTCCACGTCTTTCAAGTCAATCGCCTCGCCAGCGATACTTGGCGTTTTTGATTTATCCTTTTCTTCGACATCTTTCAAATCTGCTGCCTCTTCAGCAAGGCTCGGGGTCTTGGATTTGTCCTTTGCCTCTGCGGGGACACTCGTCACACTAGGTGATCTAGATTTCTCAATTTCACTCTCGATATCTTTCAAATCCGGCGCGTCACCCGCTACACTTGGAGATTTCGATTTTTCAACATCTTTCAAGTCAGCTGCTTCGCCGGCAATGCTCGGTGATTTCGACTTATCCAATACGTCCTTCGTTTCTCCAGGAACGCTGACTATACTAGATGTTCTAGACTTCGCTTCGACCTCCTTCAAGTCGGGCATCTCACCAGCGATGCTAGGCGACTTGTCTTTGGATTCAGCGGGAATGCTGACTACGCTGGCTGATCTAGATTTCTCGATCTCCTTCGCGTCGATATCTTTCAAATCGGGTGTTTCACTAGCAACGCTTGGTGTCTTTGATTTATCCACTGCTTCCTTTGCTTCTGCCGGGACACTGATTATACTCGCTGATCTGGATTTTACACTGTCTTTGATTTCAACATCTCTCAAATCGGGTGTTTCACTAGCAACGCTTGGTGTCTTTGATTTATCCACTGCTTCCTTTGCTTCTGCCGGGACACTGATTATACTCGCTGATCTGGATTTTACACTGTCTTTGATTTCAACATCTCTCAAATCGGGTGTTTCACTAGCAACGCTTGGTGTCTTTGATTTATCCACTGCTTCCTTTGCTTCTGCCGGGACACTGATTATACTCGCTGATCTGGATTTTACACTGTCTTTGATTTCAACATCTCTCAAATCGGGTGTTTCACTAGCAACGCTTGGTGTCTTTGATTTATCCACTGCTTCCTTTGCTTCTGCCGGGACACTGATTATACTCGCTGATCTGGATTTTACACTGTCTTTGATTTCAACATCTCTCAAATCGGGTGTTTCACTAGCAACGCTTGGTGTCTTTGATTTATCCACTGCTTCCTTTGCTTCTGCCGGGACACTGATTATACTCGCTGATCTGGATTTTACACTGTCTTTGATTTCAACATCTCTCAAATCGGGTGTTTCACTAGCAACGCTTGGTGTCTTTGATTTATCCACTGCTTCCTTTGCTTCTGCCGGGACACTGATTATACTCGCTGATCTGGATTTTACACTGTCTTTGATTTCAACATCTCTCAAATCGGGTGTTTCACTAGCAACGCTTGGTGTCTTTGATTTATCCACTGCTTCCTTTGCTTCTGCCGGGACACTGATTATACTCGCTGATCTGGATTTTACACTGTCTTTGATTTCAACATCTCTCAAATCGGGTGTTTCACTAGCAACGCTTGGTGTCTTTGATTTATCCACTGCTTCCTTTGCTTCTGCCGGGACACTGATTATACTCGCTGATCTGGATTTTACACTGTCTTTGATTTCAACATCTCTCAAATCGGGTGTTTCACTAGCAACGCTTGGTGTCTTTGATTTATCCACTGCTTCCTTTGCTTCTGCCGGGACACTGATTATACTCGCTGATCTGGATTTTACACTGTCTTTGATTTCAACATCTCTCAAATCGGGTGTTTCACTAGCAACGCTTGGTGTCTTTGATTTATCCACTGCTTCCTTTGCTTCTGCCGGGACACTGATTATACTCGCTGATCTGGATTTTACACTGTCTTTGATTTCAACATCTCTCAAATCGGGTGTTTCACTAGCAACGCTTGGTGTCTTTGATTTATCCACTGCTTCCTTTGCTTCTGCCGGGACACTGATTATACTCGCTGATCTGGATTTCTCAATATCCTTCAGGTCAGGAGCTTCGCCAACAGGACTAGGCGATTTCGACTTTTCCTTCGACTCTGCTGGAACGCTAATTATGCTCGCTGATCGCGACTTCTCACCGTCTTTCACTTCAACGTCTTTTAAGTCAGTAACTTCGCCAACAGGACTTGGCGATTTCGACTTGTCCTTTGGTTCTGGAATACTGATTATGCTCGCTGATCTGGATTTTTCAATGTCTTTTGTATCAACATCCTTCAGTTCAGGAGCTTCGCCAACGGGACTTGGTGATTTCGACTTCTCTTTCGATTCTGCTGGAATACTAATTATGCTCGCTGATCTGGATTTTTCACCGTCTTTCGCTTCAACGTCCTTCAAGTCATGAGCTTCGCCAGGAGGACTAGGCGATTTCAACTTGTCCTTTGGCTCTGGAACACTGACAATGCTCGCTGATCTGGATTTTTCACCTTCTTTTACATCAACGTCCTTCAAGTCTGGCGCTTCCTCGGCTACACTCGGGGATTTTGATTTTGTCTCCGCAGGAATACTTGGTATACTCGTTACACTAGGTGATCTGGAGGCCTTTGTCTCTACATCCTTTAAATCGGGCGTTTCGCCAATACTAGGCGACTTCGATTTCTCCTTTACTTCCGGTGCAGTTGCTATGCTAGGCGATCTGGATTTCTTGATATCCTTTTCTTCGACGTCTTTCAAATCAGGAGCCTCCTCAGCAATGCTCGGTGATTTTGATCTCTCAGCCAGATCCTTGGCAGGAACGCTCGCGATGCTAGGTGATCTAGACTTCTCAATTTCCTTCGAGTCGACGTCTTTCAAGTCTGGCACTTCGCCAGCGACGCTTGGCGATTTCGATTTCTCCGTTATTTCCTTCACATCTGTTATGCTAGGTGATCTGGTCTTGTCGATCGACGTATCGTACATGTCCTTCAATGCCGCGATGTCTGCAGTGATGATGGACGACTTCCTCTTTTCCTCCGTCGAGATACTCGGTGATCTGGGCTTCTCGAAGCCCGTCAGGTCCGCTTCTTCTCCGGCAATGCTGGGAGACTTGGATTTGTCTGAGACGTCCTTGACTTCGGCAGGAACCTCTGTCACACTCGGTGTCCTTGATTTCTCAGCTGGTTTTACTCCTTTTGGTTCAGCGACGGATTCGCGTCTTTCAATTATTTCCTGCTCGACCGTTGTCAAATCGCACACTTCCTCCGTGACGCTCGGTGACTTTGATCTCGCCGGAATTACGTCTCTGGGCTCGCTGGAAACGCTCGATATGCTCATCGATCTGGGCTTGTCGAATAATTTCGCGTCAATGTCTTTTATATCGTCAATGATACTGAATCGTTTCGATAAATCGATCGCTTCTCTCGGTAAGCTCGCTATGCTAGAAGATCTAGACGTATCCACTGGCTTCTTGCCTTTCTCTTCTACTTCTTTCGCTTCCTCTTTTTCTTCTGTCACTGGTTTGGTAGGTTCTTGTGCTTTCGTTTCTTCCTTGCCAGCTTCTAATTTTACTTCTGTCGCTTCCTTTTCCTTTTCCTTTTCGTCACCGAGTTTATCAACTTCAGACTTGATAATTTCTGGAGACTTCGCGCCTTCATCTGGTTTTTCTGATATTCCTGTGACAGGTGCTTTGTCTTTGTCAATTTCTCGGTCCTTGGCCAAATCCAATTTTTCCTCGGCGACGATCGATGGCTTACGTCCAATCTCGGCCTTCTCAGCAACAGTAGGCGATTTATCTTCCTTAGTTTTAATCACCTCGACTTTCTTCTCGTCCACTTTATCCTCGATTTTGTCAACGCTCGGAGGAGCTTCCTTTTCTTGTTCTTTGGAAATGATCGATGGTTTACGATCCGCGGCTGGTTCCTTTTCTTCAATTTTAGGCGATACTTCGATACTTTCTTCCTTCGCTTCGGAAGGCTTCGCCAGTTCAATTTTTTCCGAAGGAACCATCTCTGTTATGGACTTTCTTGGTACTATTTCCTTTTGAATCGGTTCTTCCGGTTTACTCGTGGGCGATTTGGCAAATATAGTTTCCGCCGGCGAAACGTCCTCTGATCGAATCGGTTCTGACTTCAATTCTCCAATGTCTAAAACTTTTTCAAGCTTCTCTTCTTTGATCGGTAATCCCATATCTTGGCTCAATCGTTTCGCATCCTCGACCTTCGTCAGATCTTCGATCTCCTTCGATTCTCGTCGCGATTTCGGAGTTTCCATCTCGACGACAGACGGAGAGGTGCTGCTGTCCGCTTCTCGAAGCTTAGCTTTCTCCAAACTGTCCTCGAGCTGTGAGTCGCGAGTGTCGATCGGCGATTTGTCCAAGCTGTCCTCCGGAGTCACTTTTCCAGCGTCCTTCAACGGTGACTTTTCAGAGATGCTGTCTTTTTCCGGACTGGTCGTCTCCGAACGGAGGGAATCCTTGTCCATGGCCAAAGAATCCTTGTCAGGCGTCGATTTCACCGAAATATCTTTCAGCGAATCCTCGGGAGTGATGGTCTTGGGTTGAACGCCAAGAGGGACGTTCGTTTCGTGTCCACCGTCCTCGCTGCTGGCCGTGACCAACATTCGACGAACGGTTCCCAAGTCCTCCGTCACCTCTGGTTTCTTATCCTTTTCAATGGCAGCGTCTATAGCTGAAACATCGATGCTCGCCCGCTTTTCAATGGGAGATAAATCTTTGGCTTTATCCGGAGATGAAATTTTCTGTTCCGGTTCAGGCTTCGATTCAATCGGCGACGCCTCTTTCTTCACGGGTTCTTCAATTTTCTTAACGTCCTCAAGCTTCTCTTCCTTAACAGGTGATTTTTCTTCCTCTTTCTTTTCTGGCGACTTCAATTCTTTTTCCTCTAGCACCTTGTGTTCCACTTTTGCCACGATCTCCTCTTTTTCTTTATCGACATGAGATATTACTGGTGTCTCTTTCTCCACTTTTTGTTCCTTCTTTTCCTTAGCTTCGTCCAGATATTTCTCCACAGCATCCAAGGATTCCGTCACCGGCTTGACATCCTCCTTTTTACCCAAATCTGCGGCTTTAATTTCTACCTCTTTCTTCTCCACTTTGGGAGGCTCCACAGCTTCGTCTTTCTCTATTTTCTCCTTCGTCTCGTGAACGAATTTCTCGTCGGCCTCGACGACGTCGCTCACGACGTCTTCGGCTTCCTCGGCATATTCTCGTTCCCTGGATTCTGGCCTCGAAGTATCCTCGAGCGCTTCCCGCACCTTGTATTCCTGCTCGACGGCTTCGAAATCGTCAGTGATCTCATGTTTCTTCGTATCCTCGATCTCTGTAGAAGGCACTGTTTCCTTTTCTCGTATAGCTCCCTTAGAAATCTTTCTACCGATGCTAACGAAACCATCCTCTTCTTCCTCTTCGACTTCTATTTCTTCCTCCTCCTTCGCCTCTTTCTCTTTCTCTTTTTCTGGAGACGGTTCCTTCTCTGCTTTCACCGGAGATACTTTTTCAACGGGCGACAATTCTTTCTTCTTTTCTTCTTTCTCATCGACTTCGATCCCGAGGCCCTCCGTAATATCTTTGATCGACTTCCTGACAATAATTTCCTGAATAATGCGAATCACGACCGTCCTCGGAACTAGTTTCTTTATACAAATCTCTTCAACGATCTCAATGGTAATACGCTTTCCTTTGGTGACGTACTCGTTGATTATGAGATCCTCGAGTTCCGTTTGCAACTGAGGGGTGATCGATTCGTCCAGATTCAGGATTTCGACGTTCTCGACGACGTCCTTCTTAGACAATCCTCTCTTTACGATGATCTCCTCGATCACGTAAATCACGCATTCTATCGGAACACGTTTCACAGTAATAATATATTCTATAATTTCAATAGTGATTCGTATCTTCTTTATCACAAGTTCTTCGATGATCTCTACCAGTTTACGATCCGCTTTGTCGATTATGGCTTTCGTTTCCAACGGTATGTGAACCGCTTCCTCGACTTCCTGAGTCGAGTCTACGTCGCTCTCCTGCAGTTTGTCCGCGACGAACTTAGGCGAAGTCGGCGTCGACCCGGGCGAGACCGTAACGATTTCCGCTTTCGCAGGTGAAACTTTCTGTTCGAAAGTTATCACTGGTTCCTCTATCGGTTGACCTTCGTCTATCGACTTCTTCGCGATTTTTCTCACGCACACGTCTTCCAATCCAGCGTCCATCACGTCCATCTCCGGGGATTTCGGAGATACAGCCACCAAATCTGGTTTCTTCTCTTTCTCCTCTTTCGGCGATATCAGTTCAGACATACCCTCTATAGCCTTCGTCTTCTCGTCTTCTAATTTCGCGGCCGGGTAGGCGACGTGGAGTTCCTCGGCCTCTTCCTGAGGATGAGGAGGAATCTCTTCAGTAACGCCGACCTTCGTCGGCATCACGATCTTAGAAAGCTCCGGTTCCTGCACCGGCGATTTTTGAAGATCTTCTTTTTTGGATTCTACGATCGCGTCCAGAAGGAAATCGTCCTCCCTCAATACTTGTGCGACCTTCCTAACGATCTCCTCCACGTCTTTGGGCTTTTCCTCGAGATCTATACCCGCGGTTCCCGCGAGAAGCTCGCCGACGTCTCGTACAGCTTCTCGTAAATCTCGCGCAGGTATTTCATCGTCGGTCTCGAACATTTCGTCCTTGGGTATGTCGAATTTCACTTTTTCCGGTTCCTTGCTCGCTTCGGGCGACGTGGTGCTCTCCTCGTGAGGTTGTATCGCCTCCAACTTTTCCACCACACCGTCCAACGTATCTTTGATCGCGTCCTTCACCGGAGGAACTTCCGGAGCCACGTCGATCGTTTCAGCGGCGACGATCTTCTCTTCCAATGATTCCAACGAATCGCGCAGGCTGTCTTTCACCGTTTTGAACTTCTTCGAAGCTTCCTCTAACAATGCTTTTATCTCCTCCTCTTCTCCTCCCTCCACCGCGACTTTCTCAACTTCTTTCTCAATTTCTTTTTCAATCTCTTCTTCGATTTCTTCCTCAACTTCTTTCTCAATCTCTTCTTCGATTTCTTCCTCAACTTCTTTCTCAATTTCTTTTTCAATCTTTCCCTCTATTTCTTTCTCAATTTCTTTTTCAATCTTCTCCTCTATTTCTTTCTCAATTTCTTTTTCAATCTTTTCCTCTATTTCTTTCTCAATTTCTTTCTTCGACTCTTTCTCCTCTTTCTCAATTTCAACTTTCGGCCGATCCTCAACTGCCTCGACTGCTTTTAATTCCTCAACATCCTCCTTCGGTTCGGTCACGATCTCCTGTGCTACTGGTTTTACTTTGGGTGTTTCTTCTTCGGGCGTCTTCTTGCCAACCTTCGGGAACAGTTTTTCCATATCGACCTCTTCGAGAATGGTCCTCTCGTCCTTCGGTGGCTTCGCTTCCTTCGGCGAGCTGGACTTCGAAGATTTGTCTTCTTCCTTTTCCGAGTCCTTCTTCGACTTCTTAGTCAACTTGTCGATACCTTTCTCGAATTTATCCGCGACCTTACCGAAGAAGCTGAACACGCCCTTCTGCTCTTTTACTGGCGTGGGAGTGCTAGGCTCTTTGGCCTGTTGCGGTGACGGTTTCTCATCCTTCTCTTTCTCGAAATCGTCCATTCTATATAATTTCGGATCGACTTCCTCGTGAACCGGGAGATCGGCGACCTCGTCCGGCGTTTTGACGATGTCACGCTGTAAGGGCACGGGTTGGCGAACGTCGAACACTCGAACGTCAGGCTTCGCAGTCATAGTCGGTGGCACGGTTCTCACCAAAGCTGCATCGATAGGCGCCGTCGCGGGAACCGAGGTCGGAACTGCTTCTGCAGTTTCGAGTTTCTCTTCCACTTTGGCGTGGACGTCTTTCTCCTTCACTTCCTCGATTATGTGTTTTTCATCGATGTCCTCCTTTATGTCGTCGAGGGGTATACGTTCGTCCTCGGGAAGCGTCGGCGCGGTGGTCGTAGCACCGGATTCTAAAGTCGAAACTCTTTCTTGGGATTCCTCCAGCTTCTCAGGCAGCTGTTCCTTTTGATCCGCTTCAGGTTTCAAATCTGTGTCTGTAGTCTTCTTTTCTGAAGAATCGAGCTTGTCCGGACTCAAGCTCGACGGTTCTTTCGTGACGTCCTCGCTGTCCTTTTTACCGGAATCGTCCTTTTCTTCCAGTTTCTTCGCCTCCATTTCCGAGATCTTGGCTTCCTCCTCTAACTGAGCTCTGCGATCTGGCGACAAGTCGATGGGCTCCGTCGGTTCCGTAGCGATTTCGACTTCCTCCTTCTCTTCCACAGCTTCAATTTCGCGTTTCTCTGCACTTTCATCTTTCTCTTTCTCTTCGACTTCTTCCTCCGTGCCCTTCTCCTTCACCATCTGTTCCGTGTCCTTCGACATCTTCGCCTTCTCCGATTCAGCTTCATCCAATATGTGCTTCTGCTCGCCCTCCCCGCTCTGAGTAGAATCCTCCACGTAGTCTTCTTCCTTCTCGACGATCAGATACTCATCGATCAATTCTCTCTTCAGAGCATCCTCTATATCAGCTTCGACGATGTCGTCGTCCGTGATATCTTCTTCTTTTTTGTCGGTCAATTCCGCGGTGATCTCGTCGTCTCCCTCGGAGCGATCGTCTTTCCTCGTCTCCTCAATGCGTTCCGCTTTCTGAAGCACTGCCTCGATCTCCTCCACGACTTCCCGTTCCTCCTTCAGATCAGCGAGTACCTTGCTCTCTATAGAATCCAGAGAAATATCCTCGGACTGCTCCATTAAATTCTTTTCGATCAATCTCGCACCGGTTTCCGGCTCGATTCCAGATGGAGTGGAAACCGTAGACGAGTCCGCAGTGCCCTTGTCGCTCTTCGCCTTGCGAACCACTCCGTCTTTATCGGACTTCACGGACACGGTCGGTGTGCTTCGAGTCGATTTCGCCGGGCTGCCAGACACCCGAACTTTGCTAGGGCTAACTGGTTTGGTCCGGCGACCGATCGGTTTTCGGTCCGTAGGTTTCGGCTTGGCCAACGTGGACACCTTCGCCGCCGTCTCCTTTATCGCCGATTTTTCAATGTTCTTTTGTTCGACGACTTTTCTGTTGTTCGCGTCCTTCGTGCTCTTCGCCGGAGGCGCAGCCGCGATCTTCTGCGGTGGCTTCGCCTTCGCCACGTCTTTCTTGACGATCTCGGCCTTCGCCGCGACTCCGTTTACTATTTTCTTAGGCGTCGTCGGTGAGGATTTGACAGCGTCCTTCTTTTCGACCGGAGACTGTTTCCTCTTCTTTTCGACCAACTTTGATTTTACCGTGGGTTCTATTTTTCCGGGCTTCTTCGCTTCCTTCGACTCCTTCTTCTTCGTCTCCGTTTTTGCTTTCGGCTCCTTCTCTAAAGGAACTACGGAAGGCACCTTCTCCATCTCCTTAGTAGGTTCGATCTTCTGAACGTCCTCCTCCTTCTCCACTTTCTCGTCGGTCTTTTCCGTCTCCTTCGGTTTAGCCTCTGGTTTCTTTATGGGTTCTCTCTTAATTTCCTTCTTAGGCTCCTCTTTCTTCGCTTCCTCTATCTTCTTGTTCTCTACGATCTTCTTCGGGACAGCCTTCGGCTCGAACTTCATGGAACTGACCGGTGGCTTCGTCGGTATGATCGGTGCAGACTTCGGCGGCTCCGCTTTCATCAAATCCGGCGACTCTTTCTTCTCTCGTTTGATGTCCGCCTTCTTCGATTCCTTCTCGATCAACTTGTGCTTCGCCGGCTTGTCTCGCAACGTCGCCAGCGAGGCGGACGGTGACAGGCTCTTTGCGGAGCAGACGGGATGCTTGAGGAACTCGACGTGTTTCAGTCGATCGAAACCTTCGAAGATCTTGTGCTGTGGCGTACTTCCGGGAAATAAGATCCTCGTGATGGTGTCTTCCGGGTTGGCAGGCTGCCACACCAGCAGCGCGCAGATCGAGACCAGATTCTGTATCGGGAACGTTAGATTGTTCGAGTCCTTCTTGTGGCTCCCGGCGAACAGCTTCGAGTCCGAGGCGTGCCATTTCGCCAGGAACTCTCGAACCTCGCGGGTGTCCTTGTTCGGGCTCAGCACGTACATATCGAGCGTGCCGTGGCCGACTTTGTGGTACAGATTGATAGGATCCGGGTCTCTGTAGCAGGGATGCGCTCGGAGATTAATGTGCCGTAGGTTGACGACCATCTCCTGGCCGATGTCCGTTAGATTCAGGATCAGTGGGTCGATGTCCTTGTCTCCGTCCGGGGAGTTTGTCTGTCGTCTTTCCTGTTTTACAAGTTCAAAAACACATATATATCGCAGTGAGAAATGTTTATATTAAAATCCTAATCGTTGTATCGAACGTCGTCGTACTTACGACCAGATTGCAAAAGAAGTGTCCGATCTGAGGGTAAACGTGCATATCCTTCTTCTTGCACAGCACGCTCGACATGCCTCCTACATTGCTGTTATTTATTCTGGTAACCAGGACAGCGTCCAATCTGTCCAAGTGTCTGGTGAAGTCCCAGAAGCAGGCCTTTCTCGCGAAGCCGCCGTCGACCAGCATGTTGAAACCGTTTATACCGAAGAGGGCGGCGTCGCCCTGACCGCCGGGGAAGACATACAAAGTTGGATGACTAAATCTAATGTTGCCCACGACGTCGGACGGTTCCATCAGCTGGTCCAACGTCTGGGCCACGAGGTACTGTCCGATGTAGTTGGTGAAACTAGCGATGGCCGGCAGTCCGGCGGTGAGAACGTCGTCCGGGTTGACTCGGACCCTGCATGATCTGACGAGGAAACCCGCGGTCAGCGTGTATCGATTTTCGAAATTCGGTTCAGCTCGGGACAAACCTCGTGCAAGGTTCCTTGGACAGCCTGTTCGTCGTCCAATCCCCGCAGCCCGCGCAGTGGATGTCCACGGTGACGCTGTTCTCGTACGCGCGTACCACCCTCTGCACCTCGTGCTCGCTGAACGCGTCGAGGAAATCGGCGAGGCTGAAGGTTCCATCCTGCGCGCACCAGTACAATTGATTTTAATTTCAAGACCCGACTATGAGCCACCTGTGACGGTCGGTCGTTGAGAATCGCGCGCGTACTTGCAGTATCCAGGAACCGTTCCCGCCGAACGTGTAGCCAGCGTGTATGATGTGCCGATGTTTCGTGAAACTTGCCAACAGATTGCGTATACACTGTAATAATGTGTTCGTTTGCGGGTGAATGAGCACTTCCGTAACTAGGTTCTCGGTAGCGTATTGGATCAGTCGTTCGCCTGAAAATTCATTCCTCTCTCTTCATGTCTTCTTACGCAGTATCACCGCGAATTCTCGCGGACACAGTAAAAATAATCGAGACTACGATCAGTTCTAAAGTAAATGTTCAGTGACAATTGATTGTTAATACCGTTCCTAGCTTCTTCGCCTTCGGGGGCTTGCGCTACCAGCGCCAGTAACTCTTTTTCTAAGTCTACGTGGCAGCTATCCTTGTCCCATGACAGGAAGCCTGGAACAACGAAAGATCTCTCATAATATAGGAGTTCGATTACTTCGAGGCGGTCTCGTTCGGGCCTGGGACGTTCAGAGAGTGGGTCATAGCGCGGCGTATAACTACTCGAGGGTCTGCACCGGTCTGGCTTCGCGAAGTGACGATGGTTTTCAGGGCTGAATAACGCGACTAAGGTGAAGGTTGAGAAAGCAAGAATTCGACCCTTGCTCGCTCGATCCACGAGTCGATGAAATTATGTCGGTAAAATTTTTCTGTCGGATCAGAGACGGTTCTTCTCCGATCGTCATATCGTCAATTATCGTAAAACGTTTGGAATAAAAATTTGACCGAAAACATTGTATTGATGGGAATCGAAGAAAATACATATGTGTCGGCATCGGAACGGAACAGAAATTCCGTGACGTCACGAATACCGCACCCCGTCACGTGGTTCCGCGGTAGCCGGCGATCGATCGCACGTCCTGCGCCTACTCTACTCCCTATTGCCGTCTCTCTTAACTTTTTATCTCGTCTACGCGATTCTGGAATACGGGAAAACGACAGACGAGCCATAGCGCGATTCTTCGAAGTCCAGTGTTGAGCGTTTATTTCAGTACCTATGTCACAGTCGCCAATTATTTAAAGTTCTACTTCTATCCGTATCGCGGATCGATGATGCAATGGATTAAAGTATATGACATTGAAAAACGTACGTTTGAATAGAAGAAAGAATTATTTGTGTGTTCGGTGAAAAATGATCGGAAGGGATGATCGATGAGAATTAAAATGAAATTCAATCGCGTAACTGTAAATTATCGAATCGCTTGTCACGTTGAACCACAGAACCAGCAAATTCTCTATGTCAAATTGATCGGAAGCCCTGGCGATGATACAAGAGAAGCCGTTCGTCGGGGGTCGTGCCTTTTAATACGTGACGACCCCTGCACATTCTCCTCTCCAAGGGGTGTACACTTTATACGCTATCGTTCGCTAATTCTAACTGGCTGTCGACCATGCTTCGCTCCGATCATTGACAGGGAATCAAATATCCAATAAATATATCCTCTTTAACCGCGAGCGAACAGACAGCGGTATCCACGTTGCGTGGCAACGCGTAGTTAACAAAAGAGGAGTTGATTTTCTTCGAAATGGATCAACAATGAGGCCCGCTCCCCACGTTGTCGCGCCTTTGAAGGCGTAGTACTTAAAAACAGTGCAGTCGAAGACACGCGGTTAAATATAGACCGAATCATGGGTTTCTTCGTTCGAGCATTTACCCCTTGCGTAGTATCTTTTAGAATCGCAGACGTTCGTTTCTATCCCGTCCTCCTCGCCTCTCGTTCTTGCCCGGCGCGTTTTGGTCAAAACTATGTTTAGACTTTCCCATTTCTCGACGCAATGCTCTCGCAACTGGTATCGAAAGAACGGCCGGGTTAATTATTGAACGCGGCCTCCGAGGTTAACGAGACGTCGAAAACTCCTAAGAAAATGTGTGACGCTTACGATGGTATAATCTGAAAGCTTTTGTCGTCGAACAGGGTCAAAAAGTATCTTGGAAAACTGCTGACGTCGCTCTCGATTGATCTCGCCAGAGAAGGGAAACACCGAACGAGGTCGAGACGGGGAGACTGCCGTTCCAGGTTACTGTCAAGTCTCGCCGTCTCCCTCCGAAGTGTCAATTACTGTCTTTCCTCTAAATCTATATGCATATGCACGTTAATTGCAACAAAGGAACGGCAGTCGTAGCAGCCGCGTACTCGTAGAAACGAAATAAAAATGCACGCGGACAGGTACGATGGATCGCAGTTATAGCGGAACATGGATATTTAAACATACATGGTCATGACAGTATAGCACGGAGATCGACTTAGCTCGTCCGTGGCTATTTATATTTTTAACACAGAAGGGCGAAGACCCGGTCCAAGGATTTGTTAAAGACGAGGCCGAAATTTATTTCCCATTCATTTCTACATTTCAACGAACCGCCGTCGTTATCGTCGTTTAATCTTCTGACAACGATCCGTGCAATTAGCGACAGGAGCAGCGAGAGATGGAAAGAAAGCGCGACATCCACGGAGAGCAGTGCGATCCGAAGATTATCAACGGGAATACTGCCGCGTTATGCGTGTACACCGCGTGAAGGGTCAGGTTCAAGAACAAGGGTAATCGAGGAACAGAGTTTCATGACTCGAAGAGCACGATGCACGAGAGAAAGCGAATCACTTAAGCGAATGCCGTGATAAAATTAGACACACTCTATATTCAGTTGCTTGTACGCGACCAAATCGTGAGGCCACTTTTCGAACTTTACCAAATACCGGCTTAACGTCATTTCTCATCGACAGTGTTTCCCGTTAATTGACACGTCCTCGAATCTGATATAAAAATTGATAATGCGTTATCGGGACCGATGCGTATGAGTCATGCAAAATTCGGTTGCCAGATCGAGCGGAACTGCTTCTTCCGGATATTGCAAACATCGAATAACTTCGGCTTTCTCGATGCTCCCCACGTCCTCAATCATGATTCATACCGACAAGTATGCCTTCCTATCTTACGTGTGTGTCCGCGACCACACACAGACTCGGCAATCGTAACCAGGTACACGCACGCACTCACACCAGCGTCGGTCTTTAACGAGCGTATCACCCGTGCATCGGCTCACGCGATTATTCGTGTATCACGTCGGACCACGATTTCAATGAATTTGCAATTATTTTTTTCTTTTACCAATTACTTTAAGCTTATGTATGCAGGTCAATGGTATGCGCTCGCATGCCGAGTTTCATCGTCCGAAATTACGATTACGCATACGGTTCCGAATAAACGACGCGTCCTACGCGGATGGATTCATATTCGAAATTGGGGATGAGACGACACGACGAGTGGATCTACGTGAATCAATTTGCGTGTCTCGACTTCTTTCCCCCCTGTACTTCCTGTGCGATGCGTCTGCGATCCGTGAGTCATATTCGTTGACCATGCTGATCGCACGCAAAATGACCCATATACACGAGCGAATTCACGCACAAGAAGAAACGTGGTTCTTAAAAGAACATGATGTCGTCTACGCAATGCGGTAGCTTGTAAGAGGCAGATCAGGAAACGATATCGAGATCTCTTTCCGGCATGTATTTTGCACGAGCGTGTTAACGACGGTACTAATTTTTCATTGGGTCTCCACGGCCCTCTTGACGCGTGTAAACGGGAGCGATCGACGGAGAGATGGGTCGTAAAATATTATTATTGCAGTTCGACGAGACAATTTTCTCGACGTTCTGTGCAGATGGATTATTGATCGAAGTTCTGGTGAATGCGGGGATGTGGCCGCAGGCCGGTCTAACATGCGCATACCGCATCAAACTTGCAACTACAGATTTTTCCCTTTTATCGATAACGTCTGCGGTTTCCTCATTTACTGTTTTTCTGGCTCGTTATCGACCGGCCGGATCGGCGTCGTTCGACCACGCGATATCGTCTACGCCTTCGCCATATCCCATTCGTGCGCGTTTCGATAATTGATGGCCCGCGATTTCGTTCCTAATTAACGTCCGGCTGGCAACAAGGAGGTCCCGTAGGGAGTCGTTCGATAAATCGGAAGGGACGCGCACACGAGGAAGAACCGTTAGCGGCTGAGTTCACGTGCGGAAGCGCGCCGATGAAATACGTGGAGTCATGATCGTAATGGCAATTCTTATCACGAAGCCGCCCGCCTCGTTCCGCGCAAATGCCATAGGTAAAGCCTGGGGAGCGTTTAATGTCTAACTCTCGATCATGCAAAATTCGACTTACCTTTCGCGAGACGGTTCAGGATGAGATCTTTGTGTTGGGCGGTATGAGGCTCTGGAAGCACGACGAGAAGGTAACAACCGCTCAGTGGCGAGGGTGGCGGATGCTGCTGTTGAGAGCCCGGCGGTGGGACCACGCCACCGGTCACCGGTGTGATCGGCGACGCGGTTTGTTCCACGTTCGACGACGGCGATATTATGCTGGTCTCCCCTCCCCCTCCGCCCTCACCAGTCGGATCCGTGGTACTCATTGCTGGCAAAATCGAAAGATCAAATTGAAAATCGAGGACCACAGAAAGAATTCGACGAGTACTCGTCTACAAGGAGATGGAAAAACGTGCATACGACATGGCATCATCCGATTGCATAACTTTAACACGGTATAAATGGCAAACTACCCAGGAAAGAATTGCCCCTTGGCGAGATACAATTGATGTAAAAAGAGACAGGTCGCATTAAAACCGTCTGAGGAATAACAGATGAGGGCTGGATAACCGGTAATTAGTTTCGTCCGAGTTAGCCATTCGATTAAAGTGTAAATCTTACCGAGGCAACAAAATTTCGAAGAGCTGTAACGGAAAGGTCAGCGGTATTGTCTCACCGCGATTTCATGCGGACAGTTTTAACGTTTAAGGTATTGCGCAGGATTCGCACGACCCTTTTCCCTGAAAACCGATAGGGCTATGTCCTGTTCCTCGCACTGCGCAGGATCCGAGCTTCTCCGCACGACCTTAGATCATTGATCCAAATTCTGGCTAGCCAACTAGAAAACAGGACATTTAAGCGCTTATTCTCGAATATCGATTCCGATTCGAATTATTCCTTTCCCTCGAGACGGCCGAGGGAAGCGCGCCTACACAGACATCGCGCAGACGGTCGACCTGTGAGAAAAAAATATCGCGACCAAGACACTGATCTCTCTTGCTTTCATGGAGAACATACGGACTCCGTACGCGTTTTCGTTGAAATCGCAAATAATGTACGGTCACTCGAACGCGTATCGACACCGTCGTTCCCAGCCCTTGGTAACAACCCCTCCCGTCGTGCAATCTACCTAAGCCACCCGATAAAATCTATACGTAGAGCGTCGGTAAAGAACGAAAACCGCTTTGGAAAAGCTCTGTCCCCGTTCTTTGTTCGCCGTGCCGATAGACGTAGAATCGTCGTGGAAAATGTTTAACCCGCTTACCTCGTTACGCGTCACGTTCGCAGCCAGTTCTCCGATATATCATATATCCGAGAAGAGTGGTTCCTCGGTCGGAGAAGCACCGGACCGTCTGCCAGGGGAAGGATCTATTCTCCTGACCGAGTGTCTCTTCGTGTCTGACTCGTGTCGACTTGATCCCCTCGTTCGAGAGGACCGGAAGGGAGAGAAGAAGTAAGGCAGCTAGAGAGGGTTAAAAGGGTCGCAGGGCGAGTTCGTGTACGTGATGCGGGAGAGAAGAAGGGGCCGTCTTTCGGGGAGGAAACCGTTCCGCGGGACACAGCAGCACTAGAACTAACGATCGAGCAGGAACCGAGACGAATGAAACGCGTCCTCCTCTTTTCTCGGGGGATCGACCGATCTCCCTTCTCCCAGATTCGTTTCGATCGTCGATTACTTCGAACTCGAAATTTACTCGGCAGCAATACTCGCGTTGCGGGCTGCCGGCTCTCTGACAGGCTTTGCCATGTCCTTAGTCGCTGCCACGGAAAGGCCACCCCCACTTTGAACGCAGCCGCTCCAGTGTATCCCCCACTGGCGATGCGCACAGCCCGAGTAACTACGGATCGCGCGCAGTTCAGACTGCGTGTCATGTGGGTGCCGTTGGGTGTCCCCCATCCGTGTCTGTGTGCGTAACCTTTGCACGGATATAATACCGGCTAAAAGTACGGGACCACGTCCAAGTAAAAGCTTCGAGCACGGACCGATTCGAGACACCTGACCGTTCGGTGCTTCGTTTCGAAAACCAGTCCTCCAACCGCAAAATCATCGCGTAATCATTGACAGCGTGATGCACAGATGGGACCGAGCGGCGTCGTACTTTGGTCAGCGATGTACTCATGTACACATCTCTGCACGTAGTACTAACAGTTTCAATGATTACGCCGGTTCTAACATGTTCCAGATGGGGGATTTGATTCCGGCAGATTGGTAACTGGATGACATGTTTGAAGGACGAGTATCGCGATTACTTGTAGACTGCGAATTTTTGTTGTACGACTCCGGAAGGAAGCGGTGCTATCAATTTACCGATGTAGCGTCAGACGGGCAGGGTAGCAAAATCGCCGAGACCATTTGTGCAATCAATTCGGATACCGGTACACGCGCGCACGAATCCATTTTCAGCCCTCCCTCTAGGTACGTGTGTGGGTGGCCGAGTGACTGACAAGACCGGCAAGCCGGCCGGTACCGACGTCGGAAAATGCCGGCGTCGAGGGAAAGGACGTACGACCGGAAACGGAGCAAAAATGGGAAAGGATCAAAGATCGGGGGGTCGACGTCGTATCGCGCTTTGCGGCACGGGTGCGGCTGTTCAGGGGAGCGTGTTACGTGGTGAAATAATCACTCCCCGTTAAGGAACACGCGACACTGTCAATGCGCACGACATTTCTACAAATAATTCGTCAAACCGTTTTGTACCGATCCTCGCAATCAGTAATTTCAGACTTTTAATGAGCTACCGTCTCACGATTGTTCAATCATGAGAACGAGCAGGTAACGCTCGTTCGACGCCTAATTCAATTTGGACTTCAATCGAGGAATACAATTTTTCGCTGTCAATAAATTGCAGCGATGCTCCACGTATGTTTTATTGAGCCAAGTATACTTGCAGAATTCATAATAATACAGAAATAGGTGTGTTATGCCGGTTCTGATGGTTGTCAAACACATTTGTCGCAATGCAGGGAGGTCGCAAAGCAATTTCTCTTATCAGGGAGATACGTACGCCTCTAAATAAAAGCCCAGCACCTATGTACTCGGGGCATGTACGTGCATTTTGAAGAGCAATACGTTTTTCGTCGCGTACCGCAGCTCAGATATCACGACCATTGATCGCCCGGTCGATTTATCGATTTGTCGGCATTTTCGATTGCCGCATTGCATCTCTCAATCCTCAACCGTGTACGCGGTACCATCCGCGCCCCGCGGTTTTCATTCCATACTCGTACAAATGCCAAATTAGTAATACATATAATTCTTGTCGAATACTTCTTATTTCGACTCGACTCTAAAAAAATTCCTCTAATTTTTATTACAGGTACATTAATAGCTTTGAAACCGTTCGTACATGCGTACGTACGTGTGTTAAAATTTTAAGGTATAACTAAGGTATAACTAATTTTTTTTTATTAACGAGGAACTTAGAATCCTGTAGTGAAGTTCGTAAATGATAGACAATAGTATACTTCGTTCTGCGATTTACTTTCGATATGCTGTTCATCTATCAGATTTTATTGGGATTATATAGATTACTGGTAAAGCATAGTTATTTAGGGAATAAGTGGAATTGAAACGTGATCGGGGTACGAATCGGAAGTTTTACAGTACTGGCCATAGTGAGTGGCGCTCTAGTATTGAGCGACACCCCCTTTACTAGCCGCGTTGAGAATATCAGAAACGAAAATATAGTAGCCTCCTGATGTAATGACGACGTCGGCCCGCGTTATGACTTACTCCGCGTTCGATGACGTGGACGCAGGTGTTACCGTGTATGCAGATTCGTTCGCGCGAGATAACACCGGTTCCGCGAGGCATGTGCAATTTCTCGAGGCACGTGAAATATTCGCCCTGAGGACGAGTATTCACTCCGGCGAGGAGTAGGAAATTTGTTGAAGATACATTCGCGAGATCGCGTAAACCGGCTGGAACTTTCGCCAGATTTAGCGCAATTAAGACACTAATTAAAGAGTCCGTGACTGAAAACCTGGCGAACCGTGTACCCTCGTTCACAGGTGCACACGCGCTTGCGCTTATTAACCAGCTTAACGTTTGCATTGGCATCGTTATTACATCGTCCGAATTATGTTACGTGTCCGGCGCACACGTGCGCACGCCAGGCTAATAGTCGTAGCCTCCTTTCGAAAGATTTCGAATTCTTCTTCCGCGATAAAGCACGCCCCTGCGCCTACTTGCAGCGTCTGCATAATTCCTTTTTTTTTTTCTGATCGTCCGCGCTTCTCGCCGTTCCATTTCTGCTTTTCAAATTGATTAACGTGTTCAGAAAGCGATGATCAAATTCGCTTCCGCGTCTCTTTTTAATCCAGACTCGCTGGAATCTGAGACGCGGAGACGAGTGAATTGGCTCGTTTCGGCAACATTTGTAAATGTCGTCGCGTCGTCTAAGGGTAGATTGGAGAAGCTCGGAAAAAAGTGATAGCGAAAAAAGCGCAGTTCGTCGAAGAAGACGGGACAGGGTTGGGTAGGGTTTACAAGGCGCCACCACGACGGCGTCTCATCGATCCTGACTAGCCGAATACCGCAGCCACTTACAATATACGTACACGTGCCGTTATACCGGTGCCATAGAAAATCTACGTATCCGCAGAGGGAACTGGCAACCGTCTGTACTCCAGCCTGCCGCAAACGGGTCTCCTACTAGCCCTGTGTCTTTGCACTCGCCCTTTAATCATTCGGTTTTCCCACGCGAAATAATCTCCGGGACGAACACGATTCGCGTCCGGTGCAAGGTGTAGAATAATCTCGACGATATAACAATTCCAATGGGATTTCAAGAAATCGAATCTTAAAATGGATCTACCAGTGACAGGGAATTAAATTGGATCCGTAACATTATTCAATGTATTTTCTATAATTCAATGCTGGAACCAGTTTTATATAATACTATTTTGGAGAAGCGATCAATGACGAAGCAAATTGGGACTATATCAATGTTTCAGTATTTGTTAATGCAATTGCTTACCTGCTATTTTAATACTCGACTTTCCTGCTACGCGATGTACTTATATGAAATTGCAATTCGAAGCTAGGAATTAAATAATTGATAGATTAAATAATAATCATTGGTGTGGATAAAATAAAATTTAGAAGGAGAAATATAAGACTGAAGAAATTTATTTTTATACAAGAACGGCCGGATTTTGTTTTTCAATAAAATAATTAATTAATAAATAAAATTAGAATTTATCGATCGTTGCGCAGGATCGAGTGATCTAAGATCCCCGATCTCCAAATGCAGTGGTCAAGGATCATGAAATAAAAACGGCAAAATCTTTTTCCATTCACTTATTAATCAGAATTTATTCATTTTTACAATATAGTACTGCGTTTCCTACTGTAGTGAACGTGAAAATGGTAATCAGGCGTCGGAGCCTCAGGGAACAAAATAAAATTGCATCAGTTGGTGACTGTCTACTCGTAGATACATCCGGTGTTGGGAGCTTGCGGGAGCTTATTATCGACAGCGGAACGGTAGCCTTTTAGAAGTAGCGTCACCTCTTTGAAAGCTCGTATCCGTCGCACGTTATCAACAGTGAGTCGGAGCTTTATCGAGATCGAGTAGGGATTCTCATTTCCCGTTGTACCACGAAAATTCGCGCGAAAATTTAACAGAACGTTGAAACGAAACGAACTCGTGAAATTATATCTGGTCTGATTGATTAATATATGAAAAGTGTTGCTTTTATTGATATGTATTTGTCTCTAGACGTAATGACACAGAGGAACTACCTCGTCTGTGATAATAGACACTTAATTAGGACATAGACACAAATTTTTATCTAGTCAAAATTAATTTCCTCTTAACAGTCGGTTCGCCGATTTTACTACATCGCGCATTCTGAATCGAACAGGTAAATCGGATGAATCGTACAATTTTTATTCTCTCAGTTCGCCAGCGACTGTTCACAAACGTAGAACCTCGTGTAAAACGTTCGCCGGGAACAAAATACGAGGTGCGGTAATTTGTTCATAAATACAGAGATCACAAAATAGTCTGAAACAAATGACGCACATTTTACCAGTAACGGGATACAAATGGTAGGGCTATCTTTCAACGGAAACGACTCGCTACTTCTTTCTATTTCTCGCGACTATCGTACGATCAAACGAGAGACTAGTGGTACACGACGAGAACGGCAATTGTTGTCATCGATAGAAACGGTAGTAGGTACAATCGCTAAGTATCTGAAAATAAAATGACAGCGTCGGACGAAGACGTCGACCCACGGGAGAAACCGATCTGATCTAGTTACCTAATAACATTCACGAATCCTCATTCATACTCATCGCTTTTCGATGTTATCGAGGTATATATTAAAATAGGGGTTGTCTCTGTCCGGTGGCTAGCGACGTCGACGACTTTTTGCCCCTAACCCCAACGAATTTCCCTCGGAATTCCCATCGCGGGTTCTTTTTACCTCGGACTCCGAGGTATCTGAAAGGCGATCGCTTTTCAATTTCGAACCCGACCAGGTCGTTCTCCGTCAAGCTGCTCCCGTCTCCTGGAACACGTGTTTGTGAAACAACATATTCTATCGATAAGGTCAAATTTTCTCCGGTATCTCGTACCTGGATAATCCACCGTTCCTCTCTTGCCGGGTTCGTAAAACTCCGCGATGCCCCTCTTCCCTCTCATCCCGTGGAAGCCCATTCGCGCTCTTTTGAAGGAATCGCTACCAGCTTCCGTGTCTTGAAAATTCGTACCACCTTTTTCATAATCGAACGGACCGTGCTGTAAGTAAGCGTCGAGAACGTTTTCCTTACCTGGCATCCCCTGCAAAATACGCGCAATTCTGCATTGAACGTAATGCGATGTACGACCGCGGTCGAGAGAGGAATACATGGAATAGAAGTACACGCGTGCTTAAGTCATCGTATAACGTAAATGGAATCAAATAAACCGAGTAAAATCCGACGATTTCAACCGGGATTATAGTATTACGAAACGTTCGCGCTTATCTTTGCGTTTTATGGAATAGTCTACGTCGACTTACGTGAAAAGCCATAACATCTCGTTTATCGAGTTCTTCCAGCGTGTCAAGAATCATTTTTTTGCCCCTCGTTCCTTGGAATCCCATCGGGCCTCTTTTTTCCCATTCTCTTAGATATTCGTCCCCTTTATCGAGTATATTTTCATATCGATCCGTAGGGAACGCTCTCCTCCCGTAATCCGGATAATCGGACAAATAAACGTCTTTGTCCTTCGAATCCTGGAACCTTCCCTTTTTAATTTCGTCCAAGATCTGCACATAAGTTTGTCATACTACAACCTTTTTAACCGGAAGCCCGAGTAAGAACCAGGAGAATATTCTAACGGTGGTACTCTAAATAAGATTACCGGGAACTAGACATAAATGGTATCACACTTTTGTTCTCAGCGTCGTTCAGTTATTTTTATAGGAAATTTTATCGCAAAAGATCGATAATTAAAATTGTCGACGAATCGTCTTCTGGTACGTTTACCTCTTCGAGAGACTTTTTGCCCCTCATTCCCTGAAATCCCATCGGTGCACGCTTGTAATAGTCGTCGTCCAGCTTCTTCCCCCTCATTCCTTGAAAACCCATCGGCGCCCTCTTCGCGTAATCGTCCGGCGAATAAATATCCTCCAACTCGGTGATTAAATTCGTCTTCTTACCTCGCATACCTTGAAATCCCATCGGCGCGCGCTTATTGGTCTCCTCCGCGAAAAGTTTGTCGTCGGCAATTATCGAGTTTTTCTTTCCACGCATACCCTGCACGAGCACAGATAAAACCACGTGCATAAATGTCTCTCTCGAGAGAGAGTGAAGCGATTAATCGACGGGAACTAAGAAAGTTATTAGCATCGGGAGGGTAGTTACTTGGAAACCCATCGGCGCACGTTTCAAAAGTTCCTCGGGGTCCAGCCGGGCGAAACTCTTTTTTCCTCGGGCCTCCTCGAACCCGTCGTCGTGCTCATCGGCGAAACTGGGTTCCGATTCCTCGGCCAGTACGAACGTGATCAATGTCAGCGAAAGGAAGATCGGGAAGATGTTCATTCTGGAACAAATGATATTTAAGTATGTATTGGCTATATAGTCAATCCCAAAAGTTTATGTACCTTAGAAAAACGCATTTCCTATAATNGACTGTATAGCCAATACATCCTTAAACGAAACGAAATTAGACGAGCGACAGGTTTAAAGACAGGATAATGTTCATAAAGGTAACGCAGCGAGACATTCAGACTCATGGGGTGATCTTCATTGACCGATGGCCAGGGGCACCACTTTTTAACTTTAAACTACGCGGTAAACTTTGTCGACCGTACATACACGCAGCTTGATTAAAGCGTATCTCGACGTCGCATGTACTCTCAGCAGCGGAGCTTTGCGGATTTTCCTGTCATCGTTCCTTGCTTCAATTTATTGTGTCGTTCCGTTTAACCACCGCAACGGCCCCTGTTATTCCGCGTGCCTGTGCCCCGGGGCAAAGGATCATACGATTTTTTGTGGTTTCACAAAATTTTATGATCCTTTGACGACGCCATTCGGATACATAGTATTTAATTCGTGATATCGATTACCGTTGTCTGCGCGGGACACAGTTTTCATCTTTGATTGAGAACAGAAGTGGATGGTTCCTGATTGGTTATTCCATCGGCGAGGTGGAACCGGTCGAACGGGAAAAGAATAAGTAACGAATTGATCGGTGGCGTTAACGATCAGAGCTAGCCGTTTTGCTCTCGGTTCGAGGTCAGCTCGTTGGCTGACGTAGAGTAAACGGAGCGAGGATTTCCCGGTGAGAAAAAGGATAGATTAAGGGGTGAAAGGGGGGAGAACTCCTCCGGCGGTGAAAAGACAAGGGGGGTAGTTGCTTCATCAGGTAGGTGGTGACGTATAGATATATGTTCCGTGGTAAGCCAGCATTTCTTCACCGGGCCGGTCACTCGTGTAATCGTTGGAAACGAGCTCTACCCTACACCCGATACTCTCTCCTAAAATCGATGATCCGTATCGAGTGGAGCTTTCTATCTAAATTCTAAAACTTGAACATGCAACCGTCGGTCCATCGGAGAAGAAAACATTTAACGATTCGATCGGCCGTATAATTTCTTCGTCCGTCGACGCTAGAAATTGTTTCGTAGATCACCGACGTAAGTGCCGATACCTTTACCCGTATCTCTCCCTTTCTCTCTGTTCGTTGTCAAGTAATTGGCTCACTCGGAAAGGACTTGTAGCCGAAAAAAGTGGAATATAGCGGGCTAAAAATATCGAAACAGCCGCGTATCGTGGAAGATGATTTTTTTTCTACCGACGAAGGTGAAACGAAAATAGCCGCGTTCAGCGAACGGGTGAGCGCAACGTAGCAATTTAAAGCTGCGCATCGGGGTTGAATGAGGACGGAACGCGATCGGATGAGATCGAGGGGGCGGTCGGAGAAACGGGCGAAAAGAGTAAAAGAAAAATATGGATATCGCTCGAATCGGTTTTCCAACTTCTGTTAATCCATTTTTCGCGTTATATTGTACTGCCGTCGCGACGGTGGCATCAAGAGAGAGCCAGGGTTGACCTTTACCTTTACCCTCCACGTAGGTACTTTTACCTCTACAGTGTTTTAACTTATGCATCTTCTTCAGATTTTTTAATACGTGATTAAACGAGTTTCGAGCGACGGAAAGGTCTCACCGAGAGAACTCGATGTAAAATAAGTCGTTGGATTCGCGTAAGAGAAGTGCGAAACACAAGCTCGTAAATTATAATTTTTGTACATTGCTCGGAAGGGAGGTTTCGTTTATTTCTTTGAAAAATCGTACTCCGGACGCGCGACCGCGGCCAGAGATTGACACGCGTATCGCCGACCAGTAATTTATCCCAATATGAATCTGCTAATTGGATTGCCGTGGAATAAAATGTTAATTTCCAGCGACCTTTGCCAGCGTCGATAATCCGATTGATACGAAACAGCGACGCTTCTTCATTTTATTTAACCGATCGATCGGTGGTCGAAGGAGATAATCGATCCGCATGGCGAGGGAGTATTACGTACATTTTTAACCTTATTCCGAAGGAAAATCAGGTGATGCAAAACGCGTGCATACTCCGTGAAACGTTGCGTGATCGCATGTGTGTTCGAGTTAATTTGTTCGACTTCTGGGTTCGAATATTTGCATGAGTCGAACGGACTTAACGATTTCGCGTTTAAAACGACAAAGTTGTTTCCCTTGTAAAGCAGTATCGATACCGGTCACGAGAGAGGGTCGAGAAACTGGAAAAAAAAAGGAGAGCCAGTTGCGGTAAAGCGGAAAGAGCGATTAAAACGTTTTCTTGTACTTGCGGCCTCGATTAAGACGAAACGTAACGTTGGATCCAGTAGAAAAGACTGCAGATCGCGAGGATCGTAGCGATCTCGATCGACCTGGCCTCGAGGAACTGTTGGAGATCTTCCTTGAGATCGGCGATCCTCCCGAGGGTGTCGTCGATGAACAGACTCCCCGAATGAGAATCCGGCATCTCGCCAAATTGTACGCGAGCGACGGTACTCGCCTCCACGCGATCCGACCTACACGTTCATCTGATTTTTCTTATCCTCTTTTTTTCGAGCATTCCTTTAACCTTAAAAGCCGGATCTCCGTTTGACCGTCGACCATCGGAAATTTCGCCGAGTCTCGAATCGCATTTGTTTATCTACAATTTCTGATAAATTACGCGCAGAGTAATATGTACGTACGAAGCGGGAGGACGGGCCGGTCTCGCGCGGGTTCACGCGTGAATTCGTAACGCGATTTCACGGATACGTCCACCGTTCATTACTTTTACATCAAAGGGAATCTCGGGATCTGCATAGTGGAAAAAATCCGCTTAGAGAACGGTCATCAAGATGGAAAGCGATACCCACGTTTCTCATTTATTCCCAATCAAAGACGATCTGGACAGTTTTGAGATTCTCCATTGCGAGGAATTATTAAAGAACGAAACGGAGGACGAACATGGCCGACGGAAAGAAGACGAGGTGAAGGAGAGACGTCGGCTCGAGGACACCGAGAAGATTCGTCGCCGTGGTTTCCGTTCCTCGCGATCCCGCGGAGTTCGCCAGCCGAGAAGTTCGAATCGTGAAAGCTTCGCCGGGTGTGACGAGAGTGCAAACACTCGGAACGAAGTAAGTTGCAAAAATAATGCAGAGGTCTGGTACGAAGAGGAGCTAACGGGAGTAGCGTACAAACAGAAAAACACTCGACGAGCTAGGGAAGAACTCGATTTCGCTCGCGTCTCGCGGCAAGACGAAGACGTGGGCGTAGGGAAAAAAGGAACGATACAAAGTAGGTCCGAGTGTCGTCTTTGTTCTGAAAACGTCGATACGCTTAGTCGGTACGAGCATCGTTCGCGGTGCGTCCAATGGCCGCCGAGCAAGGACGATCTTGATTTCGAGAATAATGGTCGCGTCGCGAGTGAGACTTTTCAACAATGTCAGAGTCGGGAACAAGAGAACCGTGGCAAGAAACGTGGTCGTCGTCGCGATTTCGAGTCGAGTCGGATCGCCGCAAAAACGGAGATCACAGATCGCGCGGACGAGAGGAACAAGGTCGGACCGTTGAAGTTTAAAAGGTCGACAGTGCCGGACCGTTCGTTCGATGATGGTGGAGTAGCCAGAAATCTCCACGAGAACGTTAAACCAACGGGTCGATTTCGTGGAAATTGGAATTTGAACCGAAACCGTAATGGAATCCACTCGCGGTCTTGCATCGAAACGGGCAGGAAAGACAATAACGATGATTGTACGACGTGTACAAGCTCGTGCGCAACCTGTTGCTGTTCAAACCCGAACTTGGTACAAATTGGATCCTGTGACCATCGATACCGTCAAAATTGTAACGTCGACGCGCTCGAGAGAGAACGGGAAACGTCGAGAGTCTTCATCGATCCCAACGTAAAAGTGAATAAGCCCGAGGACAGCCGTGATAAAACGAATTTGAAGAAAGTCCTCGTTTATCCTCCGCACAGAGACGGTCCGCCGTTGACGCTTTACAAAAATGCATCGAACATCGAATGCACGGTGAGGGGGAACGTAAAGGATGGATTTCGTTACGACGTGACCTACGTGCAAAAGTTCGTCAGTTCTCTTTTTGGAGGCGAACGCAAATAGCACAATTCACCTCCGTTCACCCTCTCGTTCATCCTCTAACGTTATTAATGAAAATTATTTTTCTCATTCGTCTGATATGTAATTAGAGATCGAATTCAATTTCCGAGAGAGGAACTTCTTTCTAGTCGCACGTGAAATTTTTTCTTTACGGTGCGAGGAATCGCGTGTCGAGGGGAAAAACGTGAAAATGGGAAAATTAGAAAGGACGTAGCTGGTAGCGGTTTTCGCAAAAGTAGCCACCCGCGAGCAAGGAGACCGAGGTAATCCGATAAAACGAGAGATTGCATACCAAATTGGAAAGTCATTGCGTGAGTCGCGACAGCCGTTAGCTCCGGTGTTCGTTAAATTATGTTTCTTCTAGTGTTAAGTGATCAAGCACTCGATTACCCGTCCTCAACGTCTTCGCGGAAAAAGGAAGCCTCGGACGATTACTGGAGTAATTACTCGAACGAGCATTAGACTTGCCCACCTCCCACGGTTCGATCGCGTAACAATTTTACGTTACGTGCTTATCGCGGTAACGCGGAAGAGTTATGAGCGTTCGCTAGCGCGCGATTTTATTTAATTCGGAACCTTTTAAAAAATAACCGCGAGGGAGATAACGCGTACGCCGCCACGATTTCACGTAAAGACTTTATCTTGCCTGGAAACGCTTTCAATAAAAATGCCAATAACCACCACGCGTATCCGCGCGTCCGCGAGGTTGGCACAATTTTTTCCCAAGACTTTTTGTCGCACCACTGAAACGAGCGATTCGTGGATCCTCCGTGGACCATACAGATTTTCGTCCGGCTAAATCGAATCGCTTAAACTTCCGAGCGGAAAACGCGACGCCGCGGTTGCGAATCTGCGAGTGAATACGTACAAACTGGAAAGTACTGGCAAGTGGCGTGCATTGTCATAAATGAGGATCGATGCGAAAGCGGTTTGAAAGTTTCATATTCGCCTGTCGCCGAGCTGTTTCACGGTTTTACAGTTTCGTATCTTCGACCGATATTTATACTCGCTCACCGAGAGTCGCGAGATCGGCGAGAGGCTGCGGTATTATAGGTGTACCGACACCCCCGACGTCGGCGAGTATATCATGCGACCGATTCGCCGTTCGTGCCAATTACTCACGGTATTAATTATTAATTACAGTTGATTGTCACGTGTCATTTCGCGTATCGATCACACGTCCCGTCGCGTGGAACCTAGAAAGAAACGAAGAATCGAAGCAAATAAAAAATATTACTGTCCTAACCATTTTAGAGTTCGTCCCTTTTTATAACGACAATAAGATGAGCGCATAAGCACTCGAAACAATGTGCAGCACGTACGCAGGTAGACACATATAGAAATAAAAGGGCAACGCGCGGCTGCCTAGCAGCGGATCTTCATTAACCGGCATATGGATGCACGGTATCGGATATCAGACGGTACGATGCCACAGAATTCTGTGATTTCAAACCGTATAGCGTTGAAAATAAGACCGTTGCCGAATAATACTCTCTCAAAGGTGATTGAAATATCCTGCGTTATCCGAGATAAGGAAGCGATTTGGTAAAAGGGAAACAGCGAAAGAAACATCGTTTACGATCTTTCATCGTTATTACCAGCTCGCAAATTGTAGATTAACTTTTAAATCTGATTTGCATCGGACTATGTAATATTAATCGCAAGGCTCAAATGGACTTCTCCTCGGTTCAAGAATAACCGATTACCGTTGCAAATTGCTCCATGATCTTTGAATTATTCCGTGCTTCTTTCGAGAGGGATATTTCAGCTCGACCATTAACTCTCTAAAGGAAAAAGTTATCCAGCCTTTGCATGCGTTAAATTTCATTTCAATACTGAATAACAAATCCGTTCGCGTTTCTCTGTTAAAAGGTTCAACGCAAAAGAAATAACTATTTCTAAGAAAACTGGGAGTAAATGTAGCTGCTAGTGAGTCGTATAACGATCTGAAACACGCGCGGCTTATTCTACGCTTGTATTCCAATTATAAAATGAAATTGTCTAAAAAGATCGTCAAAATAATTTGACTGATAGGCGTCCAATTATGGAAGGATTACCAGAGCTGGGAAACACGGAGATCAGATAACTCGGTATTTAGCGATAAAGAGTGGGAGTTAGCGGTTTTAAAATTACATTTACTTCGGGAGCAGATCTCTGATTTATCTAGCGACTTTCCAATCGCGATAGAAGTCATTCCCGACTCTCTTCTCGCCATTTTCCATTTAACTTTGACCGCGGTACTTAACAATGAAGAGGACCCCTAATGCAATTTTAGAACCGAGCCAGACCAGCAAATACTGTCGTATCGTACAGAATTGATCGCTTCGCTGGTGCGTTGAAGTCTCCTTCCCTTGGGCGCTTGACGAATCTTCGCGTCTTTTGTAATTAAAACTTGTTAGAATGGAAGCATGCACGATTGTGTCCTTAAAGAATCGTTCGCGTCTCTTATGAAGAAAGATGGAAGAGTCTGACGGGGCGGAAGACCGCTAAGTAGTGTAAGTCGGCGCGTGGTCAGACGGGAAGCGTAGGACGGGTCCGGAGGTTTATGTTAATTAGGAGAACGAACGAATGTAAGGGATAATGATCGGGTGGCTCGTCGCTGTAGCCGATATCTCGGCAACTTCGGTAATTGCGTCGTGTTGTATGCGTGCAGAGATATACGCCTGGTATCGCGTAAAAGTTTTAATTAAATCTTGATCTTCCCGACCGCGAGGTAATTATCTTACCCGATGTGACTTTGCCCACGACAAACAGGTCATTTTCCCTGGTCTTTATCTTCTGACCACGAGATATTATAACGCGATAATGCACTGCGCGCACGTACATATACACCTAATGCATACCGGCGCTCGTTGCTGCTTCTCGCTTTTCATTCATATCTTTCAGGAAGAAAGTAGGACCGACGTAAGTAACTCGACGTTCGAGAAAAATGGCTGGAAAATTGGAAGAAATCTTGCTCGTTCGATCGACGAATTAATTTTGCGATATGGAAAATGAGCAAAGAAAACAGAAATGTAATAAGGAGAGGGTAGTTCCTGCGAGTTTCTTTTGATACGGCTGCCTCGATACTCGCCGCGTTTCGCTCATATTTTCATTTCTCAGAGGGAAAAGGAGCCTCGGTTTCTTTTTGCAGCCTGATTAACAATAAGTACAAGAATGTCCTTAAGATAAACGGAACGAGCGTCGAATAAAACGGTAGAGCGGTAGATATACGAAGAACATGAAGATATTGAAACCGCACGGAGGGCAAATCCTTTTAGTTAATTAAACGGACAATTTTAAGATCAACGATCAGACAGAAGGATTCGAGTGCTTTGCAATATCTTACTGCGGGGATATTAGTTAAAGATCGTATCTGAAATCTCGCGTTTCAATGCAATCATTGAACGCCCGGAATCGATGCTTCGATATTAAACAATTAGACACTGTGCATACACGGATGTTACGTACATAGCTATGCGCGTTCTGCTGAAATTGATTCCGACTAACGCGATAAGGGGAAGATGAATAGCCTGATAAGATCGGTACCCGTTTAACTGGGTGTGCGCCGAAGTTCTTTTGTTTAACTTCAGCAATTTCAATCCCCCAAAAAGCAAATGAAATAGAAAAACCAGTACGCGAATTTTATACGATTAAAAATATTCGATAATGTTCTGTGTGCCAAAAGCGCAGCGCCCGGAGCGATTTAAAATCGACGCATACGGGACTCGAAATATAAAATTGTTAAAATCCGATTTCGCAAAAAAAAAAAAAAATACAGGAAAGGCATTTCGCGAATCATCGGTTTTCTGGTTTCGCATTTCAGAGATATAAAAGCGTGCAGGTATAACGAGGGCGAAGCGCACGGTAAATAATTATTCGGCAAACAATTTTCGCACGTTCAAGACGAGTGTTACTCACTTTCGTCTCTCGCTGTTCTCCTTCGTTTACCTGTCTCGGATGAAAGCTGGGGACAGCTCGCAAGGGTCGATGCCGACGAGCCGGCAGTCCGCTTACCGATGCGCGTGTATCTCGAATTAAAAAACGATGTTCGCGCGTTGAGAAACAGACGGGAGACCAGAGGGTGATTCAAAGATGCCACCCGCTCGACGTAACGGACAACGATGAACTGACGCCCCGCGTGCTTCACCTTATACATAGGCCGGCGTCGTGACGTCATGGATCTCTGGGACCAATGAGAGAACGTAGCTCGCACCACCGTCGGGGATGGAAAATCTAACCCCCGTACCCCTTTCGTCGTAAATATCTCGGGGAAAACTTGTAGCTACCTTGAATACGTAATATTTGGATGACCGCCGATTTCCTCTTCCGCTCCGGGAGTTCCCCATTACTTTTTTCCATCCTTGCCCTCCTCCCACCCCGCTTCGTCCGCTCGTGTCACCGTCGGAGCTCGAATAAAATCTTGGTTTAACGAAACGAATTCTGGCCGGTGTCTCGCGTTTCCGCCGTTGCTGTTACATTGAAGAAACAACCGGCTGGTTCAACATACATACATGCAGCACGTATTTGCGCTGTCCACCAATCATCCTGTATTTGCTCGATCTGCGACGCTACCAACGACAATGTATATTACAACATAACATAATTCGGAGCGCGGTTATTTTGCGATTGAATCAACAACGATCGATCGCCGGGAGAGCATTTAATAAAGTTGTTAATGCGGCAAGTGCAACAATGTCATGAAACGATATCCCGCGTCGTTTATATTCTAACGAACAACGCGGCTAATAACAAGTCGTAATGAATATTCATATCGGTTTACCATACGCACAACAGAGATGTTCTGAAAGGTGGCACAACCCGAATAGACGTACATTTAATAACTACGTGACTAGTCTGCTAAAAGTACATTTCATTTTCCCAGAAATCCCGCGTACCCGCGGTGAAACGGTGGGTATGTGCGGGTATCCGGGTGCCGCGGGCCATGCGTCGATATCGCGTTTTAATAAAACGGACATATTGCTCGATTGATAAGGAGAATCGAACAGATGAATCGATTCGATTGGAACACAGTTATTGCATTAACACTTTTTCTTTTCATTTATTAATGGTTATCTACCCCATTTCGTGAAACGAACTGAGTTTGCACTCGCACCCCTGCTGTCGATTCGTGCATACACGCGTTCGAAAATAGGAATAACGATAACGATTTTGCATATCGAAGAATGATGCTGGGAAGCTAAATGGAAACTAGCCCAAGGCGACGCATCACCCGGAACGGAGTAACTTGGTTGTTTGTTTCGTATGCGCAACTTGACAGCTCCGAGGGGAACCCGCGGACGTAGAAACGTAGCGTTGAACTTTGCCGGAACAGATGGTAAACGGATGAATCTGAAGGAATATTTGTTTAACATTTATTATGCGATCCGGTTGGAAACGAGGAGATGAACTACAGTAAGAGAGAGAGAGAGAGAGAGAGAGAGAGAGAGAGAGAGACATGAACAATGGTAAGTCGTCTGAAGACGTTTGGCGGGGTAGTTCATGAGTGAAGAAACTGGTGTTAGTTACACGGTCGATCTGCCATGGTCACGCGCCGTTACCATCTCTCGCGAAGAAAAATACACCCCTGTGACCGGCGCTCCTTCCCGCGCTCCGTAATCGCACTATAATTTCACTTCTTATATGCAAGTGCATGCACGTCGTGCGCGAAAGAAATGCAGCCATAGCTCATCGACGAGTCCGTTCCTCTTCGCGAGAGACAATTCTCGCGCAAACTAATATCGACACACCTATAAAGGTCGCTATAAAAACAACGTAACTCCGGGCGCGTGTTCCCCGAGTAATCGCGAAGTAAGGAAGAACATGAAAATAAGGAAGAGGACGTCTTTGAAAACTTTTTAATGAATCAGCGGAACGAATAAAAAGATGTTACTGCGGTAATATCAGGTACGATTGCCCTGCTGAAACCTTGAACCTTGCATTCGCGATGCACGCGTCGCGCACATATACGTACGTACGTACGTGCGCGTTCGAAAAGTCGCTGCGGGCGACGTTCTTAACGGAAAATTGATTGTTCCTCTTCCCGTCGAAGGAATTGTGCACCTGTGACTGATCGCGAGAACCCTCGGGCTCCGCCGAACCACAGAATCCTTATTTGTTCCGTTCCCCTCAAACGTTGTAACTCATCACAGATATCCTGTTATCATCAAGGCGGAAGTGGGCCGATCGGATCTCCTATCGTTTGACTTCGGAATTTTTACTTAAAAAAATCGAGCGCTGCCTTTTCTAATTTATGCGTTTCTTTTATTATGTAGCGGTGGTACAACAAGTAAAGTACTCGTTTCCTTGCGGCGAGCTTGATGAGAGCGGAGCACGTACTATGTATACCGTAGGTTTATCCTGATAATACCACCGAGCCATCTGCAGTTCCTTCGTTGTTTCCCTCACGCGCACGTACACGCGATAATTCTTGTCTATCTACCATTTAAGTTTAATCATATTCAAAGTTACACGAGGCGTGATAAACAGTATTTTTCCAAAGATCTCGATAAAAGTCCTGCTGGCAATTTTATAAAAAAAAACTCGCGACGCTGAACTTATTCTGAAAACTAATAAAATTCTTGGCTAGATCAGAGAAAATCTGAATCGTGTTTCGAAGTGATCGCGCTAAAGGGTAGACAACGCGCTCTCATGGGAGCTGTGCGTACTAGCACGTAGCAGAAGAGACGACAACGCGAACGTGAAGCAAAACACAGGGAACAGAACAGGAGTTCAGAGCTCTCGACGCGATTCGGTATAGGTGATGCTGTAATTAACCTAAGTGATTTGCACGTTGCAACGAACAACATCGAGCGATGGGCGATAAATCGGAGGGTTTGAAAACGAACGAGCAGATCATAGAAGAGCTGACGAAGGACCTCGAGAATTCTTGCATCCGAGCGGGCGAGAACGACTCGCCCGATTCCACGAGTGCGAGAACTGGCGATGACAGTTCTTGTAACCGTGCAGAAAAGAACAGTGACGATGGTAACGAGTGCGAAACGGACAGCGTATGCGGGAGGAGTAGAAAAGATTCCGTGGACGAGGAATCGCTGAAGGACAGAGATTTAACCCTATCCGAGAACGAGAAAGAAGTTCGTATTTATCTACGAGAATGACATGGGTACGATCTCGTTGGTCACGTCTTATTTATCTTTTTCAGAGCCTCAAGAACGAAGCAGAGGAGTGTAAAACAAAGGGAAATGAATTTTTCAATAAAGGAGAATACCAGGAGGCGATATCTATGTACACACAGGGCTTGCAGACTTGTCCCCTGGCATACAGTAAAGAACGATCCATACTGTATGCAAACAGAGCAGCGGCAAAGTCCAAGTCTCTGGTAACGTCATTCTTCGTATGATTGGTAAAATTTTTTGATAAGACTCGATTATTTACGTTACAATATTTAAATAGGATCAGGAATCTGCGATATCCGACTGTACAAAGGCCATCGAATTAAATCCAGATTACGTGAAAGCTTACGTGAGGAGAGCACAATTGTACGAAGCATCCGATAAATTAGACGAGGCTTTGGAAGACTACAAAAAAATCCTGACGTTCGATGCTGCTCATTCAGAGGCCAATCACGCGGTTCTGGTAATTGTCACAGAAGAAAGCCTTCTTTCTGTCAGTTCCATTAGCAGATGTTTTAAAAGTTACACGTCCACAGAGATTACCACCGATGATCAACGAGAGGAACGAGAAACTGAAAACGGAAATGCTCGGAAAACTGAAGGACCTGGGAAACATGATCCTGAAACCGTTCGGGCTGTCCACGAATAATTTCGAACTGCAGAAAAATCCGGACAGCGACGGCTACTCCGTAAAATTTAATCAGAATCCTAATTAAGTCAACGTTGATCGGTGTACATTAAGGAAGAATCGTGAAAACATGTCGCGTTGTATTTATAAGTACTTTACCTACGTTCTATTCGAATGCTGTGTGCTTCTTTTAATAAAATAAAGATATATATGTAAACGTTGAAAAGTGTTCATTTGGAAGGAAATTACGAAATATATGTTTCTCAATGACACCGCCTCGTTCGTCGTACGAAGTTAGCATTTATTACCGACTGACTGTCCCGATCGATTCATATCACGCTTGCTGTTATAATGCGAGTTTAAGTGTACGTTTATTCCTCATTTACCGTAACGTGTATCGTAAGTTGCATAGAAATAGATAATTCATGTTCGCCACGTCGGAAAACGAATCGATAGATTTGTAAAAAAGTTGGAAAGTAATGAGCCTTTGAACAGGGCCGGGCCATTGACACCGCTCGCTGCATTTCTAACAGTTTCCTCGACTCGTCCATAATTTCAATCTAGTTTTCAATTTTTCCCCTCTAATACCGCGGTCCTAATCGTTTATGTGTCGTATAATCTTAATACGATTTTCTCTTAAAATGTCCCAACCAATTCGTTTTCCGTACGGCCTACATATCGAGCAGCGTCGTGACATTGCGATAGGGTTGCGCACGCGTATTCACGTGGTGTCACGTGGTCCGGGACCGGAGGGATGCGACAGAGGAATAGGGGCGCGCACATATCCAGCAGGGGTGGATTGCGAACGTGGTGCGTGTCTGCGCGAGCGCACGTACACGTACGTGGGCAGCGTAAGAGGGAGAGAGAGAAAAAGCCGGAGCGAAGAGGGTGTGTATACGTCGGGGGTGAAATGCGAAGGGAGGTTTCATTCGCGAGCAGCACGTAAACGAGGTGAACGGCGGCCTGCAGTCGATCGGCGAACGATAAACGGTCGATGGAGGGTGCACGTACGGAAGCGCGGAGAAATCGTAGGTGTACACGCGATTGAGCGACGTTCCGTCACGCGAGAGAAGCGGTGAGATTCGTTCGGTGAACGGGAAAAGTAGAGAATCGGAGCGAGCGCGCGGGTGGACGGAACAGGGTGGGATAGAAAGGGGGGCGAGAGAGGAGAAGGGAGTCAGGGGTGAATGAAAAATAGAGACAAGGGTAAGCGAAGGGTTGGCGAAAGAATCGCGGGTAGGCCCGGTGAATCGTCTCGAACTGGTGTTCCCTCGGGAGAGAAACGAGGATGGCCCCGGCGACGCGACGTCTGGACACCGCGCGAGTTAATAGAACGACGGGGGTGGCTCAGTGAATACGACGCCTACGTGCGATAAACAACCGAGAACCGGAGGACGCCTACGTGCCGCTTCCGAGAACGCATCGTGACCCACGGCTTTTATGCAAATCGATAATTCGAGGACGGGACGGCGATAAAAGTTTGTTCTCGGTTTCGCAAAAAAAGCGTGTCCGACGTTGCTGTCGTACGAACAACGGCGACGGTGACGACATCGCAACGGTTCAGATTTTCACGTTACGAGGTCGCCGATTCGAATCTGCCGGTGAACGATGTGCAACGTTCCCGAGAAGAGGGTAAGCCGAAAAACCGTGAATCGGGCGTACGAACTCAGCTATGGAGCCACGGTTTCGTAGCTGCAGTTTAACGATCGCTAGAAATATCGAATTGGGTCACTTTCACTCGCGCCTCGCTTTGTACACGTATTCTTCTTAGACGAAGTTGCTCAACACGGCCCTTTTGTCACAGATTCTTACCGAGTCGTGTCCGAGAGACACGTACGTGGTTTCGTAGTCTTAAAATAAGGATTTCTCTGACACAGCTAGCGTTTCGTTCTCCTATTTGTATTTATCATAATTCGGTGCAGACAATTTGTTATTTTCTATATTTCAGTCGAAGACGATGAGGCGGATTCAGCTGCAAAATAATTTGCGGAGGAAAAGGTGGCCCTTGCGCTTTGCCCTCTTCATCATTTACGTGTTAGTTCAGTATGTCACTTCTACGAAAATACCCCTATATTCTGAACTCGCGGACACCGAAGAGAACGTGACCCGGGAGTCAGTCTTGGAATCGTATGTGACCGAGGCGAGTGAAAATCTCGAGAACGAAGAGACGGAAAAAGAAAAGGAGAAAGAAAAAGGGAAAGCGTTACCAAACGAGAACGAAGAGAAAGCCGAGCCGAAGAATAAGGAGGAAGGGAAGAAAATCGAGGAGTCGAAGAACAAGGAGGAAGGGAAGAAGAAAGAGGAGCCCAAGAACAAGGAGGAAGGGAAGAAGAAAGAGGAGCCCAAGAACAAGGAGGAAGGGAAGAAGAACGAGGAGTCGAAGAACAAGGAGGAAGGGAAGAAAAACGAGGAGGAGAAGAAACAACAAGTAGGATCGAAAGAAAAAGATGAGAAGGAGAAGATGCGTGGACAGCCGCAGAAGTCGAAGGAGGAGCTAGGAAAAGTGGTGGCTCCGAAAAAGGAAACGACAACGGCAAAGAGCGTGACCACAACGGTGAGAATCATGGATCCATGATTCTTGTCCTTCTTATCTTTGCGACGATCGTTTCCGATCGTGAGTTCGACCGTAAAGCATACAACAAGCATCGATTATTTTCGAGATTCCAGGTGCCGGCAACGACTACCATCATATATGAACGAGCGACATGGAGGCCGCGACGGGAGAACTGTTCTCCACCGGCCATCGAACAGTTCCCGCGATCGATAATGGGTCCGTCGGCCCGGAAACACGGAGGCCTGATCCTTCATATTCTAGTCGCGATTTATACGTTCCTGGGGCTCGCCATCGTCTGCGACGACTACTTCGTCTCCAGTTTAGACAGAATTTGCGAAGGTAAAAAGAATTTCAAAAGATCCGAGCAAGTAAAAAGATTCGAGATCTATCGAGTTGTTTGTTCCTGTTTAGAACTGAGGTTGTCGCCGGACGTTGCCGGTGCAACTTTCATGGCCGCCGGTTCCTCAGCCCCTGAGCTGGCCACCGTGGTCATCGGCGTTTTCTTCGCCAAAGATGACATTGGAGTAAGCTTACAAGATTCATAAAATTATTTTATTTCTTAAAAAAATTGCATCATCTGTCATGCGTGTGCGAATTATCAGTCGAACGTCAGCTACATAGGCAGCGTCGGATTTGCAGGTGAGCGGTGTGATTGGAAGCGCAGTGTTCAACATAATGTTCGTAATATCGCTCTGCGGCCTCTGCTCGACGACGGCGTGTAAATTGAATTGGTGGCCTCTTTGCCGAGATTCATTTTTCTACGCGGTATCGATCCTGGTGATGCTCGGCACAATCTACAACGAATCTATATCTTGGTAAGAGACGTTTTCTCGTCCCGTTGATGCCCCGTCGAAACGAGACGAACCGCGTGCATTTTGCAGGATGGAGTCGCTGTTCATGCTGATCATGTACGTCGTGTACTGCGTCGCGTTATCGTTCAACGCGAGGCTGGAACGATGGGCCAAGTCGTACAACATACCATTTCTACCTAAGGACGACGAACCCGCGGAGGAGAGCGCCCTCGTTAGCTACAGATCACTCCAGGAAGATCGTTTATCCTACACGGGACCAAGTTCGCCGGTGACGGATCAGTTCAAAGCTCCCGAAGGTATACACCTGAAAATTTTCATTCTTACGGATCAGATGGTTCATGAAAATGAAACTCTGTAGACGGAGTAGGAGCAGGGGACGCCGCTGCCGTGCCGGGAACGAACGAACCGACGCCGGCACCGAAGCAGCCTGAATATTACAAAGCGAAAGAGCCGGACCCGAACGAGGTGTCGCCGTTGGAAAGACCCACAGACGGTAGCCAGTGGACCCTGTTCACGTGGGGTCTCGTCTACCCGATTCACTTTATGTGCCGCGCCACAATGCCTGACTGTCGACAAGAGAAATTTCGAAACTGGTATCCCTTTACTTTTTGCGTATCAATGGTTTGGATCAGTTTCTATAGCTACATTATGGTGTGGATGATCACGATCATAGGTAAGCGAACGATCGGCAAAGAAACGCCGCTGTCTTCGATTTCCCTCTTCCCGCCGTCGGCGCGGTGTGTCTGTTCGCGTTTAGGAAACAATTCTCGCATTGTTCGCAGGGAGCACTTTGGGTATCCCCGACACGGTGATGGGTCTGACGTTCGTCGCTGCCGGTGTCAGCGTACCCGACGCGCTGTCTTCGTTGGCGGTAATAAAGGAAGGCCTGGGCGACATGGCGGTGAGCAACGCCGTAGGTAGCAACGTCTTCGACATCCTAGTTTGCCTCGGGCTTCCATGGTTCATCCAAACCGCGATGATACAACCCGGTTCCCACGTGAACGTGACCAGTCGAGGTAAGACCCCTCGCACGCACACCCCGTTACAGTCGTTCAAACCCATTCGTTTGGGGCAGGGCTGACGTATTCGACGGTGTCCTTGCTCTCGACGGTAGTATTCCTGGTACTCGTCACCCATTGGAACGGCTGGAAGCTGGACCGGCGATACGGAGTGCTACTGATGATTTGGTACTTGGTGTTTATCGTATTCGCTTCGCTCTACGAGCTAAACGTTTTCGGGGAGATGAATCCGCCGGTGTGCTACAGCGCGTTCTAAGAGAATCGTCAGATCCACAGACTGCACGCTCGGTTTCGTTTGCATTGCGCGTGTCCCACTAATTATGCTATTAACAAAAAAACGTAGTTTCCCGGGAGCTCCTCTATAAATCTTCCACTGCTTCTCTTCCCGTTTCTCCATTCGTACGGCTCCTTCCAAGTTGATTCATTCTTCCTGCCCCTGCCTCTTGCCTAGATCTTGGTCGATTCCCCTACGTCGATGATCTCGCTTCCATTTCACGTGTACATACATGTACAATGTTCCCCCCTAAAACGAAATCGGATCTCCCTTTCTCTCTCGTGTAACGTACTTGCATGTTACGAACCATTTAAACGGACAATACATTAATCAGTATTACGAGACGAACGACCCGTTAAGTACGTACACGTATACATACTATATATACGTAGGAACCTAGCGTGAGTAAGTAGCGAGATAGGGCTACATAGTTTTAATCCGATCGATCCAATCGGCTGGTCTTCTTTCTCTCCGAAACCCTCGACGCGCTCGAGACATCCGTTCCACTTGTCGCGCGCGACTCGTCGCCAGTGGAAATTCGGGCACGAAGAAACTCGGGCCAATCGTTCTCCTCCTGATGCGAAAGATCTCGTCCCGAAGAAACGCGCGTCGAACCATGACGATGTTCAACGTAGTCTGAGGAAAAGCTGTTCGAACGTTCCTTCCTCGCTCCGAAACTTCTTCGCCATTCGTCTCTTTCTGTTTAACTCACGGTCGTCTCTCAGTTCGCGCAAGATCAGTTCAGTTCTGTCGAATCGTCTTTATTAAATCCGTCCGCGTGTTCGTTCATCCGTGTATTATTACCTCGAGATACGACGACCAAATCCTCTCCACTCCCCTTACTCTCTTCTGTCCTCTATTACTTTTTTTAGGAACACGTACTCGATGCATTTCGCGTACACACGTTGCGTCCTTTATTCTTACTTACGATTAGAATCCGTTCCTTTTCGAGTTTCAACGAACGGTTCACGATTAGTTAGAGAAAAGAGGCGAGTGCTTCGAACGAGTCGAGCGAACGATATCGACTACGTCTCGAGTCGTTCCAGTGCCGTAAACGAACTACGTACGTACGTAAGGAATTGGCGTCGACGGGGGAGTGTAAGATATTTTATGTCCGTAGAGGGTAAACTTTCAACGAGCGTGACCGATTAAAAAAAAAGAGACAATAATTAACGCAGCCTTATCCGATGAAAGTATTTACACGACGTGAGTCTGCACGGTTCTTGAGATCTCGTCGACGCGATCGATGAGCAAACGTTGATTAGTCAGTGAATCAGAAGACGCGTCACATCTTGATACCGAACGGTAACGACGGAACTCGTCGACGGATCCCAAGGATCGCGCAGACGTTTTAGCGTAAAGGTGTACGCGTATTTTATCTGCACGTACAACACATGCATTAGCCGTAGCTATACATATAAGTATTATACGACAACGTACGGGACAGCTTAGATTTATATATGATTACGTGTTTGTTCACACTAACTACGTTTACTATATCTACCGTTAGCGCTTCGAGCGGATTATATAAACTGATATTCGCGGTCACACGGTTACTCGCGAGGTGTAGCACGTCCGGTAGGTCCGATCGAAGATATTGGAACTGATATTAAGATCGCTGACTCGTAGTTGCGCGCAAAGTCTTCAAAGTATTATACATATATACACATATATATGTGCGTGTGTGTGATCTAGGATCGCGAGCATGAACGGCCTTCTCGTCAGGGGTTGGTCTTTCGAGAGAACGAGGCCCTGTAGTCCGGTTCGCTCGACTACTTTTATACGACCACGTAACTCGTAATTAACGTTCGAAAATTGGTGCCGATGTCTCATAGTCAATGAATCGATCAATTATCCTAGCGATGTTAATTGTTGTTACGCGTAGGTGTAATCCTTATAAATGTATAGGCTGATATATTACACTTGATCAATTCCTGGGTGCCCTTAACGTTTAAACGTAGTAAGTAGTGATCGGTCAATATGAATCAAAGTCAATAATACGCGACAACGGCGGTTTAGATGTTTTATGTACGGCTCCAACGAACATGTATTTACCCGTCCTACGTCCCCGTGTGTCGTCCACCAATTTTCGAACAACGAACCAATGAGAAATTTCATTCCTGAAATATAGGCTCGGAGTAATAAGGAGAGCGGAATCGTAGCAGAAACGGCGATGCGTTATCGACCTAGCAAATATTAATTATTGTTGACTACTGTAACTAATAGATTTTATATCGTGGCGTGATATACGTACACACAAGGAGATATACTTAGCACGTATTATATATACATATAAATATATATACAAATATATAAAGAATATATTGTACGCGTTTAGCTTGAAATTATTCATTTCGAACGATTCGGTTCTATTCTTCCTACGTGCGCGATGCGTTTATTATATATTCGTTGTGTCAATACGTCCGTGTACCTGTCATTGACAAGAGGGATCATCCGAATATTCAGTTCGCTCTCATTAATAATTAATCTCGCGTAACATCAACGGTACAGCGTTTCATCCTCTATACTCTATGTAAAGCGTGCAAAATGATCATGTCGTCAAATACGATTGAAGAGGAGATGAACTTGGAACGTCGCTGGCTGCTCGCGCGTTCGGCTATTATAGCGTGTAGCGACCCTTGGATAAAACTTGTAATAGACATGCCTAGCATTTTATACTCGTACGTACCACGATAATGCAACGTTAACGATAACTCGTAAGAATAGATTTAATTTTTCGATTAAGCTGAACGATCAACGAACAGACGTACGTGTATCGTACGATTTATACCCTGCGTGGGAGACGGGAGGCTAACGAAGTCGTGAAGAGACGTAAGCGCACGGTGCGCTCGTAGACAACGAAATAAAAAAAAAAAATAATGAAATGACAAGCGACGAAGCGGAAGAACAATGCGGTGAGAATGTAGCTCAAGCACCTTTTAGAATCGGTAATTAATTTCTATAATTGTGAACGAACTCGGAGCTCCCTCTGTTAACGTTTTTTCTCTTGTTGCTAGAAAACGTTTCCGCGACAGTACCTAAACCGTCAATATTATCTAGTCATAGCTTATATATAATATAATACGGCGTTATTGTGTAAATAACTGTTTTACCAATGTCGTAAAAGAAATAAATACAGATATGAATATGGATAAATAAATAAAGTTGTTTAATACGCATGTAATACAATAAATGTATGCAAAAGAACGGACCGAGCCTGGATTCTTATCGTCCCGTCATTATTGGATCGTCGAACAACCATTAAATTTTTCCTCACTGAGCAACGTCCCGTAATTTAATCTCATTGGTAATTTGTGTGTTCTAACGACCGCCGTGATCTCACGGTTTCGCTATGCGAGTGAACAAATCAATTAACAGCTCATTACCGAAACCATTAAGGATGTATTGGCTATACAGTCAATCCTAAAAGTTTATGTACCTTAGAAAAACGCATTTCCTATGGTTAAAAAGAAATCAGACATCGGAAGAATAATGCTAATAATAAATAGCTACGTGCTAAAAAGTATAGAAGGAAATATCCAATTAAGTATTGATGCNAATAATTAATTGAATATTTCGTTCTATACTTTTTAGCACGTAGCTATTTATTATTAGCATTATTCTTCCGATGTCTGATTTCTTTTTAACCATAGGAAATGCGTTTTTCTAAGGTACATAAACTTTTAGGATTGACTGTATAGCCAATACATCCTTAACTCGCGGCTTAACGATACCTTTGATGTACCTACGTAAAACTATTTTTACTCTACATTAAACAGGCTACTTATCAGCTAAACGCAGTGCGAACTCATGATTTAAGTAGCCTCTCACATTGGATATAAATTACGAAAACGATCCCTCAATTAACTTTTATGGAACTCCTCCTCAGCAAGAAGAGAGAGAGAGAAATCAATACCAATTAGAATTCACATTTGAACGTGTTGAATAAAGGTGAAGAGATGTACGTAGATTTTCATATTAGGAACTTTTTAAGGGTCGAATGAAAATTCGTCAGGACCTGGAGCGGTTCGCGGTGGATAAACGCGAAATAAAGAGTAATGTAGAACAAATGGGCGGCTAAGCTCGCCGTAGCATGGCATAATGATAACACGCTCGAATAATAAGGATAGCTAGCAGAGGAGACAGGGTTGGATACGCACGCGTGGGCTCGCGTTCGGGGCCCGTCTTCCGCTTCCACTCCGGTGAACGTTCTGGCTTTGACTACGGCTCAGTTCCACTATCTGACTCTACAGTATTGTGCACTCGAACGTCCTAGATACACCTCGCCGCTACCACCACCGGCTGTTTTCTTTTCTTTCTCGGCCAACAGCGCGCCCCGGTACGCGAACCGCCCGTTCCTCGCAAATTACAATATTTAAACACCCCGTACAATCGTCCTACAAAGTGTATCTGCGAAGGGAAGCAACGGTTAGTCGTCCGAACGAAAGTTTCCGTTCCCACTGGAAAATCAGTAAAATTCGCACGAGAACTCGGACGATCTCAAGAGCGTGGAACTACGCGAGGAGCGAGCGTAGGGAGCGAGGAACTTGAACTTGGAGAAACGGAGAGGCTGCATGAATAATACGCCGCGAGGGACTGAGCGGTATGCAGTGGAATTGAATTTTCCGCTACGGATGATAATGAAAGTGAAGGGCATTGTTCAATAGTACGAAAAAGGAGAACGAATTTGAAATTCATAAGGGGATGTGTGAACGTTTCGCGCGGACACCAGCGATGGCGCTGCAGAATCTACCGCAGCCACGGAGTTTCGTTCGAATTTCCCAACAGCTCACTCGGTCTTAAGTTCTCCGACAGTGAGATTCCCAATGTTCATTCGGGACCGTCTGGTTCACTGATAACGTCGACGCTATCATCGTGAAACTGTTACACTGTTTCAAATGTAAAAACTACCTATTGCGCATAATTTGAATTCAAATGAAAAAGAAGTGAAAGAGTGGAATGCGTACAGCGCGCGGTTCGGTTCGATCGGATTCAACGCACGGTGTTTATAGTGAACGTGTCTCGTTAAGAACAATTGAAACCGTACAATTAATTGTGAAAAAGAAACATATGAATGCGGCGTGATTAAGGAGTTTTCCTAATTTGGCGCCGATCAGTATCCGATTTAATGATCAATTACCTGTAAAAACAGTGTTGAGCAACTTTCAACGTCTACGTGACTCAGTGCTCCGATACGAGAACCAACTTAATTGTGATAGATTTAACAACGAACTTATACTCTTCGAGCGCAACGATGAACGTAGATCATTTATCCATATCTAAAGTATGAAATAAATCGAGGCCGACTTTCGGAGTGAATCGATTTAGAAATTCTTGAAATATCAAAGTACAATTCCAGCGACGATATTACAAAATGAAATTCAGTATCCTCGCGGGCGTTTTAATCGCGTTCGCGATTATTATCGAAATTTGCTGCGAGCAGAGATTCGCGGAGACTCCGGCTTTGTATCAGGAAGTCTCGTCGGGAGACGACGTGCAGTTACGCTGTAGGGTGCAGGACAAACGGGGTCAGTGCATCTGGCAGAAAGACCGGAAACCGGTGGGCATGCACCCAGACAAATACGAATGGGTCAGTGGACGCGGCAGTGATTGCACCCTGCTCATCAGACGAGCTTCCCTCGACTTCGACGACGGCTATTGGGAGTGTCAGGTCACCTCAGGTGATTTCACGCGGCAGGACGCGTTGACTTCGCTACCCTCTCGGCTTCTAGTCAGGGGTAAGATTTATAACACGATCATACTTCGAATACTATTTTTAGATGTGAGCTCGAGAAAACGGGATAGAACGGTCGCTTTCCCTAGCTTCTCGAATTTCACACGAAGGGACGAGTTTCCGAAAGCTGTCCACTTCACGCGCGGGTCAAATGTCCCAGGCCTGCGCCGGGGAATTTCACCCACTCGACTTTCCACACGCGGCACATCTGTTCATCCCGTTCCACCCCAAAAAAAAAAATACAGGAACAGATCGCCCCTGTCTCTGGGAAACCGCTCAAAGATATTCAACCCAGAGCTACCTAATTTTCCCAGAAACCACTTTCAGAATTATCGCTTCGAGTGGTTTGGAAGTTAATGAGTCTTAAACGATGTTCCACGATACGTTAAGGCGTTAAACAAGTGTGTAGATGTTTTAACGGAACGTTTGCTGTTTACATCACCGACGGAACATCGCTTCCCTCGGCGTGAATGATCCTCGACGAGCGTATGACTCGTACGGGCTAATCAGATCCTGACGCCGCCTCGGTGGAACAATGCAGATTTTTCGCGGCGCGCTAACTTAAAATTCGTCGGACGCGTGCGCGACGTGATGCAACGCGAACCGCTTGTTCCGTTCTACTTTCCTCTCTCGCCGTTCGATTTTTGCAACCGACCGCGTTTAACGAAAATCAATGCGAGGAACAAAACCAGCGAGCGTACCGCGAATGAATAACGAGAAATTTATTTCGAAAACTGTTACAGTTAAATGTCCCGTTGTCATTTCCAGTGAAACCCCGGAATCCACGATTGGAATACGGGGGGACTATTTTAAACACTGGCCTGACTTTAAGGGAGGGTCAGGAAGTCACCATTTCCTGCGTATCAAGATATGGAAACCCACCGGCCCTCATCAAATGGTGAGTTAATTACCCCTGCTGAAAGGGCAAACCGCAAGCCTGTTATTCCTCGCAAATTAATTTCAAAGCCACGTTCGCCTTTCGTTTCGTGGCCGATCGTACGCATCGGCAAAACACTCGCGCAACAACGGTACTGTCTATATTCCTATTGTTTTTGCGGCAACTTTCATTCGTAGGAATGCCATCGGGTTATTACTTTCCGAACGTAATTTAAATTCCCTGAGACGCGTCCCCGGCAAAACCAAGTGTAAAAGAATTAATAACAGGGATCGATCAGTCTGAAAGAACTGTCCCATTCCTCGTCTCTTCTTCGGTAGGAAAAACAGATTGCTCGTTCCCGTAACTAGATGGTCGGACGTGCTTTGTTCGGCTAAACTCTCCGGCCTGAAAACGCTGTTTCGCTTAGGAGATAAAAAAGCGCGGTTCGCGGAGGCCACAGCCGGCCGTGGCAAGAAACCATAACGCGGTGTTTATGCAGCGGAGAGCTTAGCCGGCAGCAGCGTCTTTTTCGTGTCACGGTCTAGCGACCGTGCTAGCCACACCTCATCGAAATTCTTATAACACAAAACTCACTCTGTACCGATCATCACGTTCGCATGAGCGGCGTTACGCGTTCCCCGGCAACGCCTCGCGAGACCGTGAACGCACGTGTTACGCGGTGTAAACACTGTGGCGACGTATGTAGATCAGTTTATACGTAATCAAGGATAATTTAAGTATCGTTGAGATGGGATCTCATCGTTAATGGATGTGCGATTAGAAAGCGCAAACAATTTAGATGGAAGAGGAAGTCCCGACGACGTAAGACTCGGCTCGTAATTGTCCGTGAATCGTTTAATCATTGAAGATGGAGACGATAAAAATATTTAATCATTTATCGGCGACCTTTCTCACCTGTCGTTGAAATTGTCAAGTCCCAGTGACATCGATGCCAGCTGAGAAGTCGACGACGTTTCTCTTGGCGAGTTGCTCGCAGTAAAAGCGTTCTTTTTTTTATCTCTCCCGAATGTGGCACGGAGAGAGAAAGAGAGAGATAGAGAACGGTTCCTAATTTCACACTTTGCGTTCGTAGGAAATTGCTGTTGGCCATTGTAACGGGGCGCGGTTCCAAGCGACTCTTTTTATAGCCTTTAATAGGCACGCTGTCTAAATAAGCTCGTCTCGCGTTCCTCATATAATTTCTTTTGCTCGCGTTTGAAGACGCGTGATGCCGAGCGTAATTATGCAGATTTGTAGGAGCCGTAGAAGCGGAGAAACTGGCCGTGAGCATAGTCGCCCCGTGAATCACTCTTAGAAAGGGTATAAAGCCTTGAGTATACATCGCCGTTCTCGTGGGAAATTGCCGTGCCCGCTTTCCGGAAGCTTAGCTGCATTTGTTTATGAATGAAGTCGAATAAACGGCGATTCGCAAAACATCTTCGACGACGTTTGCGCCGGCGTTAAAGCGTCCGTTTGAATTCGCTGCTCGCAGGTACATAGGCGGCGAGGAAGTGGAGCCGCTGAGGGAACAGACGAACACGACGGAAGTGGACAGCCCGAAAACCTGGGCAGCTCACAGTCTCCTCCGGGTTCGCGGACAAAGGGAGAATCATGGTCTGCCGATTCGGTGCATCACGATGCACCCATCCAGTCTCGTTCCAGCCTCTGCGGAAACACTACTGGACGTGCATTGTATGTATATATCCCCACGGCTCTAAACACGTTTCTACCGTGTTCACTGTTCACGGTACAATTCGCGTTACAGTCGTTTCGTTATTAGTAGAAATCGAACGAGAGGTTTCTAACGACTCGAGTTCGACGGATGATTCGTCGAATTCATTCGGAAAGCTTGAAATTGATTTTACTCAACCGGGTCACGGGTTTTCCTCGCTTAGAAAGTTTGGCGAATTACGTGGAGCACGATTTTCGTTTCCTTGCCGTTTTAAATGGCCAGGGAAATTAGCATGATTCCGAGGGAGAGGACGGTCCCGTTTTAAAATGGTTATTAAATCGCAGACTCGCCCGAGGTGAGGATCGAGACGAAGCCACGACTGTTGATGGCAGCGCTGGAGGATTCGGCCAGCTTTATGAGCCTGAAATGCTTCGCGGACGGGAACCCCAGCGGAACGATCAAGTGGTTCAAGGATTCAGCTCCCATCGCGGTAGCCAGCAACGTGGTAACGTTGATGCTAAACAGAACGCAGCCGAACGGTACGACGACCGGCTCCGAGCTGAGATTCGAGCCGGTCAAGAGAAACGACGCCGGTCTCTACTCTTGCAAGGCGGTCAACGTTATCGGTGAAAGCACCGCGGCCAACTACAGACTCGACGTGCAATGTTCGTACTTTTACCTCCGTTCCTTTTCATTTTTTTTTTCCTTCTCTCGCGAGACGACGACCACCGTGATCAGCCACGAGAAACGCGTCAATTTGGCGGGCTTCGTTCGGGCGTGGACGGAGTAATGCCAGTCGTGTGCTCATCGACGTGAACGTTCGCTGTTCACCGGTGGTACAGTTATGGCTCGCCCTAAGTAATAGTTACACGATTTCTCCTCGCGGTCTATTCTTGGGACCGCGTTTCTAACGACCCTCTTTCCTTCAAATTCACTTCAGACGAGAAACGGTCGATTAATTTTTTTCTTTCAATCCTGAAGATGCTCCCACGTTGCGGGAGGACGGTGCGTTCAACGAGACGCAGAGATTCGAAGAGACGACGCTTCTGGGAACGAGCCTGGAGCCCTTCGAGTGCACCGACTTCGATGCGAATCCTCCGGCTCAATACCGATGGATGCATCTCCGCGGAGGCGTGACGGACAACATCGAGAATTCGCTCCAGACAAAGGACGGCGGCAAACGTTTGCGCCTAGAGAACGTGATGTGGTCCGACGAGGGGGAATATCGGTGCGTCGCGTTCAACGTGATCAACGGAGTGCGGAGAGAAACGCCGAGCGAGGCTCGCTACGTGCTGCACGTAACAGGGCCGCCCGAGATACAGGCGAGGCCCTCGTCCGCCGGAAAGGGCATCCACGAATCTCTCGGCTGGGCCGGGGAACCGGAACACATTTTGAAATCACGGTTCTGCTCGAGACCACCGCCGAAGCTCGTCGCCTGGCAATGGGGAAGCTCGCACATCAGATCTGGTACGCATTTGACTCGTATTCATTTTTAAACAGATTACTCTTCATGGTTCTGTGCTTCTTCGCAGGAGAAAATATTCATCCGAAATACGAAGCGCTGCCGCTCGAACACATCAAGGAGGAGGACATGCCAACGAATTGTTACTGGGCGAAATTGGTAATCAAGGATCTTCAAAAGGAGGACGCGAGGATCTACACGCTGTTCGTTGAAAGTGAAAAAGGCAGAGACTCCACTAACATCAAACTGGTGATTCGCGATCCGACAGAAATGAGAGTGATCGCCGCCGCCGCTGCTGTTGGCCTACTGTTCCTCTTACTTCTGATTTCTATCGGCGTTTACTCGGTGCTGAGGATGAAGAACAGACGGTATCGCCGTGAAGAGGAAGAGGGAAGCATTGCCGCGGACGCGTTTTACAATAATGGTAACGCGACGCCCGACAGACAGAAGAACATGAATTGTTCTCAAGGTAAAGGGTACGCGAGAAAGCCGACCTCTGAGGGCGGACTGGCCGTCACGTATGATTACGACCAGATCGCGAAGCAGGTGCGCGCCATGAGTCCAGAAGCGTTGAAAGTCAGGCGGGCGCCAGCTGTTCTTCAACCGCCGACCATTGTGTGACTGACGTGGTCATTGCCATGACGATTGTACTTATTTTCGCGTTTTCTTCGTTCGTCTTCGTCAAAGACAAGTTCATAGCAAAAACGGTACTTCAAATCAAGGTATGTGATAACACAACGGAAAATATAGTTTCGAAGCTCTTACGACAGGTTGATTTCTCGTTACTATTACTTTTAAGCTTTATTAGATTAATTTATTCGATTGTGCAAAATATGAACGCGGCTGAAATTTCTTCTCTGTAATATACTCAGTTTTACTACAATTTTATATCGTATGTTTATGTAAAAAGTAATGCCAAATAGTGTACATATTAGGTCGTTAAGCGAGGAGAGTGCTACTTAATACCGTAGGAAATAATTGTAACTTTGCACTATAAGTGTTCAGTGCAATAACGCGCGTACGCGTCGCGTTTATTAATTACGTATTGTTAATTCCAAAGTGTATCGTATATTTTTTTTTACAGAAATAAGAGGTTTGTAAGAATACGATTGGGTGTTATTTCGTTTTATTTATTCGCCTTCTCGATCGTTAACACCGTAACGAAAAATGGGTATCGCGCTACGTAACTACAGAATACCACTGATAAGCCTAGGTAATAGATAATCAATCCTCGTGAAGAATTAAATACACTTTACAGAACGTAATATTACTTAGTTATAAAAAGAAAGGAATTGGTATAGTTAATTGTTAAGTTTGAAACATAAATTTTCTCTTCCTCTCGAATGTGTACAATTGCATGCAACTCTGTGGTATGTTCGCTTACTTTACATTAGGTCATTGGTCCCGAACAACAGGCGTTTTATATATTACTGACATCTACAAAACTTAAACCTTAGCTCCGCGCATCGGCGTGATTCCTCTTCCATACGTGCAACGTTCCTCTTAAAGTCAGGTACACTTTAAATAAATTCATGTAACAATTCCTATCGTGATCCATCCCGTTCTATCGACCTTCCTATCACCATCCACGATCGTAGTACTCAATCTTTATATATCTATATATATTCTATATATAATAATGATTCTTGAAAATTATCTATTAAATGCTTCATCGTATATCATCCTCGATAATATTTATAGTACATAAAAAAATAATTTACAATCGCACCACACAGTGCATGGGTTTCTTCTACCTCGAAGAAACTATATTTGTTCCGTAGAAAAACAAAAACATCTTGCACGCTCGTTGCGTTTCGTGTTTAAGCAAGCGTAGAAATAATTGATCGAGAGAGTTACGATTGAGGTTTCTTTCGTCTTCCGAACAGATTGCTCAGAACCGAGCTCCGTTTGTAATCACGGTCCTTGCGATTGTTACTGCTTATGCTGTGCTCGCTTTCCGATCCGCTCTCGCTGGCCCTTCTACTGCTACCATCGACCACCGTCAGATTTTGTGCACTTTGCGGGACCGCGGGTGGTGCCACGTACGGCGGCAGGGAAACCGGCCTGCCTGTGAAAGAATTGTTCTGCTGCATGCCCTAAATACACAAAAAAAATGACCGATGATTAAAATGACATTTTATAGCAAATGGAATTTCATTCGGACGGGGAATTTACCTGTCTCGTATTAACAGGGACGTTTCCATAAGCTGCAACAGAAAATAATATTCGTCCTTTAGAAACGACACAAAAAGGAACCAAAGAACTCGAGTGATACGTGCCAATGTATTTAGGAAACACTAAGACAGACGTAGAGCAACGATTGGAAGGTAGAACTAAAAGCATGCAAGATTCCAAGCGAAACAACGAAGAACGACTAACCGGGATCGTGGGGAGCACTCCACTGAGCCATTTTAGTTGGTGGAGGGGCACTTGATGGCAAAGGGGGTGCTAATTCTACAAAACAACCACAATACAGTACGAGGCGTTTTACGTATACTCGAAAAGAAATTACTTTCTCCGTCCCACGTACCTTGATGTTGCGCATTTAATTCCAAACTGCTCTGCCTGTGCCAAACTGGGTTGGTCGGGTACTGACCGGAACCATTGTGGTTCAAAGTCGCGCTACGCTGCTGGTAATACCCGGCCCTTCCCTGCACCTGGTCCACGTCTGAAAAATAGCAAAACACGATATTTCATGTATTTAAATCTTCGCACGCTAACGAAATCAAACTGACGATCGATAACGCCTTTCGATCACAAAGTATTTTATAAAAAATGAACGTACCGTCGCGTCTGTACTGTGGAATAGCTTCAGAACTCGGGGTTCGCATCGGAATCGGAGGAGGCGCGCCCCTCGGTGGAATTGGCGGTTTGTCCCCGGAATTTGGTTGATATTGTTCCCTTTGAGTGATCAATTCTTGCTGCACGAACTGCTGTTGCGCCAGAATTTGCGATTGCTTCGGCGATAGCAAGTACTCCGGCTGAGGCTCGGTTCTCTGAGAATTCACGAACTCCGAATTGTTCTGAGAATCGCGTTTCTGTTGATTCTGCCTGTGCATCTGAAGGAACTCAATCTGCACGCTGCTGGGCGATAGCTGCCCGCTGGACGCGTCGCGCCTGATCACCGAGTTCTTCCTCTCCAATTCCGGTGTGGACGTACGGCTGCTTCCGGTCGACGCGTTGTCATCGACTTGGTCCACGTTCTGCAGTCGTTCTTTCTGCGACTCGTCGTAACTCAATAGTTGCAAACTCGGTGGCAGCTTCGCGTGGAACGAGATCTTGTTCACCCAGTCCTCCATTTCCTGCTGGCTCGGCGCCAGGAACAGGAATTCCGAACCGTCCGTGCACTTCAACCTGAACACGTTCTTCTTCTTAGTGTAATCGTCCGCTTTTTCGCAGACCGCGTTGAAAATTGTGATGGGAGCGGTGGCTGCTTTACTCAGAGAGAAATCTTCCATGTCCTTGAAGAAGCATAAGAGTTGCCCGCATAGCACGGTGTAATATTGCTTCCACGACCGAACCGCTGCCTTCTTGCCAGCACTCTGAAGCTCGTGCTTCCTTTCCAAGAGACCTTGGATCTCGACGGGCGGCAGGGCGTCCATGTTCTCCATCCTCTGAAGCTTCCTGAAGCTCTGCGTCCTTCTTCTGGTAGTGAAACTCGGCGTTCTCTTCGGTTTCTTCGTGTCGACCTTCATACTCTCCGCTCTCTTTATGTCCGGAGTCGTTCTTCTAAGTTTCTCACCGAAAACGTGAGATATGCCATGCTGCTTCTGCGTGGGAGTAACATCTAAGGTCTCAGAGGCGTTGGCAGTCTTGATAGGCGACAGTTTGTTCAATGACTCGTTCTCGTCGCTCGTCCCGTTGACTTCGTCGTGCACATTTGGAACGTCCAACAATCGTCTCCGTTCTTCTTCACGTTTCCTCTCCTCCGTTATCCTCTGCACCTCCTTGCGTTTCCGTTCTTCGAGCCGAGCTCGTTCTACCCGCTCCTTCTCCGCCTGTCTCGCCGCCATTTCAGCTTCCTGTTGCTTCTGGAAAGCTTCTTCCAACATAGTTATGCGCTTCAACGCGCTGAACCTTTCCTCCTGGGCTTCAATGGTCTTCTCGAAGTCTACATGTTTTCTTATCAGTTCCTCCACTTGTGGAATACTCTCGCCCAGTTTTCCGTCGTACAACATCGGCTCCCTGCTGACGATCCAGTTCTCCAAGGTTTCCGCCTCACGTTTGAACAGCTGCGTGTCCAAATTCTGATCGTAGATTCGCCTTCTCTGTTCCCAAGTGTCTTTCAAGAATTGTTGCCTGTGTCGTAGAATCGATACCTTCTCCTCGATCTCCTTCCCCAGGAAGTGACCGCCTTCTATCAACTCTCGGCCCGTCTTATAAAACTTATCGAAAGCCTCGTTGCGAGTTTCGATCTCCGCCTTGTACTCTCTATGCCTCTGTATCAACGCCTCCGCCCCGGGAACGTCTCGAGCCAAATCAGGAGCGGTCACCTTCGCTACCATCTCGTTTATCCAAGACATGAGATCTCTGTACTCACCCAAGTACGACTGCAGTTGCTCGGCCTGAGACAATTTGCTCCTCCTCTGCGCTGCCTTTTCCAACAACTCATTCCAAGCAGTCTCCGCTTCCTGGTGTTTCACATCTATGTGTACCTTCGCATCCGGGAACAGTTCGATCAACCGGGACGATTCTTCCATCAACAGCTCGACTTGTTCCTTCACTGCACCCAGATCCGTCTCGAATCCTTGGTGCTTCCTCACCAAGGCTTGAATCGTTTCCAAGTCGTGTCCGTAGCCATCGGAGCTGAGGGCGGTTTCCTTTTCCTGGATCCAGGAGATCGTCTCATCTGCCGTCCTGTCGAACATATGAACTTGCTTCGCTCCAGCTAACGCGTCCTGCCGCGCGTGTGCCAATTCCTTTAGATCTTCCCACTGCTGTTTGGTCTCGTCTATCTTCATCAGTATCTTCGATTTCTCCGGATTGTTCTCCTCTATCAATTTCTGTCCCTCGTCGAGGACTGCCGACACTCGACTCTCGCTCGTCGTCAAACCGGCTAGGAAATTGTCGAATATCTGGATCAAGAGTTCGACGTGTTCCACGTCGCGACCGTAATCCTCGGATGCGGCAACGGTCGTTTGATCTCCGATCCATTCGATTACCTCGTCCGCTTGCCTGACGAACTTGAAGAACTTCTCGCTCTCGCGCAATCGCTGGAAACGATTGTCCTTCAGCCTCTGCAATTCCTTGAATTTATATTCAATATCCGACTGTTTCTGCGAGATATTTTTGCTGTCGAAGTGGTGTCTCTCTACCAATCCGTGCGACAACTTTCTCAAGTTCGACACGGTGTTCTCGAAACCGCCTAAATCTCGTTCGATCTCTTCCAACTTCTTCAACAACGATTGAACGGAATCTTCGTCCTTCCCGTAATCGGTAGCTGTCAGTTGCGGATGTTTCTCCTTTATCCACTGCTCGGCCTCCGCAGCCTCGGCGTAGAACATCTGCGACTCGACGGCATCCAGTAATCTTAATTTCCTCACGCTGGCCAGATCCCTTAAGTGCGACAGCTTGTTTTGCAATTCTTGAGACAATTTCTCGATCTTCTCCGAAGCGAAGTGGCCGCTCCTGACCATAGCCGTCGCTCTGCTGACCAGAGAAGCTACCACTGGCTCTCTCGAGATCAGTTCCGCCTCTAACGATTGATGTTTCTTCTGCAATCGTTGCACGGTGGTCAAAGAACTGCCTAGATCGCTGCTCATGGCCAGAGGCTCTTTTTCCGATAGACAGTGCATCTCGTCTTCGACGTCTCTCGCGAACTGATGAAGCAGCTTGGCGTCTTCCAAGTTGTCCCTCCTTATCTGCATCGGTTCTTGCAAACTGTGGTATCTGTTTATCGTTATCATAGCCCTCTCTTGTATCTCGTCGCCCATGAAGTGGTTCGATCTTTGGAAACTGGCGGCAGTCTCCTTGATCGACTCGCAAGCCTCGTTGTGGCCGAGAACGTCGTTCTCCAAATTGGTGTGCCTCTTCAACAAATGGGCCACGCTGGCCAAGTCCTTCCCGTGATCCTCTGATTGTAACTGAACTTCCACTTCGTCCATCCATGCCTCGAACTCGTCCAGAGTCCGTCCGAAGAGCAGAGCTTGATAAGCGTCGTTCAATCGGTTCTTCTTCAGTTCGCTGGTCTCTTGAAGATGTCGCCATTCTGCTTCCAATTCGTCGAGCCGTTCTTGGATGCTGTCCGACGCGTAATGATTCTCTTCTATCAGCGCCTCGCCTTCGTTGGCCACTGCAGATATTCTTCCTTTGTTAGCCATCAGTTCGCTCTCGAAGGCGGCGTGTTTCTGGATCTTACTTTGCAAGTTCGAGGAGTCGCGATAATTCTCATCGCTGGCGACTTGTTGCTTTTGATGAAGCCACCCTTCGACTTCGTATATGTTCCGCAGGAACTGATGCAGATGGTGGCTCTCCAGCAACTTCTTCCTTCTCGCTCTCGCACTGTTCTGTAGCCTGTCTCTTCTGGCGCAGACCAACGCCAATCGTTGCCTAATTACGTTAGCGTCCGAGTGTTCCTTCGACAGAATTTCGTTAGCGAACTTCTCCAATTCCTCGATGCGCCCTAACTGAGAGACCAACATCTTCTCGAATTCCTCGTGTTTCCGTAGCAACGCCTCGACGCCGGAGAGTGACTCTCCGAGATCGTCGTTGTTGAGGAACGCTTCCTTCGTTGCCAACCAACCGTCAGCCTGGTCGGCCTGTTCTTTAAACAATTGCAACTGATGAGCTTGAGTCAATTTCTGTCTTCTCGTCTCCCAGGCGTTCACCAGTCTTCGTCGCAGCTCTTCGAGATGATCCAGATTGTCCTCGACGTCTTCGTTGATGGCTAAAAGCTTCTGCCCGTGTTCCTTCAAAGCTTTGAACGTATCCTGTCTACCGTCGATCTCCGCTTTTCTTTCCTGGTGAAGCTCTAACAATGCCTCGGCTTCGGATATCGTGGTCGGTGGCTCGGATTCGTCCATACGTTTAATCGTATCAGCCACCCAAAGTTCCAACTCGTGGAGATCGGCTTGGAACTTGTGCAAAGTGTAAGCTTGGTTCAGCGCCTCGCGACGGTGTTGAGTCAGTCGTTGCAGATCGTCCCAGTTCGACTGCAACTCCGAAAGTATTCCGTTTATCTGCGGCGCCTTGTCCGGATATTTCTGCGACAATTTCCTGGCCTCCGTTTGATGCTCCTTCAATTTTCCCTCGATGGCCGTCATGTCCCTCTCCATCGCTTCCTGTTTTCTCTGTAGATGTTCAACGGCAGCAAGATCCTTGCCGACGTCGCTGGTGTTCATAGCGACCGATTTTTCTACTACTCTCTGACTCGTGTCATCGATGTCCCTGTTGAAGAGGTGGATCTCCAAGGCTCCTGCCAACAATTCCCTGTAAGCGCTCAACGCTCCTTGCAAACCCTTCCATTTATTGTTGAAATTATCGCGACGTTGTTCAACAGCCTTCGACTCGTTGTCTCTGCCCTGTTTAATTAATTTATCAGCCAATGCGTTGATACTTTTTATCCTGGAATCGTCCACGCGCATATCACTGTCTACGTCGTCGAGCTTCCTCTGAAGACTCAAGCAGTGCTCGTAATCCTTTCCAGTGTCCCCGGCTTGAACCATCATCTCCTTATCTCTTATCCATGCTTCGATCTTCTCTACCTGATTGTTGAATTCCAGAATATCCTGAGCTTCTTCCAGGCCTCTGCCACGGTTCCCGGACTCTAGCAACAGTTTCCTCCAGGAAGCATGAAGATGTTCCAGCTGTTGTCGAATCTCGGCACTCGCCGGGTGTTTCTGCTGAAGGAGAGTCTCCCCTTTCGCCTTGATCTCCTCGATCCTGCTCTGATTCGCAGCTAACTCAGCCTGGAACGCTTGGTGCTTCTGCAGCTTCTTGATCTTGTCCTCCAAACTGGACACCTCGCCTTTCGACGCCTCCGCTTCGAGCTTCTTCTGTTTCTCACCAATCCACGACTCGGCTTCCCCGACGTCCCTCACGAACTGAGCGTGCAACAAACCAGCTTCCAATCTCCTCCGGCGTGCCTCGCACAGATTTCGGATCCTCGCTCTCCTCTGAACGACTTCGCTCAATCTTCTCGCGATCGTCGGCGAGTCGAAGTGATTCTGCGCCAAAAGTTTGTCTCCGTGCTCCTGCAGTGCAGTCAGCTTCTCCTCCTGTGTTACCAGCAACTTCTCGAATTCGTTGTGCTTCTTCACTTGCGCGTCCACTTCTTCCACGGAATCCCCGAAGTTGTCGCCGCTCAAAGCGGCTTCCTGAGTGGTCGACAGGTTGTCCAGCTGTTTGGCGTCCCGAAGGAAGAAGTGCAGATCGATCAATTGGTCCAGATGCACCTTCTTCTGCTGCCAGGCGGTGTGCAGCTTCTGCCTTTCTTCTAGTAATTGGTTGCACTTCTCCTCGACCTCCGCAGCCGCGTAATGCCCGGTCTGGACCATGGCCTCGCCCAGGTCTAAAACGGAACTGAAACTGTCCTCCCTCGCCTCGATCTCCCCCTTCAAGGCCTCGTGTTCCGCCTTCAAGATCTGAGCACTGGCCGCGTCGCGGACTTTGTCCTCCGTGGACATTGCGGCGCGGAGACCCGCGGCCCAATTCATTAAGTCTCTGACCTGAGTCAAGAATCGCTGGAGATCGCAGCTCGCCTGCAGCTGATCTCTCCTATGGGCGGACCTCTCCTTCAGTTCCTCCCAGTGAGCGACCACGATCTGCTGTTGCTGATCGATGTGCACCGCGTTGTTTCCTGGATAGTGCGCTTGCAATCTGGACGCGTCCTCGACCAGAACTTGGAGCTGCGCCTCCAGTGCGACTAGATCGTTTTCAAAGCCCTCGTGACGTCTGATCAATGCGAGTACGGAGTTCAAATCGCGGCCGAGATCTTCAGGTAACGCTGCCTCCTTTTCCTGTATGCGCGACAAAGCCTCGGCGACGTCGCGATGGAATCTGTGAATCTCTCCAGCCGCCTGCAGCCTCTGCTCCCGATTACGAATGAGGCTAAGGAGATGCTGCCAGGACTCCCTAATGAATAATTAAAAACATTCGTCGTTTCATCGTTAAGAATCATAAATATACGTATAACGCGATTATCGAACGTGCAACGATATATGCAATATACTACGAAAGCCACCAACTTACTTCATGAGAGCATGCTGTTTCTGCACATCCCTTACAGGATCATCGTCGTCCGGTCTGCGTTAAGTATATGTACAAAAATACTGTTAGTAACCCGACACCATACGATCTACCCTCGAACCATTTACATAAATAACTACTAGACGATATATACAAATATTCTAACTAAAAGTTGAAGAATCGACATGCGTTTAACAGAAGTATTAATTCCACTAATACCAAAATTCTATATCCATAATATTGTACATTTTTCAAATAAATTCTTACCCGAGTTGTTCCTGCCGTTTCTCGATATCCTGAATGTAAGGGCTCTCGTTGGCAATCAGTTTCCTGGCCAGTTCCTCGCACTGATTAAATCTCTCCGAGCCAGCCTCGATCCTATGCTTGAAGTCGTTGAACTTGGCTTGCAATATCAACAAATGTTCGTAATCCTGGCCGTAGTCCTCGGACGCGGCCGCCTGTTCCTGTTCCTTGATCCACTGCTCTAATTCTCTGCTCTCCAAAAAGTATTCGTGTCGGTACATACTCTCCATCAGTCGTTGTTGTCTCACCGTCGCTAATCTTTGCAACGCTCTCATCTGCTGAGCGATCGCTTGCTGCTTGTTGGCGATCGCTTTACTATCTGGATGTTTCGCGTTTATCATAGCTGCAGCCGTGTGTCCCATCTCTGTCACGATACCATTATAGGTATCCAGTTCCAATTCCACTGCCTAAAGTTAAACAGTAATTTTCGTAGAGAAACTGGGTTCGCTCTCATTCATTTGCAACGATCACACAAGTGTCGTATAAGTTGATCTTACCTTGTGTTTCGTCAATAATTTCGTGGCGGCATCGCGATCTCTTCCGTAATCGGTGGAACTGAGCACGTCGTTCTTCTCGTTGAGCCAGCTCTCAACTTCCCCGGCTTCGAAGAAGAACTCCTGAGCCTTTAGAGATAAATCGAGAGCCTTGCTCCGCTCTCCGGCCTTCTCTTGAAGATCCCTCCACGCGTCGTCCAGCGCGTCGCATAATTTTCGTATCTATGAATAACAGAAATTCGGTGATGCAATTTAATTGCAAAGAATGGGGAAAATACACCGAAACTATTTATTTACACTAAACTTCAACTCGCTAAATAAATTAATGAAAACTTCGTTAACAGAAATATGATGAAACAGCGTTACAACGTGTAACAAAAATAAGTCTTGATCGTGTAAGACAAGCACATGCATGCTGACGAGTTCTGTTCCGTTTCTTATTTCAATAAGCGATCGCCTTTGAAATATCTTGATCAATTAAATTTTGACAATAACGCTATTCATGCATCTGTGCCGACCTTACCTCTACGGACCCGATATTGTTGTAACAGTTCCAACTGTGCAAAAACGACACATTTTTATTTCCCTTGGCAACAATAACAGATAAATCCCCGAAGACGTCGGATAGTATTTTTCATCAACTTTTCTTACCTTCTTCTTCTCCGGATGAGCCTGGTCGATCAGAGTCTGTCCGGAAGCCAAAGTTTTGTCTATCATCGGTTGATGACCAACGATCTCCGCTTCGAGTTTCTTGTGCTTCTTGTGCAACGTCTGAGCCTGATGCAAGTTCTGACCGAGCGTCGTCGAAGATGCCTGAGGAAGATGATCCTTGATCCACTGCAACTCGGCATCTAACTCGAAACCGAACTTGTGGAAGCGCAAGCTTTCTTCCAACGCATCTCGCCTTCTCTTTGCCGGTTCCTTCAAGCTACGGAACCTATGACAGCGATATGAAATAATAATTTAAAAAACTGTACATTTAAATCATAGCTTGCAGGATGTATGAACGATATTACGTACTTCCTTTGCGTGGTTTGGCTAGATTTCAGAATATTCGCGGCGTCGAAGTGACCCTCGTGTGCCATCTCTTCGCCCATCGCGACCAGGTCATCGACCTTCTGCTCCCATTGGCACATATCGCTCTCGAGAGTCTGATGCTTCTTTAGCAACTCCTTGCAACTCCTCAAATCGACTCCGACTTGCTTGCTCTGCAAGCAGTTCTCTATCTCTTCGAGTTTCAATCGAGCGTCCTCCATGGTCCTGTTGTACGTGTGTTGGCAGGCAGCTTGCCTGAGTCTGCGACCTTTTTCCAAAGACAACGCGACCAAACGGGCCCACTGATCGTTCAGCTCCTTAAGAGTTCTTCCCACGTCCTCCGATCTGTAATTCTCTTCGGAGATCAGAGCTTTCCCAGCTTTGTTCACCGCCCTCAACTGTCCTTCGTTGGCTCTCAGCTCTCTCTCGAACGCCTCGTGCTTCTGCAATTTCCGCTCGAGATTGTTCAAGTCCCTATAGCTCTCGTCGGATGCTGTTTTCATCTTGTCGCCCAACCAATCTCTCAAGTCATCGACTTCCGCCGAGAATTGTTGATAATGTTCCGAAGCTTTCAACGCCGCCCGACGACGCTGAGCCGCCTCCTTGACTTGGTTCCTTCGAGCCAACACTTGATTCCTCCTCTCGTTGATATAATCCTTTTCATAGTGATTCTGAGCGATCAATTTATCCGCGGTGTCGCTGAACGCTTTCAGCCTGTCGTCCTGCGCGTGCAACGTGTTTTCGAACTTCTCGTGTTGCTTCAACAGAGCCTCGACGTCGTCCAGAGACTCCCCCAAGTCTGTGAATTCTAAGAATGCTTCGTGAGAGCTCGTGGTAGCTTCTATTTGGTCAGCCTCGCGATTGAATTGTTGCAACTCCAAACACTGCTGAAGCCAGGCTTCCTTCGCCATCCACTCGGACGTTACGGATTGATACAAACCGCGGAGCTTGTCTAAACGTTCTTTGACATCGACCAGAGACGGGTTGCGATGCAGCAGTTGATTCCCGAGCTCCTCCACTTCTCGAAATTCGTCTTTGCGATTTCGTACATCTTCGCCGAGTTCCATGTGCTGCTTCCTGAGCTGCTCGGCCGTGGCAATGTCTCTGACGGATTCCTCGGCCCTCATCGTTTCCTGAATATCGCTCGCCCAATTGATGAGGTTCTTGGAACTGTTCATAAAGATCTGCTGACCCACTGCGTCTTCCAATCTCGATCTACGTTCCTTCGCCTTCGTTTGCACTTGATTCCAGAGCTCTTTGATTTCGTTCTGCCTGGCGTTCACATTGTTCAACTCGTGCGGGTACGAACTCTTCACGCTGTTCGCCAATAAGTTGACTTTCCGTACTTTTTCTTCGACCGGGGCCAATTCCCTTTCCAGATGTTGGTGTCTTCTCTGCAACGCTTGGACCGTTTTTAAATCAGGACCAATCTCCGCGGTGTCTAACTGAGTGATCTTTTCCAGCATCCAATCGTGAGCCTCGTCGCAGGTTCTGTTGAACAGCTCTACGCTAGAAGCTCCCTCCAGGCTCTTCTCCTTCTGCGTCTTCAACCAGTTCAAGTGGTCCCACAGCTGATGGATGTGCCTCTGCCTGGCCTTGACTTTGTCCAACTGGCTGTGGCCTTGTCTGACGAACTCGTCGACGGCTGAATCTATGGCCTCCACGCGTTTGCCCGACGCCGAGAGATCCGTCAAAAATTTCTCGTATTTCCTTCTGGCCGTTTCGACGTTGTCTCTTGGGTCGTCGACTCTCAACATCTTCTCCTTGTCCTTGATCCACTTCTCGAAGTCGTCGCACTCGCGATAGAAGCCGTAAAGTCTTATAGCATCCTCCAGCAATGCGTGTCTCTTCGAAGCGAGCTCCTGGAGCTCGCCGTAAGTATCGTTGATCTTCTTCAACCGTTTCTCGACGCTGTCCCCGTCGGAGGCAGCTCTCCTCTTCACCGGCTTCACCGTGGATTTTATCGATTTTACTCTCCTGACCGGAACCAACTGCTTCACCATCTTCGTCTTCTTGACTCTCTGCGTGACTCTGACCTTCTCCGGTCGCCTCACTTGAACCTGTATCACCTTCGGCTCTATCTCGCGAACGTAGTTAGCCGGCACGAAACCATCAGTACCGTCCGCTTTCCTCACGCTCCACCAATCGGGATTTGTCTTGCTCAACAGAAACATCACCTCACCTTTCACCATATGCATCCCCTGTCCACTGAACGGATATAAACTCTTCACCTGTGGTACCAATCTGTCTTCGAGAACGGTTCTAGGCTCCATTCTTTCCACGACTTCGTCCACCCATTCGTCTTGAGGAACCAATCTTATCTCCTTGCTCCACTCTTCCTGTTCCAATTCTGCGACCGGTTCGGGATCGGCGGATAATTCCAATGTGGAAATTCCAGATTTCACCAGCTTGTCGGCTTGCATGTTGAGAGACTGCACATCGCCTTTGTAAGCGTTCAATTCTCCTTCGAGATCCTTGTGTCTCTGTAGAAGCGCCTGGGCACTCGGTTCGTCGACGCCGTAGTCCTCGGAAGCGACCAGAGTCATTTTTTCGTTCATCCACGAATCGGCCTCGTTGGCGTCCGCGTAAAACTGGAAAGCCTCCGCGGCGTCGTCTAACTGCTTCTTCCTCAGGGCAGCCAATTCTTCGAGGACTTTCCAGTGTTCCTGCAGGGAATCGATACGATTCTGTATTTCCAAAGCGGAGGGATGATTGTCGGCAATCAATTTTCTGCCGGCATCGCAGAGCTGCTCGGACTTCGGTCTCCGCACTTTTATCTCGTCTTGAAGAGCTTTGTGCTTCTGCTGCAAAGAGATCACCGCGCGGAGGTCCTTCGCGGATATCCCAGCCTTGCAGATTCGCTGCTTCTCTATCAGCCACGACTCTTCGTCTTCGTGGTCCTGAAGGAAGTGGAAGAAGTTCCTGGCGTCCTCCAACCGAGCTTTACGCTCCTTGCTGTTCTCGACGAGTTCGTCGTAAGCTTGATTCAACATCTCTAGTTTTTGTTGAAGAAGAGGTACTTCCTTGCTCTGTGGCTGTGCCAAATGTTGCGCCGCTTGTCTTCCCAGTCTCCTTTGAGTCTCACCGAGCGCTGTCACCTGCAATTCCTGGAGGCTGTGCTTCTGTAATAGATCTTCGACTCCCAATAAATGCGGCCCAACGTCCGTGCTTTGGAAGTTCAGTTGCAATTCTTGAATGCTGGCTAAAGTCGTGTCGATTTCTCGCATCAAACTCATGAGGGAACTCAAGGCGACGAGGTTCGATTTATGATGATCTAACAGAGCCAGAAGCTCTTTCCACCTCTGAAGCACTTCCTGTTCCCTGACTCGTACTCTCTCCAAACCGTGGTAGTTCTCTCTCACGAGCTCCTCGGACATGTTGGTCAAATCGTGGAAGCGCTCCTCGCGAGCCAAGATGTCTGCGCTTATGGCCTCGTGCTTCTTCACCGTGGCGTCGACTTGAGCCAAATTACTGCCGTATCTGGGATCCGTCAGCACTTGTATCATCTCCTTTAAGTAGCCTTCCCTCAGCACGCTCTTCCTTTCGAATTTGTAATTCAACTGCTCCAACCTCTCCTGTCTGAGGAGTTCGGTTCTCAGGGCGACTTCTCTACGATGCTCGGCTCGTTCCAGTTCCACCCAATTCCTCTCGATGTCGTGCACCAATTGACCCTCCTGAGGAGTGAACGCCGGCTGGTTCAACGACTTCAATCTAGTGTTTATATGAAAGTAAAGAGCTTCGATCTCGGATCGCTCCTTATATTTCGGTGGCTTCTCGACGGTTCTGTATTGCTTGAAAGCCAACAGCTCTCTCTGAATGCCCTCCAACGAGTTCGGGAAATCCCTGTTCTCCAGTACCCCGATCTTCATCTTGATCCACTCAAGGAGATCCGTGGTTAGTTTCTCGTAATGTATCTTCATCTTGTCGGCGTCCATCATCTGTCCCACTATATTCGCGATCCGTTTCCCGCTCTTGATCTCATTCTTCATCCTGGCGAACGTGTGGTAATAGGAAGCCACGTAGGTGATGATGGACTTCTCGTCGGGCCTAGCCGTGTCCACGTCCTCGGCGTCCAGCAATCGGGGTATACCGAGCTCGGAATTAGCCACGTCGAACGCATAATTGAGGTTGTCGATGTTCTTGTTCTGCTGCAGCTCGGACCAGGTGACCAAGTCGGGCCTGTGAGCGTGGATGAGCGCGTTGAAGCCCAGACCGCTTCTCCAGGAAACGGTGAAGTCTTGAATGTTGACGCTGGGATAGCCGTTCGTCTTTCTCTGACACCACAGCAGCAGGGCGTCCTTAGCCGATTTCTTCTCGCTGCTGTCATTCTCCTCGTCGACGTCGATCTCGATTTCTTGAATTTGGAACCGCAAGATTATGGTCCAGATGAGGCCGAGGATCAGCCGCGGGTTCCCGTCCACTATGTCCTCGGCTCCTATACTCTCCAGGCGAACCTGAAAACGATCAACACCTATTCCACGATTCTGGTCATTCCCTACGTGTAATTTAATCATCCGACTCCACTTTCTATTGTTTAAGAAAGACTCGGGGAACAAGTGAACGCGGCGTAGCGTAGAATTTATGAGAAGGGATCGGTGGCGCACTGACTTCTGGCACAATGATATTCGCATTCCATCGTGCGTTCGTGAGAGAGTAAAAGAGCACACGGAATGCGCTATCGGCATCGGTGTGCGTTGCGTAAACATCGGGCTTCTTAATAGACGGCCGTGTGTGCATCTCGGTATGATAAAACGCGCATATGCATGCACGTTGCATAGGTTGCGTCACGTGGAAAGCAACAACCGCGGCCTTGAGTGGAAATGTACCGATATTATGATAATCATTGGAAATAAGGAGCCGGATCATCCACATCTTGCAATTTTTTTTTTAAACTGGACGAACGGCGCTCGTCCAAGGCGTCGACTCCGCGAAATAAAACTGTCGCGCAAAATGAAAAAGGAAATTTCGTTTCGGTCTCGTTCCGTTCTCCAGGATCTGATTTTTAATATTCGTTTTACCCGAATGCGATGTTCCAGATCTTTTGGATTCCGCGGAGACGTCGATCGAGTAGAAAGAACGATTTTCATTTTCCAAACGGCCTTGGTAGACCGGCGCGGAACAAGTGATCGGACGGCATTCCAGCAATCGCGAAGAACGAACGCGCACCGCGATTAAGTATAATAAACGTGGAGGACCCGGAGCGATTCGTACCTTCGGGGCCACGCTCGATCGAACGCATTCCGAGGAATCAATGAAGTCATAAGCGTCGAAACCCCGTTACGACTCCGTCGTGAAAATCGTTAACAGTAAACGCAAGATACGTAGCAAGCTTTTAAGTCACTGCCACAGGGACACGTTTAAAAAAATGTGTCGATGATTTTGGGATTCGCGTGCACGCGATCTGTACTAGAATTCTTAGTACTCGTGTGCACGAAAGAGTTCTAACGGCGGAAATCGTTTGAAGATCCTCATTTCCATTCGCGGAAGTCGTCTGTTAGCCTAAGCGCGGGCATCGAACCATTACGCTCCATCTAATTACGCGGATAGACAAGAGGAAGAGAGGAGACCGTGAGCGCTAGGAATCAATCATCGCGGCACCGAGTGTAAACAAATGTTTGCGCGGACCGATTTACACGGCATCGCGTCGGGGCGCAAGTACCCCTGCATCCTGTCGCGTAATTTGCAACCACTTACTCGGCCGTGTATGCGTAATCGGTTGATAATAACAGATCCGATCTGCGCGGCGATCTGCATAATCTATACCGTTTATCGTTTTTAACACCTAATGCATCACGCGAGTGACGGATCGGTTCTGATACTCGGATGAGCTCGCGACTGATCGCGAGTTAGAAGTGAATTATTGTAAAGATCGATATCTCCCCGGCACGTCCGTTAACCCCGTCGATCGGACGTCGAATTTCCAGCCGAACTGCATACGATCACGTTATAAGACGAGTATCGGCGTATGAATAATGAATGAGCCCCGGGCTGGCTGCATAGTAAGGGATTACGGTACTGTTACATCCAACGAAAAGGTGGGGTCGCACAGTTAAAACTCGTGCAACAACGGGCGTTAAATAACCGGTATAAGTTCCCGTACGCGTCTTCACGGTACACCAAATATTGCGTTCTCGTTAAACTCGATTCGAAACCCGTGCCTTTCAATATCTGGATTCCCCGTTTATCTTTGAACGAAGTATTAATTATCTCAGTACAAAAGATTTATCACTGGACTTTCATAGATTAAATGTCACAGAATCCACTTTGCTCCCAACATTTTATATACTTTTCCATAGTGAAGATACCGATTAAAACATATATCTTTTATAAATACATAAAATTCCGCGGTCTATTCATCATCTGTCTCACTTAATCTTTCTTTATCGTTTTTATCCAGCTCCTAAAACAATACGATCGGTAAATTAATCGTTGGTATCGCTGTTTATCAGTTGATCTCGCACCGGTGAACTAGTTTCCAGCGATGATCGATCAATCGCCGGATCATCCATCCGGTGACTTCGCGCATCATTTTCTCGTTAAACAGGTTACCTCGTCCTCGCTCGAATACGCGAGAGAGTCGACGTCCTTTAAGCTCGTCCGTTCATTCATTTCGCTTAATTGCGCGCACCGTTATCGAGTAGTTGCGCTGCTTGAACGTTACGAGGCAAGCTCTTTTTGCGAAAAGACTGGTTTATCGTAATATTCGAATAAATGTGGGTAACTGTGCTCTCGACCGGAGGTTCGAATTGCGAATTAAGGCTCGAACGTTCTTATCAGATTCTTTAGTGTAATCAGTTTCAATTAGGATACTTCCTTTGGAATTAATCGTGAAATTGATCTGGCAGCGTTTGCTGATCGATCGTCAATTTCTTAATTCGACTTCGCTTCGATTCAGTCGAGATCAAGAGAGGAGCTGGAAATTGATCCGTGGGGTCGCGATGAACAGCCGGTGCCCGCGAAGCCAACGGAATGGGACTGTATAGGCATTCTTAATGCATTTAGCGTGGAATGCGACTCCTACGTTCACTGCATCGACCACGCGGGGCTGTGCTCACCGTGTCGCCACGAAACTCGGCCGCCGACCGATTCGATTGGCTCGTTCGACGTTAAATCGCCGCTGCAACGTTACGCGCCACGTTACATTGTAACACTCTCCAGCATCGTAAACCAACGATGCTTATTTAGTTTAGCATGCCTCCGGATGAAAATTACCAGCTTTCTAAGCAATGGAACCGATGTTCAGAGAAAACGATAATAAGGCGAACGGGCCGAGGGATCGTAAACTGGGCTGAAAGGAACACATATTCCGATCTGATGAAATAATTGTTTTATTATACACAAAAGATCGTTATTTTCGGATCGATTGGGGAGGGGAAGGAACAGGTTTGAAAAATGGTCCGGAAGCGGTGGCGAGAATCGGAGACCGGATTACGCGGAAGAGTCGACCGGTACAGGCTTAACGGTAAAAGCGGATAAGCGTCCGATTCCTTAAACGATGACGAAACACAGCCGGGAATCTTTTCTCGCGGTGCAGCAGGCCTCCGCGCCGTGCGCACGGTCACGATCAGGTATGTACGTCCTTTTGCGAGGCTGTGTCGTCCGCGTGCCTTCGATCCACATTCCCCGATCCGCAGTCCTGCCAAGAATGCGCGTCGTCGTAGTTGGGAACGACGCCGTAGGAAAACCGCTACGCGGCCTGGCTCGACGCGCTAGGAAAGAAGGTAGAAAGAAAAGATCCGTCGACGAAAATGGTTCTGGCGGAATGGACTCTTCACGGTGTATCAATGCGTAAATCAGCATGCGGACGAGCTACTAATCAACGAACGTCTCGTTAATAAAGACGTTCCCGACGCTGTTGGCTGAAATACGTGTTCTTATCAATTTTAACGACGCACACACTCGTAACGCTCGGGCATCGGAACGCCTGTAAATTTTATTACGCTTGACGCCGGAGACCCGAGAAATTCGCGTATCCTCCGACCCCGGTTCGCGTAATTAACTCGTTCTTTCCTTTAAAAATCGTACAACACCATATTGTTTCAAACGATTCGTTCTCCTCACGTCGCTTATGCAACCCAACAGCTGCACGATCTTTTTTGCTCTCTCAGTTTCTTTCGCGTTCCAAGGCGAATAAGAATGGAAGAAACAATGACACGCTCTAACCGGGAGCGAGTACCTTGTACGGTTATAGAGCACAAGGTTGATCTTCGAGGATACGCGTCAAAAGGAATAAATCGGTTTTCAGGAGGAACGCTGTTCCAGTCCTCTGACAACGTATTCTGCAACGTTTGCCGAATGCAACGGTCCGCGGATAATGCCATAGCGATCTCATGATAACAATGGTTTCTCTTCCTCCAGGCTCTATTTAACTCGACTAAAAACTGTTCAAACGACTAAACGCGATTTTCTTCATAAACGATCGAAGGAAATCGTTACTAGAATCCCTCTCGAGATAAACGATAAATGCGTGAGGGACAGCGGACTTTTTTTCGGCGAAGGAACTGAAAATTAAATTACGGACACGCTGCTCGTAAAAATGGACCCTTAACGTTGTCCCTGATCGTAAATATCGCAGTAAGTACTCGCGGTTGTAGAGGGCCGTTCAAAAATCGCGAATGGCTCAGAGATCGTGCGCGACGAGCGTAATTTCCGTCGAACGGGATATGAAACAGTATCGAAGGTAACGCGTCGAACAGCTGGCGGACGATAACCGGCTACGCGGAGTCGCGGCAAACCAGTGGATGTAATCTGTTAGGAGGTTGGGGCCGCGTCCTTTCGGTTTTACGACCGTTTCGCGATTTTGATGGCCGTTTCACGAGCTAGCCCCGCGTTTTCTCTCGGACAACTACTCCGGCAGAATCGTAAATACGGGAAATCTACTATTGTCGAGGAACCATATAATTTTATTTAACCACTTCTATAAACATTCTCTTTATCCGGCGAGTGCTTTCCCGTTTGTAGAAGTACGAGACTTCACGCGACAAAGGAGCCTCTACGGTTGTGAAAGACGCACATAGATTTTCGAGTAAATTCGAGTGTTTTGAGCCATCCTGTACTGCTTTCTCTGGCAGGCGCTAAAAAGAGAAACTTGGGAAATGCATACGAGGTCGCCGGCATAAAGTGACGGCTAACTGAAAATTCGAATATTTATGGACACCGCCGGCAGTTAACGCCGAATTTGTTTAATGCTTTCGCTCGCACGATCGTATGAAACGATATTTCATTCGTTTCGTGATTATTTGATACACGGATGCATCACCGGATACGTCGCTGAATACAGGAAGAGGACGAGTTCCTACAATAACTATTCCACCGTGAAACCGATTCGTGACTCACGCCAATATCGAGTCACCTCGTCCCACGTTGAAGCCACATAATTCATTATTCAACTGACCGTGACATCATCAATTTTCTTTAAGAAAAGCAATCATCCTCTTTTTTTCTTAAATCAACGGCAACGGTCATCAACGAAAATAAATGTGTTATTATTCTACTGATCTTTGTACCCAATGCTCTCGTTCCAGAGTGGCAATCGTACAGCTGATAACGAGCAGATCGTCCCCAATCAATTGTTTACCAGATTCTTTCTTTTATCGAGGTCGTAAAACCGAGGTTATCGGTATCATTCCATTTTTGCGTCAACGCTTAGGTACATACATATATTATATCAATCTGCGAACATATGCTCGTTAAGTTTCGTGGCTCCTTTCACGAGGATAATTGCTGAGAAATGCAACGTCACACGTTCGCCGCAGTGCACTTTCACCGAAACTTCTATTAGCTCCTCTCGACGATCTCTCGATCGTACGAGTATGGAAAATGTGACGCCAGATGCGGAATGACTGGAAGCAGAAGGCCTCTGACGAAAATCCATGCGCTTCGTAAGGGTGTAAGCGTCAGTGAGAACTCGCAGTCAGCCAGAAGCGTTGATCCGAGGTGTGGACAGGCTCTAGCTCGCGGTCGTTCGTCATGGAACGGCGTCTAACGTGAAACGATCAGCACACGAGCAACGTATGTGCCGTCTGGTTTCATTTCACATCTGCGGGACTCACGGTCTAGCAAGTTTCGCCTCGGTCACTGACCTCTCCTTCTCTTTCTCTCTTGGCCTTCCTCCGTTTCGCTCCTTTGATCCTGCCTTCTCTCCTTCCTACCGAGATTCCCTTCCTCCTCGATTGTGCCCTTCGATTTCGATCCCTTTCGTTTATCCCTCGCGGGTATTCGGGACGAGAATCGATTCTTCTCCGGCCTTCGGTTTCGACCCCCCATTCGAGCCAGGCACCGATTCTTCTTCCCCATTGTGAATATTCCTTGTGCAGCCGCGCGTATCAATTCAACAGTATCTTGATTTTTATTAGAGAGATTCCTCTTACTTTTTCTTTTCTCCTTATCAAAGCGATTGGAATTGGTCAGTATTATGCAACATAGTGCATGAAACATTAAAAGCTGTGGGAAATTGGTATCGTGAATGTCTGGTTTCTCATAAAACCCCGCGACCCAGTTATTATTCATTTATCTGGTATCGAGCTATTGTTGCGAATAACGAAAGGAGTTCAAGGGCCCGGATGATTTATTCGGGTAATTATCGCTGTAATATTTAATATACGTTTGCTCGGCGAGTTTGTTCTTGGCCATTGTGCAGGCTTGATGCCTTTTCTTGCGGTTACCTTCTCATCAATCCTCTTTCACTTTCTTTTTCTCTCTCCCGGCACTCCCCTCTCTCCCTTTTTCTCTGCCTTCAGCGGCAGGACGCGGTCTCTTCACTTTCTTTTTCCCTGCCTGTTTCTGCTTCGGCCCTGCACGATTCCCCCTACTTCGTTCCCATCATTTTTATTGCACCTTCCAGTCTTTGTCTTCTTTCAACCTTCCATGCTCTCTATTTCTAATACCCCGAATCAGGTTCTTAACGTCGACAACGAAGCCCCCCTTTCGACTTCGAACATCGTATCGGCAAATCCGTACTGGGCAACGAAGTATTTAATTACGCGATTCCTTGAAATGATTTGCACTAACAGTTACTTGAAAAAGTCTAAACCCAAGAATTTTCCCTGCATCAATCCGCCTCTCATCTGCGCGTTAGACACAGAAAAATGTTACCCTCGCGTACGAGCGCGCCAAGGGGGGAGCCTGGTTTCTGAGAATGGCCCGAGGATACCTCCTTAATTACTGTCGGCTTTCGAATTCTTTCGGTCATGGGAACAGCCCCTATGCCCAATGGCGAGGACCATCAGCCTTTAGGCACGGTCATCTTCTCAGAACTTTGGAAACCTCGAATTTTTACATTTCTATTCGCACTTTTCTTCATCGAACTTTTATTTACGGAAGGAATGCGATCTGTTAAAATATATGAAACATCTAAAGATGTATGCTTGAACTTTCTATCTCTGAATGTTTTATTTCGTTTTAAAAATTTGCGGTCTGTTTATCGCGATCTGTCTCTCGGCTCAATTAGTATGTACACGGTCAGACGAAACGAGGAAGTCACAGATAAAAATAAGTGTGCTAAGCCCACATATTCTCACTTCGTCATGCAAATGATACGTGCAAATCTTCGACGACGGGTTACGAGTACGAAAAATTTCCATACCATACGCGACAACGGCAGGTAATGAATTAGGTAGCCCGAGAGAGAGAGAGAGAGAGAGAAGAAATTTAATTGCGAAATATTCGAAAGGGAACATAGATTTTATGCAAACGGCTGGAGATCACGTCCGCATATTTTGCACTTTTTATCCGCGCGACTAGCAAGATGACTTTACGTAACTTACCCGGTGTCGCGAATCGCGTAACGCGACGACTAGGCACGCGCGGAACGTGTATTTTCCACGAATAACTTTCCATTCACGAGTCCTTAGTCGATCAAGAAAAAAAAATAACGAACATCTTTGAAGTTCAGAAATTCAGTTGGAAGAGAAATGCATAGAACCTTTCTTGTAGAAGACTACAACTTCCGTACGCAAAATTTTTTCGCTGGCGTTAACCATCGAAGAGATAAAGCCATTTACAGACTTCCTCGGTACCGATTACCACCGAAAAGAGTGATTACCAATTGTGTTTTGAATCTCATTGGGTCTTATTTGCTGTCCCGAGGATTACACAGGCACTGCCGCTCTTTAGAAATATCTCCTCGGTGCTACGCGTGTTCGCCAGGGTTAAGGAGACTCGACTCAATGGGTAATAAAATTTAACAACCTCGTTGCGAAAGTGGAGAAAGAAAATCCGCGCATATCGGCTGGATGTTTCAAAGTGCGAGAGACGTTTTCAATGAGCACCATCGCGAATTATAGATTTCCTTTGACTTTCTAACGTCCGATCGTCGCCAGGAATATTCAACGATTTAATGTATCCGCGTATAAGGAAATAAGGGTTCAGTTAACGTGACAGTCGGGCAGAGTTTCCCGAAGACGTCCTACGTGTACGTGGTACCTGCGACCGAGGCCCTACAAGCGCGAAGTCCTCGTGAATGGCCTCTATGCTTCGTAGCTTATGACATAATACCAACATTTACGTACACCGCATACGGCCAGACGTAATGCACTTACGCGCGCGGCCGCGGGGGCGAGACGCGTCTGAATTTTCTGATTTATTATCAATTCTACCGAACTCGTAAAAAAGAGCTATGAAACTTTTAACCGTGGCATTTTGTAGACCCTACGGGAATACAAAGGTCCTGGCTTCTACGTTTGATCTCTCTGGTTACAGGAAGTAGCAGCCACGCATTACGTGTTCTGTCCGTATTTAAATCCAATGAATTATCGATTCGTTCGTATATTTTTTATGACGTTACATAGTTTAACAGCAGGCACGTACTGTCATTTATTAACGTGGATAGGAAAAGCTTCGACCGGGAGAAAATTTCAGTTTTCGCTTGCGCAACAGTCCCTTACATAAACTACGCAAACCTGCTACCGCTGTCGCGAGACGAAAAAGACAATCGCGAAAGCGTGAGAATTATTTCCTCTCCTCTAACGAACAATCAGATCTATCAACGGATCTCTATACGTATATCCGAGCGAAATTTTCTGATCCTCGTTAAGAGAGACGTCGATAATTAATTAGTATATTTTATAACAGATTTTCGTTGCTTCGTAAAATTAACTGATAAGATAGGAGATAATTAAGCTGATCCGTGAGAAAGCGGTTTTACCTTCGTGTGGAGAAACGCCAGGGACTTGTTCACGTTCTCGATTTTATGCACGCGCATTCGCCCATTGTTGGGTTTGGCCAGACGTTCGCCGGAGATGATCTCGAGCAGCTTCAGCAGCTTCTTACCGTCCGCCAGGTCCGTGAACAGATCGTCCACTTCCATGCGCGCCTGCGAGATGAGAACACGATCGATTTTCAATATCGCATCTTCGATTGATCCCTAACTGGTACAACGAACTGGTATACCGAGATCGTGACTGGCTCCAAATAAAAACAAATGCAGTAGTACGTGATCTAGTTCTAAATCCTTAGCTAGTGTGTAAAATAATGAAGAGTCAGATTGAACGTCGTTAGGATTGGTCACTTGGTGATCTCAGTGTACCAGTCAAGGGACGAGGACACGGGCATGTATGTACCTTCAATAGAAACGAGTTGATCCATTTGGTGAACGTCTTCTTCTGTATGTGAAGACGTTCCTCCTGCAGGGCCTTGATGCGGCCCTGCTCGAACCTGATCGTGTCCTCCCTCTGAGTCATTCTCTTTTGTATATCGGTACCACCCCTGTATTTGTCGGCTCTGGACGGCGGATATGTGGGTGCGTACTCGAGGTTGAAACTCCTGTACTGGGGTGCGGCGCCAAGCCCAGCGCCGGGCACATACTGCGCCCCTGTAACCGAAAACGTTGTCGCCAAAGTTAGACGCCGCCTTTCATCTCCCCGGACGTTCAACGCGCACGCTTTATTTACATGGAAACGACTGATTCCTGTTCCGTTTTAAGGGAAACGTTTTACATGCTTTCATTCTCGTTGACGAACGTTAAAAATAATCTTGTTTACCGAGCAGCGACCGCTGTTAGCATTGGTTTTTCCTATTAAACGGCTAAACAAGCGATTCGCGTTCCCATACACGTTCATTCGAATCGTGTCGCTCGTTCCTTATAAGGTGGGAAAAAATCTGACACATGCCTGCTGGCGAGCGAGAGCGACGATAAAACCCAAAGGGACAATAATCTTGTCGAGTCACGAACGCTAGTAAAAATAAAGGAGACTGGCTGCCCCGGCTAAAACGTGATTCGCGCTTACCGTTCATTTACCCTCTCGTCCACCCATCGATATTTTAAAGAAAACCTCGAACGTCGCGTTGTTTAAGACAGACGATAAACTCGGTTCGCGATTATCTCAGAATTCTATAAATGGAGGACACGGCATTCTTTTTCAAACGATTACGATTACGCCTGCGTAAGTTCGACACGTTCAAGCTGACGGTACGTGCCTTATCAGTGTATTAACCGATTCGTATCGGTCTTATCACGCCTGATAAACTCGGTAACGTTTAGTATCGTTCCACCGAAAAATTCGGATGAAACCAGCTTTCTATTCATAAGAGAAAATGTAAATTCCTTTTGAAGAAGATAAGCTATCACGTCGCGACAGCTGGAAATAGCTCAAACCGGCGCAGTCCCCCTCTGATTTCACGCGGTTCTCGGATCGAGACACAGCGGTGGTCGGGCCTATTGTTAAGAGGAAAATGTAGATTCTTAGAACCGATCGTTTACTGCGAGCAGTTCATCGAACGTCGTCTATTCAACCGAGTTTATACGCTATCTAAGCAGCGACCAGCCCGATTACAATTAATTGAGCTCCGTACATAGTTAAATGCGCTGGTACACCGCTCGTTCCAGAACCTACGCCTTGTATCGTGTCATTGAAAAACATATTATTCAGAGTAATAGTGTTCGCTACGTAGATACGAGCCAATTAACGATCGAAATAAGGGTTGGAAAAATTCTGATACTACATGGGAGTTATACGCACTTATTTTAATTAACAGATATCCTTAGTCGATGCTCTTGAGAAGTAATTTATGTGGGAATCAGATGAAGGAACGACTGTAAAGGGTCGGAGGTGTACGCCAATGAGGAGGAACACAGTGGTTCGCGTTGAAAAGCGTGCCGGACCCGAGAGAGCAATGACAAGGCAGGTAACGTCGCAGATTTGATTAGAGTACTTAAGCTCCGTCCCGTTCTCTAAGCTGTTGGAAACCATGTAACCGCGATTGTAACGCGTACAAACGTCTACGCGCTTGCGGCTTTCTCGAGCGTAACGCCTGCTTCTCAACCATTCCATATAAGAATAGCATAGAAAAAGTCGTCACACCGTCATAGAAAAACTATTTCTAAACAAAATTCTTCTCATCTTCTCGAGTATTAATCATTGACTGTAAACGTGTTCGAACTTCAATAAACCTTGCTTGCAAAACGACTTGGTACGAGTATGTTCAAACACGAAGAGACAGTGAAGGCGCATTGAAAACAGCGAGTCGATTAAATTGAACGAGCAGGCTAAGCAGCAAACGACACCAATCGAGCTCTAATTACGCGTAGAATGCGTGATCAGTTAGAGTTAGCTACCTAATCTCTCGTCTACACATCTGTTTTATTAAACAGCGTAACTTCTAATCGATCAATCATAAATCCTGACTCTCGTCGGACGTCTATTATGTCGTGAAACTCTGAATTGGATTAACGTACCGTAGCTGGAACGTGACATGATTTTTTTTACTGTTCACTGGTTAATCCGACCCGACGGTCATGGCTCTCGTTTGAATATTTCCACAAAGAAGTCACGCGGGGTTTGAGACGAGCGAAAATTAAGTGTGTAGACGTCCGCGAATGGCGACACCGAACTGATTCAGCTGTTAGCCAAAGACCACTGACAGACAGAACTCTCTTATCGCACGTATCGCCGCCGGCGTGTTGTGTCCACTGCTCTTTTGTGTAGTAGAAGCTAAGTACCGAGTGTGTATGTGCACCTCCCACATTGGCGTAACGATTAACCCGTTCGGCTTCGATCGAAATTCATGTCCCGCGCTAGAATTCGAACGAAACTTTACGTTCGTATCTAATAATCGAGCGAATTTGTACAAGCATAACAATTTTTCATGACTCTAAGAAGAATCGCAAATAATGATAAACTCTTTCATTCCTGCTGTGAATCACGATTCGCCGAATGCGAGTCATGGATGACGTCGATAGATAGAAATATTTAGCAAATAAATTTTTACGGTCGTCGCCTGCGCGGTGACATAATTTATTGAAACTTTTGAACGTTAACAGGAAACGAGTAATCGTTCCGGAAACACGGTGAACGCGCCAAAGGGGGCCGATCATGCGGAATCGCAATGATAGCTTTTACTCGACATTCTGTGATGTGTCACCATCATCTCGCCCGTGCCAATATTTACCGCTTCCTTAAGTACGTCCATAATCTAGCTTAACGATTGTCAACGGTGCCGTAATATTGTCAATATTTTTAACGCGCTCGTCGTCTTGGCCTCTTTATGGCTGCCAGTTAACCTTTGGAACGATGTCTGGCAATAAAAATTTACTCGATGCTGTTCTTGGCTGGAAAATAATTTGGACGGTGCCCCCCCGTGTGACTTGGCAATTATTTTACAGAATTCTCGATGACGTTGCGGTATACAAATTGTATAACAAATGTTTACTTTGTCCAATGAAAAATACTCTCAACGCTGTTCGATAGCTCGGTATCGCTAAGTTTTAATCAGAATCTGCTGATAAAGTAAAAAGTATGTACTTTAGGCTATTACCGCGATTATTTATCTCTACTTTCAATTAACTCGGGAATAGAAAGTAATACTCGCGTGCGGCTAATTGTGTTTACTAATCGTGGAGAAAAAAAAAATAAATTGATATAGAGCCATAACTGCTTCCAGGTGTTTTTCCAGTGGGCATAAGTTTATTTATTCGGAATAGGAAGCGTGCGCGCGGGATTCAGCCGGAAGCACGCTGGATGCGCCACGCCATAACTGAAGAAACGTTCGCAAGTACCTTTTGCAACATCTAGATAAGCCTTCGACGGTTTTTCGTAATCGATTAATCATATCGTAAATAAGATAACATTATGAGAAGTGCAGAAATAAAATTTCTTCGAACTAGTTAAGGTGTCTCCTTCGAAATTTGTTAAAAAATAATTTTTAAAGAGAAAAAGTCAGAAGATCAACAGGAAGTTACTCCGGAAACACGGTGCGACGAGATTCTGGAAGAGCACAGCTGGAACACCGGGCGAAACCCGAACCGTATTATTACCGAGACTCGTCTCGCCGGCAGAAAAGAGAAACCGACGCACTATTGACACTGATAGCTCGGGCAAACGTTCATCCGGCGTGGCATGCGACGAAAAGAACTGACGAAAAAAGAGTGTGTACGACAAGGTCTAGCAAGTTCAAACGATATGACGACACGCCTATATTTGGTCACCGGCTGGCATTGGCAACGAGTCGCCTCAACGGCTCCCTACTTTCCGGTGGCACTTGTCCGCCACTCGACTTCCTTTTCTCGACCCTGATTCTGGGGTTCAGGGTCACCGTTCCGATTTACACAATGAATTTTCTCGTTTTTGCACGGCCAGACTATGTAAATTGCTTTCTATCGTCAAAAGAATACGAATCAACCTACACCGAGCAACCATTTTGGTTCTAATTTCTTGCTAGGCGATAAAAATAATATTCACATTGTGGGAAACGAAGCAAGGATCATTTTTATAGTGCACCGCGCTTAAGCCCTTCATTCAGTGGTATAACAGTTCCTTGGCGGAAGTGTTTCTTTATTATGGGAAGTGGAACGGTGGTAGCGGTGTGTGAATGAACGTAAGAAGCCAAAATGCACGATCCACGTTCGAAAATTATATGGTAACCGGTGGTGAACGTCGGTTCGCGAACAAAAGAAATGAGTCAGAAATGCGTAACCTCTGCTGCTTATCAATTACACTGGTTACAACTGTAACCCGGAGATTCCTATTTTCTAAGAAACTAAAGCGATCGTATCCTAATTTAGAAATGAAATCACGAACGATTCTGATAATGAATTCTAAATGAAAAGAATAATAAGGAAAACATATTGCTTCAGCGTTTAGAAAGCTACCTATTATTTTTTATCTTTGGAATCTTTACCAATTAGCAAACCCTCAGATCTCGAAACTGATTAACAGTTTTTGTTTAAAGTAATTAAGCTGGCACTTTGCTGTTCCTATGGAGTGTCTGCAATTTTCTGCACAGGCGTCGAACTTAATAGGCAGCGTGTTCATTATTTACATAACTGCGGAACGAGAACATTTGCGTCGCGAACCAGTACTCATTTATTTCTGACTATTTGTCAGTACAGATGACATCATTCATTTCTCGAAAGTTTCAATGTCGTTTCAATTTCACGCAACAAGATCATGCGTAATTTTAATTAAATTATGTCATCAATTATGATTACTAAAAAATAATGTATGTACATGAACGTGACGTAAAAAGTACTTCGATCGAGCCTAAGAGATTCTGAACTTAACTCGACGACGCAAGTAGCATTCAACGACCTATTTATTGCAAACATCGCGACCGTTTAACTTCTTACCTCGGTTAAGAAACAACGACCTCGCTGTTAGCCACAGGAAGATACTTATTACGATAATCGCGAGAGGAGAGTGTACGCGTAATTACTTTAACGCTTGCGTTTCGGCTCTGCGAATTCGTTGCGATTAATTGCAGGTTGCATCTTTCGGGAAAGAATCGCAAGAACCGAGTCAGTCACGTTTCTACGTTAATTGTTAAATTATAACTTTCACGTAACGGATTGAGCAACGAATTGCATTATACGTACAATTATCCGCGTCCTTGGTCTCGCGGTGAATCTTTTACAAACATTAAACGTTTCATAAATTCGATAAGTGAGGGAGAGAGTCCGAATGACGGATGGGGTTTGTTCAAATCAATTCTTCCCAGACCACCCTGTATACCAGCCGCGGACCCGTGTACCCGTGCATTACCGTGGAACGTGACCGAACGGAACGTGTTATTTCGCGGAAAATGACTGTCCGCGCGGTGTTTAGTCGCGAGGGAGCATCGCATCTCCGATCTACGCAACGACGACGTAGTTCGCGGCGCCTTTTGTAAACTTCGTCCTCCCACGCGCCACGCTAACCCTTTCGTTCTCGCATGAATTCACGTCGTTCGTAACGTGAATATTATAAGAACACCGCGTCCCTTGATGAAAACGCGGCTGCGGTCGGCTCGCATTTTATTAATAATTCGAAATAAACGCTAAATGGCCTGGGTTCGCGTAATCGAGCCACTGAATCGACTCGCCTCGTCCAATTACTCCAGCAGTGGGCACCTAATCGACTCAATAATAATTTAATAAGATCCCAAGGTGAATATCCTCCTCCTCGTTCCCTCTCTCTTTTTTCCATACATTCCATCTACTTAGAGTCTTTGCTGAAGTATTCGCGATTTTAGTTTCCGCTCCGTCGGCCTGGCTCGCTCGGATGAGCGGCTTCTCTTCTAACGGGCCATTGAATTTCAGCAAAATTGCGTTTCGCGCGTGCTTCCGTGGATCGACGGGATCCACCGTTAGATTACGCGGATCTCTCGACCGGAAACCGAGACGAATCATTACGTCACCGCTATGTGAGAATCTACTTTGGTATTTAAGAGAAATCTGGAGCACTTCGTTGTAATTAAACGTCCCAACGTATCATTATTCAATATCCTAAGTTTGTTCCAAATAATCTTGAGAATATCATAACATCATTGAGAACGTATGAATGAAGTCGTACAGAGTTTGCTCTCATCTCTTCGTCGTGCGCTTCTTAAAACGAGACCACTTATGATATACGAAGTGGAGTTCTTTGGACACGTCATAAACGAGCTGTTAAGCAGTCGAGCCGGAACAGAAACAGAAGCGAAATGACAAAAAGTGAAACGGTCATTATAATTTCTCGCGTTCGCACAAGACGCCGAATGACAATGAATCATTTCACCGGTGAAACTCGATTAAAGTTCGCTGACCGAATTCGTACACTTCTCACTTATTGTTAACCGAACAGTAAATTCTTTCGTTACGCCGCTGCTGTGAGTGAAGTTATATGAATTTATAGCCGAGAATAGGCGTTGAATAATGATTTCGCGCTACGAGGTCAGAGATAGCTACAGTACCAATTGAAAACTATTTATTTTCTTATCTTATCGCCATTCCTGCATTAATTACAATCTTAAACGTTACAGCCAGCTATTATCTGTTTCTCTATAAATCGTCTCCATCTGGCAATCAATTCGGACGCTATTCATTTCTGATATTTAAATCAGAATTTTGCCAGAGTTCGATACTTTATGATCGGTCTAACTGAGTTATGGGAACCTTGAATCGGCTGACTTTAAATGTTAATATATTCTCTTTCTCTCTTTCTATAAAACTTGAACCGGTGCATTCTATTCCCGAATAATAATGTTGTTCTTTTGCGAAAAATCCGTGTGAAACGTTCCATTGCACTCGACAATGATTCTCGCAGTGACGTCAGACGCGTGTAGAAAGTTGACGAGAAAAATCAACATTCCTGCATGCGTTCTGCCAGTTTTACATTCACCGTCGCGCCGTCGTCGCGGCCGTCAACAAGTCGTGCACACACGCACCAGATGAAACCTACGTTTATATCGTATTCCGTCGACGCGTGCCGTCACGGCACGGGTCACGTACAAACGACTTACAACTAATTACGCCAATCGAGATATACGACCAAAATTCGACCCTACTTCACAGATCGAGTGACGTGAACACGTGTAAATGACGGCAATCGGTTCTATTATATCTGTTCAAATTTCTTTTCTAATCTATACAGAATTGAAACTCGTGCTATTTGTATTCTTTTTACATCGCCGCCATGAATCATTAGTGGCATCTTAGAAATCTTAGAATTTGAAAGTGTCTTTTCTATATTACAAACGCAATACTAATTGTTGAATCAGTCGACGTGTATTTTACTTTCGTGTCTGCAGGTAGTTGGAAACTTTTGTTTCGAGGCAAGAGACACACTACTGTCCCACATTCGGTACCCTAAATTCCTAGTTATACCCGCGTAGTGGAATCGACGAAACAGGTTGACGACGGCGATACCCGAGCCGGCGGCGACGCCGGCAGCCGCGATAACGTCTGCACGCGAGAATTTTTTCTTTTTTACTACGTCCGTAAATCCACGATTGACGGAACGCGGGAGTATAACGCGAGTTAAGCCTTGAAGTCTGTAACCGGAGTCTCGGAGGCTTGTTCGCTCGTCTTGGGTTCCAGGACTCGCCAAGGATCTTTCTCTGCGTCTCTTTCCCACCCGCGTTCGCTCCTCTTCCTCTGGTACACGCGGTCGCAGCGAACAGGGGGGGGGGGGGGGGAACGGCGAGGGGGGAACTTTAAGAGCGGTCCAGCAACTCCCCAGAAAACATGTGCACGCGCGCGCACGCATGAGAAACGTACGTTGTGTAGTACTCCAACTAACGTTGACCAGCGAGGGGACCCATTCTGGTGTCGAGTCAGGGAAAAGACCAAACGGTTCGAGAGTTTTACGGAACTATCGAACGTTGCATGAAAAGATTTGCAGCCAAGAGAGAGATCGAACATAATGAATCTTTGAACAGGTGAGCTCATCGGATACTTAATCTGCATCGTAACGCGTGCTTGTATTTGCATATCGATGCATCGAACCGGATATTTTTAGAAAGATACACATATATACAGGGACTGAAATCATGTTTACAAGTAATATTTCATTTCTAACGATTTGTCTATTGACCAAATGATAACATCGCGTAATCCGTATCTTAACACTAATCTGTGTCGATCATCTAATCACAGAATAAATACCCATCCCTGTTATGCCATCTTCTATCGTTTTCCGTATTGTACCTTGAACAAAGATTTTTCGAAAACAGTTTCCTTATTACGATCAGTCTTTATACAAATATTCGAAGCCAGGAAAAAGTTAATCCTATCTATCGCTGGTCGACGCACACGACTTTCGCCCGCGACGCGCATCGAAAGGGGACGGACGCGAAAACCGTAGTGGTAGTGGAAAACGAAGGGAGAGGTTGCGGCGGCAGGGAGGGAAAAAGGACCGCGCGTGAAAGGCAGAAGGAGAGAGAGGAAAAAGGAGGTCCATTGAGAATTACGGTATTCGCCGAGCGAGTAAAGGAACTCTCTCGCGCTCGGCTCGTTGGAGGGGCTCATTAGAAACTGGAAGCGGTGCGCGTAATATTATTTCCTCGTGGAACGCCGAGGCTAAGGCCGATCAAACGCCGCGCGCCGGGTAGCTATACCGTTCGGTCGGGAAAGGATCGAAGTCCGCTCCAATTTCAACTTAGCCAGCGTGCTCCGTTATGATCGCAGCTCTTGCACTCCCGGAGAACTCGTTTCGACCGCGGATGGAAAAGAAAAATCTTTACCGGTTACGAGCTTTCGTGCCTCCGTTCCACGCTTTTCCAGCCGCCCGACGAATCAGACCTCGGAACGCCTACGGAATTGGTGAACTATCGCACGTCTTCTTAAAATCACTATCCAACTGCAAATGATTAATCTAATAATTGAACACTTGATGCGAACGTGCTATTTCATATTTGTGGAGGCATCTCGTGATATCGGTTGATATTGAATTTCTTTTATCAGAGGAGATCGATCACTCGTAAGCCGTGGATTAAATTTGAAAATTCCGCGGTTGTTTCTATCCGAGTCTATCTTGTAATCTGACATTAATAGCATTAAGTTCTCCTATTGATGTAAGATCAATTCTAAGAATTACTGAACGCGATATAAATAATGTACGTCTCATGTCATAGGTCTGCGATTAGTAGGAAAAATTCCTATGATCGTAAGACTCGTCTCGACAAGGATGATTGTTACAGGATTGCATCTAAAGGATTCTTCTGTCTCCATGATTTTTTAAACATCGCTTCGAAAAGCTAGTATTTAAATGAATGCGGCCAAGGATTGCACATAAAGGATTCTTGTATTTGTTCCTGTCGAATAAAATTTTTTGTTCCGACTTTTAAACGCCACTTCTAAAAGCTAGTATTCAAATGAACGTGGCTAATCTCGAAAGATCAAGGATAAATGTTTCGGGCGAGCTCGCGTGGAATTCCTCCGTCGTGACGGAAGAAAGGCTTTAAGGAGCAAGGACTTTTTAGCGGGGTCAAAACGGATCACTGAATCCCTCGTATGAAATGTCCCACGTGACCCGCGACCTTTTCGCGCGTAAACTTTCTGTTTTCCGACCGGTTACGAGGACGATAAACATGCGAAATCCTAATCCACGCGAATTTTCTGTCTCCGTCACTCCTTTAACGAGCGATTCTACGAAATCCTGACGATTTCGTTCCAAGCTACGCGTCCTTACCGCATTAAAGATCGACGTGCGAACACCGGGGCGCCCGATTACCAGCAGATCGATTGTTTCGTACAAAAAATGAGGAACCTCAGGTAGACGTACCTTTTCAACGCGTGTAGGCTTATCCAAAACACGAATGCTGCGGCGAATCCGTGAGTGAAACACTGTCAAACACACTAATTCAACCGGCACGGAATCCACTAAATGGAGAACGCACAGTTCTCCAGTTTCGATTCGATAATATTCACACGCGCACACGATTTCGAGCCGGAAAACGCACGCTCAAATTTGTACTGGCGGTGACGCGTTGCGCGAACTGTACCGAAGTCTGCGTACTCGTACTCCGATCTGAGCGGTTCTTCCTTCGTCACGCATTAACATCCCCTCTATTTCAATGTTGAAACGGGGGGACCGAATACTTTAAAGACGACATTTTGCGGAAAACCGGACATGCCTCGCCATCTGTGAGGAAATAG